GCAGCGACTTTTTGAGCCCCTATATTGCATGCAAAATATTTTCTACCATTCAAAAACATTTTTTTGATCTAAACTGACCAAATTGATATTTTCTGTCGAAACGATAGTTTTCGGTGCTCCAGCGAAACTAGTTTTTAATGACTTGATAAGAAAAATAAGTTTATAGTCAAAAATCACAAACAAACCTAAGGTTACATATTCATGTCAATAAATGATAAGTACAAATACATACAAGTATCACAATCTCTTCTACATTGATTAAGAAAACTTTAAAAAGTCTGCAAGATTTCAAAGCATTTAGTTTTGCAGATTCAAAATTAAATTGCAAAATGATGTTACGCAATTTTGATTTTTTCCCAAAAATGTGGATGTCTTGGGTAAAAACTCAACACATAGGTATTCATAAACTACACGTACTAGTATATTATTTTATACAATTTAAAACCCATTTACTATGTACAATTTTGAGACGACACCATCACAGTATTGGTAGGGACTTGGACAAAGTTTGGTTAGCGTTGTACCATGTACATGATATTCATAATACACATATAAAATTTGACATCAATCGAACCCATAGTTTCGAAGATTATCTGTCTAACAAAAATCCACACGGACGGCGAACAGACAGGCAGATAAACGGAAACCGGGAACCTATTTTTTCGTAATCTAGAGATCATGACCCATTGAGAAAATATGAAAGTAACCACTCGCCCGGCAATAGACTCGATTACAAAACGCAACCTTAGCTAGTGGCCGTTTTTTATCTACACCCATGTTTTCTAAAGCCCAGTTTTCATCAGGAACAGAGCATATGAAAACAACGATTTAGCTGTATAAATAGTGTAAATTCTATATTTCCCGTAACGTTTATTTTGTATATTTAACATTTGATTTATTAATAGTGAGAAACTCTAAAATACATGTTCTGGACAAAAGTACTTCGTTTATTTTATACATAAAACTACCCATTGTTCGTAATACATTGACTTAAACTAAAAAACTTCAATCTCGGAGCACCACAATTGAATTGCAAAGACGAGCGCATGCTATTAGTATAAGATAATAAATAATAAACGTCAAGTAAACGACAACTGTTTGCGAACAATTTGAACAGTAATCACAAAAACGTCCACCGCTACCTCCGAACGAACGAGAAACTAGATGTTAAATTATCTGTCCATCTCAACTAGATGTGACTGCGATCAAAGGCATGAATTACAGTCGTTTCTAAAGCTTGTTTCAGGGAAGCTGAAAACTAGGACACATTTTCTATGCATCACAAAGTAACCGTCGAGACATGATTCCATTTTTATTCGATTTGTCTATTTTCTCCTCTCTCTATTAGTAGACGTACATCTCTACAATCCTCCAGGAATATTCTACGCCTTTACTGCCGCAATGAGGCGGAGGCGCAACCAGACGCTCTGTATATGTGTAGCGGTGGGTAATTTATTCAGGCAATACGTGGTTTTCTGTGCGATACCTTTATTCCTAAATTGGATATCGATGTGCAAATGTGTAAATTCGCGGTGAATCCCCTGTTCGCTAACTTCCATATTTTATCAGTTTATTACTAAACTGATACTATTGTATTCCCGCCCCGAATCGATTTTCGTGCCAACAATAAGGCGTCGTAATGTTTATATATTTACGTTTAGTGCTTTTATGAAAAATGACTATAGATACGAGTGTTTAAGTTATTGTCACGTTGTCACTGTATTACATTTCTTCTGACAAGCAGCGTCAACGGTAGAAATACCTAATGGAATACAAACAGTTTCACTTACTGGTTGGTTATCAGTATTCTTGGTAATCATGACTTGCACCTAAATTGAATGTAAACACATCTACCGACGTGTAAATCGATTGTCGACTACATTATTTACATTACTGAGGTTATTTCAGCTTTTCTTACTAAGTTAGATATGTGTTCGTTATTCTACAAATAGTTATTAACTTCCGTAGCCAAAGACAGCTCATTTCACCACCACCTATCGTTTACTTTAATTAATGAGTATTATTGCAGAAACGAATGTTTCGACCCAAGATGTGGCAAATTACCAGTATGCACGAATAAGAAAAAGGAACATAGTCAATATGTTAGACAAAGTAAGAGTATCAGCACTAACATTTGCATTTTTAGTGCGATGCATACAACAAAACGAAGGAGAAATACCATCATAGTGACAAAGAACAATTTGTGTCAAAAAATGTACCACATTTCGACATCGTATACCGTGAGTTAGAAATAAAGATGTAGAAATATCATTCTTTCTTTATTCAAAATCAATTTTTTGACTAAGGTAACTCTTCATCGACGTGGTGGTGATGCCACTTACATGTTCAGAATGTAATATCTCCGTTATTAACAGACTTAAGGCCGGTTTATAGAACAGCGAGTAAAATATTTAATCCTCGATTAGTTTAACAGAGAATTAAAATGTGGAATATGAGCCCGTGATTGGTTGAAACATGCACGTTTCCTAGCAGCGGACCTCAGTTAAAAGTTAATCGCGAATTAACTTTAACTTCGCTTTCTATAAATCGGGTCTTATTGTTTTAAATATAAATTGTCCACAACTTACTCTAAATAACACAGCAACAGTTTTTTAACGGTTTACCATCATAATACTTTTTAATTCATTTCATTACGTATTTTTAAAATTCAATATCTCAATTATTTATGGAAATTTCAGAACACGGTTTTCACCACTGTTTTCAGCTTACAGAACTCTATACGTTACTCGGAAAACATTATCGTTTGCTTTTGTTGAAAATGAGATATGGCAAAAGCAGCTTCATCAACACAAACTTCTTTTTAGTGTATCTCATTTTCGACAAATATTTCCCGGTAATGTATAGAATCCTGTAAGCTGAAAACAGTGGTGAAAATTACGATACGAAATTTCCATAAATACTAGAGATATGAATTTTTAAATATACACAATGAAAAATTTCTCCAAAATGCTAAAAAGAAGACAACAATAAACTGTTTAAAAATAAACTCCTTTTTTGTTATATAGCCAAAGGTGTGTACAGATTATATTTCAAGTTCCATAACAATACATCTGTTATAATTGAGAAATTACGTTCTGAAAATATATTGAAAATCCCATTTTAAATGTCACTTTACAGTTTTCTAAAAGTACAAACTAACCTTCTATGAACATACAACATAAGGGCCGATTTTTTGTTCTGTGTATATTCTTATTTATTTCACTGACTTAAGTCATTTCCTCCTAAAATCAGCCTTAGACTGACAGTTAGTTTGCATAAACTATAACTGATTTATAACATCTATAATTTATCCCAAAATCAAAAAACCACCTGTTGAATTCAATTTAAAAAATTGGTACAGTCGGACACACTTATTTTATAAAATTTAAATAACATTTACTATGTACATTGGTGGTGGGGGATGACCATGTCGGTTAGTGATTTACCATCTGCACGATATTCCTAATATATCTATATTATATACACCAAGTTTTACAACAATCGGTCCAGTAGTTTCGGAGATTATTTGTCTAATTAAAATCGACACAGACACGGATAGGTGGCAGACGACAGAAAGTAGACAGATAGACAGAAACGAAACAGACCTAATTTTTCGTGTTCTAGGAGTCATGAAACGTCAAAAAAACATAAAAGTAACCAGTCGCCCTATGGGCTCGATTATATGTATAGTTTAATTATTGTAAGACTGGCATTACTGAGCTTTTTGTAAGGATTGTCTATAATAATCAAATGAAACATAACCTTAAATTACTTTACACTAGAATAAATAATAAAAAGTGACACTGGTCGTTGTACTTTCGAATAAATTGCGGTGTTGGTAGATTTTTGATTTCGGAACAACATATAGTAACTTTATACTTTGATTTTGCAATACAAACACGACTTGACTATTTTGTACATTTACTGGGAGAAGTTATTTAAAATTATAAGGACGTTAATTTTAAATATCTTCTCCCAAAAGATCATTAGAGTTTGTCCTTTCTGTCTTAAAAAATTAAGGTTTTTTGTAAGTAGTTTTACGTTTCGCAATTTCATAGATTCCCCGCTATAATATTAAGGAAAAGTGGAAGAGTACCGCCATAAGAAATAATTTCGCCACCCAGTAACCATTTCCAAATAAGATCCTGTAAACTAATTGATGCTATAATATTTTAGCTAATACTACGTTAGCTTTGTATGCAATATATATTCCGAAGTTTATTGTGCTTGCACCTTTGGCAACACAGACTCCTTGACTAAATGTTTATTATGGAGTGGTTTATTGTTAGTAAGTTTTATTTCCTATGCGACTAAATGTTGGCTTACAGTGCAATTTAAACACTTGATTTTCTAAAATTCAGGCTGTTTGCTATATTGTAGAATTAATGTATCACCTTGTCACTGTAGATTTATACTTTATTTTATCATGGACAGGCGATATTTAAAATTTCATAACAATAAATCTGTTAATAATGGAGATATTACATTCTGAAAATGTACTGAAAATCCCATGAACCAAAAGTAGCGACTCCACTTAATTTAAAAACACGTTCATTTATGTAAAACCGAAGATATAAATTAAGCTAGTAGTATGTCTAAATAACATTTTAATTACTTGTGTTTTAATTTTTGTACAAGCATATGGCTTCGGTTCATATAATAAAATATTTAAAGTGAAATCTTTACTGTAAAATTTGTTTTGCATTTTTAAAACTTTAAGTTTCTCTGTATGATTAACTTATAACTAATTCGATAAGAGAACAAAGTTCCTCGACGAACATAAACTTCACATAAACCTGCAAAATTAAGTTTCATTTTCTTCTCAGGAAAAACGGAGAAATATAAGTTTCCGCATATCTTTGTGTACTTTATTATTTATTTGTTAAACGTACGACAAATTCTTTAAGTTTAGACTATACCGTCCAGAGATAATTTTGTACATAATATGTATACGCAACACCCAAAAATGTAAACCGTCATTTTAATGGAAATATTTATAGGTGCTCCTCAAGTGTTGAGACATTCCGCAACGCCAGAAGTAGTCGTGGACAAAGGCGACCTAGCTGATTTAAGCATGGTAGTTTGTGCTGATCCAAGACCCAGATTTGTAGCTTGGGAATGGGGTTCTCAAAGGCTTGAAGCAGGATCTGAAATGGGTAAGAAAATACGGATAACAAAATGGTTTAGTCCAAGTTCTTATGTACTTGCATTTCCTTAATTCACTTTATTAGAACAACGTTTCAGATATATTCTAGAGTATCATTTAAAATGTAGATTTTACTACAAACTCGCAGTACCTAATAGAGTTAGGGCGTATCATCAAAAGCTTGTACACGCCACTCTTTAGATTAATGTTTACAGAGATTAGCTTCAAATATTTGCTTAAGCTTACATCGACTCAAGCTTTACTCATTTTGTTTTTAAACTCAACATTATTAAAATTAAGCTGGGATGAATGAAATACATTGCAAATAAAGGCAATGTTTGAATTATTACATAACGAAGTTGTCGTAGTTGAACTAAAATAAGAGAGACGATCAGCGGCAGATAAAGTTATAGAAGGTCGTTTAGATCCTAAGAAGTGGGAAATACACTGTAATCCCACACATGCTTTTATAACTTTGCCACTAAACCACCGACAAAGTTGAAAGCGTCATATTTATGAAGAGGACGAATCTCTGGAATCAGATAACACCGGATTTGGCCTGTTTAGATATCAGCCGTACAATTCCGAACACACAATTCCAATAGAGGCGAGAAATGACTGTAGTAAAACGTCGAATTAGAAAACTTTGTCCAAACAGAACTTCAAAATATTTTGCTCTTCCCATAACCATAACGTTTACCATAACTTAGAGAAAAGCATAATTTAAATTGTTTCAAATTTATTTTTATTAACAAATCAATAAATTTCTATTTTTGTCAGATCATTTTTGAGGTTTAGAGGGGACACGAGGACACTATTTATTCTTGAAAATTTATGGTAAGAACAAAAATAGTAAAACTGAAACTGAAACTTAGCTTGCATAACGAGAATTTAAATAATAATCTATTAATCGAAACCTATTCATCAAATTTGGAACTCTGAAATTTTTTTTTCCTAAGTCACACTTGTTATTTGTCGTTCATTTATTCACAGTAGTAACAATACTTTTAATCAAGTGATATGACTTTTCAAGTTCAAAAACCAATAGACATTATTCACAAGTTAAACTCATTAGCAAAACAGGTAATTCTAGACCTTCAAATTTTTCACGTCGAGTCTGCGGCTAGGCGTAGTTATTAAACAAACACTAATGTAAATTCATTAATTCTAGATGTAGGTGTAGCAAAATTTTAATTTAAAGTTAGAAAATGAAATATTACAATTTCATTCGCTCCATTGGTTAGCACGGAATGTAAGTTGATACGAAACTAGATACCTGCAATATAATTTGTCTTTAGCACAACCCATCTCTCTTATCAAGAACACGAGAGCTTCATCAGCTTCGTACATATTAAATAAAGCTTGTATATGGAGACCTCCTGCGTTAAATAATTACATTTTAAGTTTAATAACTGCATCGTTAGGTAGGTATCACAGTAACTCGTCTAAAATTAGTTTAAAATAAATAATAGCTTTTTGTCACATAAAGTTACAAGCTTCATGCAAAATGACGGTATTCATTTTCAAACCTTTGTTATTATTTTCGATTCTTTTTATTATCTGTAACAAAACGTTGTTAAATCTACAGATCTTAACAAAGGTCTTTAGAACTGTGTGCACAAATTCTATGTAACACCTGCACCGGAAAATCGTAAACCTCCCTGTCCTAACCACACACAATATATCGAACGTCGTGGGAAATTTTGTCTAATAAATCACACAACATTGTGCAGAAGTTGGCACAAATATTGATACTATATCAGCGAAAGCCAGTCGAATATTTTACTCATTATTTTGTTTCAACATGAATTAATTCAAACTAAATATTTTATTTAAACAAATTTTTTAAATAACAGTCAATTCCAGTTAAATCAATTATTGTAACTAAATTTAATATTGTGACCAAACTTTATTGACGAACAATTGAAGTCTTTTTATGCGGTATATTTAATATTTTAACTTGCATTGCACATGAATAATTATTACGCTATAAAGTTTTGTTAAACAGTGTTGTACACAATTACCATATTGCATAATGTACATACGTGCTATTATTACAAAATATATTTATTTATTTAGCACTGTTGGTAATTAACAGCCCAGTCCACTCGATTAACTATACTCACATTTTGAGGAATCTCAAATATTTGGAGCTGTAACTTTTTGTAAAGTATTACGGCAACGCAGTAGTGCAATGCGGAATTTCTAGTGCATAATAAAAAATCGACATCCAACATTAGACAATCAAACTGGTTTTATCCTCGTTTGCTAGACACATCAAGGGATGGTAAAGACAGATGACGGCGAATGTTATGATTTTTTGTCATCAATTCTTATCAGTCAGTCTGCTTATGTAAATATTTATTTATGTATTTATTTATTTATTTACATATTTAAAAATTAGATTAATTAATGAATTGTCATAAAATTTAAATCAAAGTTAAAAGAAGTTTTCTAGGACGTAACATTAAACGCTGCATTAAACATATCATTTCAGATAAGACATGCGATTGAGTTCCAAAGATGACTCTATTACAATTTATATTGATCGGCCGATATTTCGATAACATGTCAAACGCTACTTTGACTGATAGTTCTCATAAGAAAAATTGTTCTATTATTCAGTGTGGACAGACAGTACGTCGAGAATTAAACAAATATAATAAGACCATGCCGAATATGATAAAAATTATCTACCAACAAAGAAACACTTGCGAGTGGTTGTACTATATTTTATGCAATAAAAATCATTGCTTTAAATTATTATTACGGTTATTTCTGCACTTAATTTTTACATTATTGAAGATATTTGATCACTTTTTTTTTTCGCACAGGGACAAATCAGTACTACTGAGAGCGTACTGCGCCGTAGATACATTATTTCATTATTCTTTATGAATTAAATCTTTTGACAAGTAAAGTGGAAACAATTCAAAAATTAGATGGAGTTTTATTACACAAGTGCAACTAAAAAATGTGCTCCCTGAAATTAAAAACGCAATTTAACAAAATCCAAAAAGAAAAGAACGCTTCGTAAATAGGTCTCATAAAGCAATTTTATGTAAACATTTTATAAAGTAATATTTTACAAGCCATGTCACAGAGAGCTTTAATTAAGGGATTAATTTCACGTATAGCTGCTGTTTAAGAAAACGGCTTTAGAAAAAACAATCTTGCCAATATGGTTTCACAAAAAAGTAATGTGATACAAAACAAAGTTCAAGAACCAACGAATAAATATGAAGTGTTGGAACTCCTTACCAAAGTCTTTACGTCAGAAAATCAACTAACAAATATGGGTCCGAACCGATTTTTCTTATCAACTTGTGGCACTTTTTCTGTATAAGAATAATAATTTATGCAAAATTTATTACTATTTCCAAACCGTTCGCTGCAACGATTTTCTAGCTACCTACGATATTCAAAACTAAAAAAAGCAATTCACAGTTTATACAGTAATTCTGTTGACTACAACAAAATTATTGGTGAGCAAGCAAAGCAAGCATTAAATTACTAAATGATCTGTACACTTGGTAATTTATTCAGGAATTAATTTTGTGCAAACAATTTAGCTAAATTTGCATGATCTACAATTTACTTCATTTCAAATGAAACATCTCAAATAATTGCACCAGAAATTTATCGTTCTGGTTTTACATGCACATGGAATAGGATTCATTTGACGAATAGTTAATTTCACGTTTCCTCGACGTGTCGTAGCTTCTGGAATATGAAAAAGTAGGTTGCCCATTTTCGCCCGCCCGTTGAGTGTGCGTTGGTAATTTTATTAATAATAAAATTATTACGCAAAATTGTTATAAATTATTACACAAAGAGTATCCGAAATTATTAAACAGACTACCATAAAATTTTAGATGTATTTTAGAATTACAGTGTTAAGATACTAGAAACTGTATAACCAAATTTTCAAGTTTATCTATATTTTCGTTCTTCACTATGTCAGATATTATAATACAAATAATAATAATACTAATTATCAAATCAAATCTTAATTAAGGTATTTAAAATGTACATGAAAATCGAACATTTCTAAAACCCAGGCTTTTGAAAAAACGTTGCAAAATCAAATCATCGCTTACCTTCTCAGCTTGTTCGAACGCTGTACAAAAATTATTAAAATATGGAAAATTTTAAAGAATAATTACCTAGATTCGTTTGTAATGATGTGAATGAAATGTTTCTTTTTTCAAAATTATAACATTTGTGCTGTTCACTCAGTCTTACGGATACTAATGCTGGGAGTTTGTTCAGCTCGTTCAAAAACACATCCTCCGCTGTTTGGATTTCTTCTACATTAAATTTTATCTCGCTGAAATATTGACCAGGTCTTTGAACATAATGTATGAGCATACTGTCTGTTGAAATATCCTTTTTTGGTACAACCGTGCTGCTCCGCTTTAATAACATTTAGAATTTTTACTTTAGGTATCATCGTTGGTAAAATTTACATTAATACTAAACAGTTTTAAAAATAAAATCAATAAAATAAAAATCAAACATCAGCTTATGAGGTAAATGTCTTAATAGAACCATAAGTTTCAACACATTTTCAATAAATATTTTTTAACTAAAATTAGTTGTTAGTACAGTTATTACATCAATTAATTTTGTGCTGTTAATGTGTTCGAAATTGTACTAAATGTCATCACAGGAATACTGAACCGTCAAACCTTAAAATATCTATCTTACCCTTAGTAATATTCCTTAATCCAGTTCATTAAATTCCTCTTTTTTTGTGCACACTGTATCGATTTTTTTTTTTTTTTTGTCAAATGTCAGGCGTCACAAATTTTCGTAGGTGTAAAGTATTTCCTTCCTATTAAATTTATCACAAAATCTAATTTTTAATTAAATTTAAAACGAAATACCTTAGGTTATGGAGCTGCATTGTTATTAGTTGACTTCATGTAAAAAATTAATTTCCTCTTTACCGTAAAGGTGGTATGCTAAACTTTTTTAATATTCTTGAAACTTTAATACCACCTACAAACAAGGATGAATTTAATTATAACTAAATTACTTTATCAAAAAGAAAGATTATCTTATAAATCTGGCAAATTAATAAAAGACTAAAACTGTACAGTCAACAACACCGTTTAGTAGGATTATACCAATTAATTAAAAATTTCGCCTTTTATTTCATTAAATCTCAACATAATACAAAATTTGTCACGTTTTCTCCGTTAAAATGGCACCGTTTTCCATTATCTAATTATTTTGTGTACACGATTTTACACTATTATTGAACATAGTAATTAAATTTTTCGTCAAACTAAAACGTTACAATATTTCACTTATTTATCAATATTTATTATTTATTTGGAACAAATATAGGCGTGCTAATCTTTAACAAATATGTATGTACTAGTTTATTTAAAACGTTGCAGTATTGGATTTCACCCGGCGCATCCACCAAAACATCTATTACACATTTTAAAATAAAATTGAATTCTTACAATACAAACCAAAAATGAGACTAAGTATTACTTAATGGGTGGTTTGCTACTACTCACACAATTTGCTTTTGAAAACGAAACCAATATCGTTATTATTTAAACAATTTTGGCATCGTCTTTACACAGCTACAAAACAACATTTTTAAAAATGATTCGAACTGTAGTAACTGGTTGTAACAAAGCGAAAGTAGTATAATATTTGTTGTATCATTATTTGTACTTGTACTTTCTACTGATTAAGTAGACTTAACGATGACTTAAAATTTACAGCGAAGACGGGAATAGTAATTATATTAACAGCGATATTCCAACCATAATATTTCACTTACGACATTAAGTTTACATTTTCTCAAAGTAAGAACTTCCACAACATTTTGTCAGTTTTGTTAGTTTACTTAGACATCAAAGGTTTAAACGCACTTCTATATTATAACTTACGTGTTTGCTTTCAAAATAGTCTCATTTCAGTAAATATCAGCGTAGTAAATGTTACGTACCTGTCAACTAATAATACGTTCGATTGCGTCTTAGGTCGCTACAAAGTAGATGAAGTCACTCAAGAAGATAGAGAAGATTGCTATCTAGCCACACTGCATATCAAAGATGCCTCAGCGACCGATTCCAGAACATATATTCTGGCAGTAGAAAACGATAGAGGAACTGACCGACATGCTGTTCAACTCTACGTAAAAGGTAAGGTACAAAGCTAAAAATGGCTGATTTTATGCTATTGATTTTTATCCTAATTAAATTGTTGAATTTGACGCTTCGATTATATGAAAATATCACGCCATTAAATCAGTCTCATAAATCAGTCTAAATAGAATGTATTAAATCCATTCAATTAGCCGACGCTGCAAAATGCTGGAAACCCCTAAGGCATAAGTTTAATTATGAGTGGTGCCGTACAAAATTTATTCGAAATTGCGAGTATTGAAGTTAAGAACTGGCTTTAATTAAATGTCTCCAGAAGGTATACGTATTATTATTATCTTAAAAAGTCTCCATTGCCATATTTGAATAATGAAAGTCGCGCTGCAAATTGAAATTAAGGCAGGACCTATCAGAAAAAGTCGTGCGTATCGTTAAATATGTAAAAATTTTAAAAAGTCGTAACTCTAGAGAACTTAATAACTTCATTTAAAAGTTTCTATTCTGAAAGATAAAGTAATCCGTTCGTTTATATTTTAGCGCATTAGCTCTGCAAATTTAACTAGAACGATCGTTCTCAAAATTGTAAAAACAGTTGAATCTATCCCGTTCTTTGCTCTTGTTAAAAAAGCGTAATTGAGGAAAATTCAAAAAGTCGCTTTCAAAACACTTAGTTCCGCACTAATAAGTCTGGTGTGTATTAAAGATTTTTCGCCTCCTCGCGAATGGGTAATATATTTCGCTTAATTAATCCTTTATCCTTCCAACAAAATTTATGTCTCTTTCTGTTTCAGAACCCTTGCAAATGAGTACACTTGTCAGTTTGACAGGAGGGCTACTCGTAACTTTCCTTCTGCTCGTATGTGGGTGTGTTTACGCCGTCCGCACAGAAAAATGTTGTTTCGCCCGTAAGTTTGTCACCTTTTAAAACAGTACCTTTTCCAGACAACAATCTTATCTCTGCTCATAAAAAAGACGTATTTACCTATTTTTTTTATGAAAAACGTCCTTTATATAGGACCTACAGAGCAGAGATAACGCTTATGAGCCGAACCGCCCCGCAAGTTTATATTGTTTCTTTTATATGTCTTTTGTTCTTAAGAACACTGACGGTTTAACTGGTTTATTGATTCCCTGTAAAATAAATCGTAAAGATATAAGATACAGATGTTTTCTACAGTGCCGCTGCAGTATGACTTATTTTATGGTTGCACATAACTTATAATTTAGAACCTTGCACGACGGTATCGCATGCACATTATTTGAAAAAACATTGCGTTTTAAAAATTCTCGCACATAAAGTGTACGTACTTAGAATGATAAATTGCGACGTCTTAGCTGCGCAAGGATACTTTGCAGTATATTGTGTTAGTTTTAATCCGTGGGTTCGTCGATAAGATTTTTTTTTAATCAGATATTAATAGTATTAAAATTTCTGGACGCTAGATATTTGTGTAATAACTACATATGTGATTCCATTTTTACAGAAAAAAAGATATGAATAACTCAACACATTTACAAATATAAATTTTTCTAATGCTCAAGAGGAATGAACACTTCAAAACTCATTCCAAATATTCTAAATTACTTTTACATATCTAACATGTAGATTAACATTTTCAATAGTTGAAGTTCCACATTCGAAAAATATTTTAGCAAATACTGAGCAATGTATACAGATTGTCAAACCATTTTCAACATTTGAAATAAAGAAAATCACAAAATAAACAAAATCTTGATAATCAAATTAGTTATATGTATCCGGAAAACCAGATTTGACAAGAATTTTAACATACAATCCGTTACACAAAAATTTGTGTTAATTTTTTTTAGTATAACATTATTTATAGATAATAATGCAAAACTACTATCTTACACAAACATTCGAACATTCAATATTTTGAAATATTCCTTCATGCAACTACAGATTACGTTTGAAAATGCTCATAATTTACATAGACAATTGAGTAAAGAAATCCAAAAATTAACTGACTATACAGGGTGAGTTACTAAGCCCGGTGCTCGATATTTCATTAAATAATTACAGACATGAAAAAAGTCACAGACCAAAGTTGTGTGATTCGTTGAGTGGCATACATTAAAATTATTTTCAACTAAGTATATATTTTATTTTTTGAAATAGAACACCCTATATATTTTTACATATTCTCATTAGCCTCTTCCTAGGCTGTATAACGATAGTTTATTTTTTAATTTCCTATAGGGCGTTGCCACGTTATTCCAATTTCCTTGAATACTTGTACTTCCCGAACGTAAGCTAGGAAGTATTGTAATTGAGTCGATCAAGCGATTCGCTACTTTTATGTTTTCTTGATATTTCATGATGCCTAGAATACAAAAACATTTTATTGTCTTTCGTCTATCATCTGCTATCTGTCCGCGTCTGTGTCCATTTTTATTAAAGAGCTAATATTCTAAACTACTTATTTAAGTATATATAAAATAACATACTCCAACTTGTAGTTAATGAACCCGTCTTGAATTTTTACCCTTGGCACCAATATTTCTGTAAAAATATCAAAATTATATAACAACAATTTACAATTTAACTTGGAAATTGCAAAACCGAATGCTCTGAAACCTTGCAAACGTTACATTTTCCTGATAATTTGCGTATACGATAGTATTATTAGTACTGCAAAGTGATATATGTGTCCATGCAAAAATGATGATGACGTATCAAAAATTTGTTATATGGAAAAACTCACCAGAAACATATGCGTACGATGCTTCTTCACCTGTACTTTAGGAACGAGGGAAGTTCTGTTGAAATAACCTTCAACCAATTTTTTTCAATGCAAGATTTCTCAAAAAATTACAGTATTTTATTATTGGATCTTACTCTATTTGTTATTCTCTTTTTTCAATATGGCGGTATGTTGCACAAAAAAGTAAAAAATCGCAATAACTATAAACTTTACATAATATAGTACAATAGTACATATTTCTATTGAAACACCACTTGTTAATAGTAAATTTGGTAACGTTCATATTCAGATAATAATTTTCTAGCTAAATCAATTCACAATCAACCGAAAGCTGTTACCAATTGCTAAATTTTAAGCAAAATAAGCAGGTATTTTGTCAATATAAATAGCAAAGACAATTTAAAATATGAGGATTTTTCAAACGATACCCAAAATCAGAATAAAAAATACTTACCAAAAATCCTAAAAAATTTGAAGAAAATCGGACTAACGTTTCAAAAGTAAACTGTGCTTATGAAACCTAAAAAAAGTTGAATTAGAATATGTAAAAATATATATAGGATGTTCCATTTGAAATTTGGTAACGTTCATATTCAAAAACTGTTACCAATTGTTAGCCGGTGGTGTGTCAATAGCAAAGACAATAAAAAATACTTATCAAAAATGAAAGGGAACGAAAAACAGAACAAGATGCAGTAATAAATAAAATATAGAACGTTCGATTTGAAAAAGTGAAGTAAAAGTTAAATTGTGTGTCGCCTTTTAAAAACAAAATGCTCTGTATAGTTAAAAAATAATTTAAGTGTATGCTCCTCAAACACGTTTATTGGTATATTTTTTGTATTTTCTGTACTGTACTACTACTGTATTCTCTTTTTACGATTGTTTAAACCTCATATTTCCTATACAAATAATATCATAAAAAATTAATTTGGGTCATCATTTTACAAAATCTCAAAAATAAGGTAACAAACATCTCTAATTAGATCATTTAGAGTGGAAAAACATTAACAGAAATGTATTTATCCCTATTACTTTAACAACATGAATTCAAAAAGATATTAAATAAATATTTAATAAATAATATTCCCTGAAATCCTAAAAAGTTTCTACTTCAATAATATACCAAAATTTTAATTACATGCATAAGCAGATTTTTCAAATTTACACCTCTAGGGCAAGCTGAGACGTAATGTAATAGGGTCTACTTTTTCGTAATTTTTCTCGTTTCATAGCTCCTAAAATATGAAACAGTAGGTTCCCCTTTCCATATGTCTGTCCTGTTGACGATTTTATTAGACACATACTTTTGGAAATTACTGGACTGAGTATTACGAAATTTTAGATGTATTTTAGAAATATCGTGTATATGGTAAAAAGGTAATCGAAATTTTTTGTTCGATTATTATTCAAACTAATTTGATGATGTCATCTCAAACTTTGTTGGGTTTATAAAATAATCTGCTTCTATACTTGTTGTTTATTAGACGTTCAGAATTTTTAAACAGTATTTTACAGCTTGACTTAGAAGCTACAAAATTGATTGCTTTGAATTTTTAAAGTCCTCGCAAATCTCTAAACAAAATTTATGTGTTTACCCCCTCTAAAAGCTTGATGATGTCATCTCAAAATTTTGTTAGATAAATCCTGTCTAAAATGCCCAAAATACTATATACTTATACTTGTAGTTTTTGAAACATCCGTCCAGAATATGTTCAAAAGATTAATGAGTAAAGCAATTTATTTATTGATTAAAGCAAAAAATGCTTATTTCATTTTCTTGAAAATCTGTACTATTGTATTACAGTGAATATATCCAAACTAAGGTAATTATTGTCCTTGGAATTGTAATTTCATTAAAAAAAACTCACTTGAAATATACGCAAATAATGCTTGAAATTGAATTTGTGTAATTGTTCTTCAAAGATGAGGAAAGTTCTGTCTAAATAACTTTAAATCTTTTTTATTATCTGCGTCAGAAAAGAAAAGACTCCATAGCATAAGTAATGTTTTATGCTTCGGAAACAAAGAAAGTTCGGTGTAAATAACTTTATATATTTTATTACCCTGTGCCTGTCGAGATATGAACGAAATTCGTACGTTTTTAAACAACGATCTAATCTAAAGTCAAAGGCATCAAAGTTAAGCGATCTGGCAATTACGTTTCCATTGCCAGACAACTCTGCTCTAGTTTCCTTGATACTCCTATTACTTACCCTTTTCCATTTAGTATTCAAACTCAAATCGCTTACACAACTTTTCTCTAATTTTAATCACGAAATCGACGAAAATTAGCAGAATTAGCTGTATTGATAAAAACTAATTTTGTTAATGGAATTATCACAAAGTAATGTAGTTAAAAAAAGTTTGTTTATGTAAGATAGCTGTCACAACAACAATATAAATCGTCTAATTAATAAAAAAGTGATCAGCAAGTATTTATACTTGTTTTTAAAATACGTTCATTACTCTATACATGTTAATTTGTAATTTGGTGTCATTAAAATCTAAAATACGAGGGTAATCTGTGAATTAAATCCTAGTTAAACATATCTGTCTCTTTATCCGCAGAGAAATCACATCATTTGATTGAATTTAAAATTATACTGACATTAAATACTTATGTCAGACGCCTCAACTACTGCAGCAGACTAGCAGACCGATAAAAATATACGACTGAGTAAGAACCATTACCACAGCGTCGAGTTTACGACGAACATACAATAACTAACATCTCATAGTTAAGAGACGGGTTCATTTGTTTTATGAAAAACGAGAATACGTGCACGATAAAACTCGAAATAGACAAATGGTGACCGATATTTTGTGAACAGTATGGACCAAAAAGTTCCTGCATAGACAACTTCTCAGTTGTTACTCTTGTTTCAATTTCCCCCGGTTTTACCTATTTTGCGTGAGTGTGTTTATTCAAATATTACGGAGACAAGTGGCTGATTCATCGCTAGAAAAGCGCCGTAAATGAATCGAATACGACAAGAAAAATACCGATTTAATTAAAGAATCTCGTAAATTAATAACTCGTATTCATAAACTTGTCCGACAGAACTTACTTTTCAAATTACCCTCGTAAAATACAAAAAATTAAAGTAAAAATTTACTTGGTGGTTTTCCTTGACGCATAAATAAAACAAAATTGAAACTGAACGAATATTTTAGAAGGGTATCACTTTCATCTTTACTTTTTATTAAGAAAAAGCATCTCTTCGAAGTTATTTAATAATGAATATTCACTTTATACTGAAAATAAATCATTTTGACACTTTAAATGAGAAAAACGTGTTTTCCATTGTTTTTGTTAGCAGAAAAGTGGCACGAGACAGCGTAATGAACACCGCTAGTATTGCCACCATTAGTGCTTAAAAAACCTTTGATGTATTGTAACGCCAGCATCAAGAGATGAGTAATTATGCATTTTCATAATCTTTTGATACTATTCCTTGATGACTGAAAGGAATTATTACCGATTTTCTTCCCTGTTTATATATTCTGACGAGCCCTAACCGACGCAAAATATCTTAATGACGAAAAATGTAAGCCATCTCGTAATTAAAAATCAATTTTCGTGCTAATTTAGTCTATGAGGTAGCGATAACAAGGAAATTCCAGGGGGAACAGAATTTTAATTTTCACAAAGTTGCGTTTTCTGTACGTAGGTGCTGTTTATCTGCTAATTTAGCTGTCACAGGACGTTTTATTTTTGTTATAAACTACTCTACATTCTCTTAATTTTAAAATATTAATACGATCTATGTTTTAGGTAAAGGCGATTTTAAACCTTCAGATATCGATGGGTGAGTATCTAAAGCTTTATTTAATTCTGATTCGTGGAAAATATAATTTTCTTGTTGGTCGTTTTTCTGAAAGAAAATAAGAACATTCAAAATGGCTATATGTCACGATAACAATCTATAACGGTAACAACCATTGGCACAAAGTTGGCAAAATCAATACTGAAATTGCAAGTAATTAGTCCCGATATTACGATGATTTACTAATTACTTCCTCCAATTCAGGATTATTTATGGCTTGCTATCATGCTTGCCGACAATCAAATGATCCACGACTTGCACTTGAATGTAATTTCCAAGGAATTATTATCTTTTATTCTGGAAAGCAATTTCTCGTGAAAAATGTAACTTTTAATAACTTTTATTTAAAATTACGTGGTCGGCGAGTTGGTGCACCATACAATTTACTCCCAATATAGATCCCTTTGTCTTGTATCACGCAACGTTGTACTTGGAAGTAAATACTAATCAGAAGTTCATTCAAATTTCTAATTGAGTAATTCAAAGCCAACATTTTAAAAGACATCAACCGGTGTGTATTAAATTTCTCGAGGAGAAAACTCCGTGATTGCTCTCGAAGTTGAGCATTGAAGGCTACAACATCCTAGACGCGACAAGCATAAATATGAATGTTTTCGTACAACAGATGGACTAGTTACTTTACATATTGCCAACTGAAAGCTTTCAGCTTGAGATAAACGGAGTAATCAAGTGAAGACATGCCTTCATTACTCTCTCCCAAGGGCGCGTACTGTTCTGTTTAATTGTTATTACAACATAAAGACAAATTGTCAACGGTTTACGTCGCTACACCTTCCGATAATGTCTCAGCACTTCAGATAACTTAGGAGGAATTACCACGGATTACCATTTAACATTTATACTTAGTTTTACGCTTAATTCTGACAGCAGAGAATTTACCGACTGCCCCTAGGACGATGAAAGTTTTCAAACAGAATGCACTAAATTGCAGCCAGACGATGAAAGTACGAAATCTGTTTGTGCGGTATTTGTCTGAAACAGCAGGAAATGTAGTGCTTCTCTTATGAAGATTAGAGAATCCTTTATCGTTTGGCAATCAGTGTCGGGCGTGTTATTTGTGGCTGATATCGCATATTTATAAGGAAGAAAACCCGAAAAGCTCGGCTTGTTTATATTGGCAACGCAACCTTATCAACGCCCTTTCGATAAAGATATGAAAGAGCTCTGTTCTAGCATCCAATAAATTACTTTTTTCAAAAATCAATTCCGTGCTAATAACTTTTGCAGCGTTTTGCACAAAAGCGTCACCACCGGCTCAATCTGATTGATGTTTTTTTATATACAAAAGCAATAAATTGCATCAAAATTTGCAGTCGGATGCATTTGATTTGTTAAATCAACTCATGTGTCCCCGCTGTCTGCCTAATTGATGTGTGGGGAAATTCATTTTATTTCCGTCTACGTTACATGGTTATCATGAAGGTTTAGTTTTATGATCCAATCTGTTAAAACGTTGTCTTTATTCTTCGTTTTACGACAGGACGGAACTCCCTACTCCTTGCCTTGCATTACTGAATATCTAAATTATGCTTTCCAAAATGAGGATGCTTCCCTTCCCAGGAATGTCGAGTAATTTTGCATATAATACATTATTGTCTAACACGCTTTATCGCGACACAAACCTCTTATTTATCATTTTATTATTATGTAACAAAATCATTTTTGTGGGTTTAAAATAAACAATAGATCAACTTAAAACCGTGCATGTAATTTTGATGATCATTAGTTATATTTTTTTAAACGTACATACCTACATACTTCGTAATTCAAATTAGTAGATGGCTTTTTTATCTCACAAAAATTGCTAATGAAACTAAAATCTTTTATAACAATAATCATTGTTTACAAAGCTGAAACAGACAATAAGTACGCAAAATTTATAATCCACTTACATACTTACTATCCAAAAGTCGTCTTAAAATGTTTCTCTGTCAAACCATCCGAAACTTTATTCATTGAAATTGCAACATTTCCTCTTCTCCAAATATGTAACTAAGTTATATTATAAAACATCATTTTTCTATTCACTTGTACTAATTAATACAGTACGTGGTGTATCGAATTTTGTAACATAGCCTTACGCACAATGTCGACTGATATTTTTTCAAAAGAAGATTACTATGAGCATTATTCATTTAAGGTATATTGACTTTTGAACCTCAAAAACGACTTAAATATTTTGTCAAACGTATTTTTAAATCAGACTTTAAACATAAGGACATGGTACTCACAAGATAAGATAAATATTTTTATAAAAGTTTCGATGCCTCAAAAAGAAGAATTTTGTCATCAACAAAAGTTTCATTAAAAATGTTTTCATTTACAAGGCGTTTTCCACTGATTTACGAAGTTATTTCAAAATTGCTACTTGTGTCTAAACCAAATTATGCAATAAAACAAAGTATGTATTACATTAGAATTTTCGAAATATTTTTTTAGAGAAACAAAGGTATGTTTTTTTTATTTCAAGATATTTAATAATAATTTTGATAATAAAATAACACTCGATGAATTAATCAAGGTTACCAATAAAACGCAAACCTGGAAATAGCCAAGACAAAACAAAATCTATAGTTTTTGGATCAAGAGGTTCACTTGTTTTCATATTCATCTTAAGAGACTTAAACCAAGTCCTCCTAAACCCATCTACGTTTTCAAAATTTTTGCATCATCACATATTTAAAACCAAAAGATAATGCCACAACAAATACATAAAAATACAGACATGTGTATCAACTATTCATAAAGTACCAAGCTAATACATATACAGGGTTTCTGTAAATGATTATAGGGTCGCAGTAGGTCATGTAAACGTGTCGCCTCTCAGGTTTAACTGTACTTACAAAGTGCCTAAGGACGCATGACAAAGACCACACGCATCTGTATAACTGGTTGCCTATATGCTTCACATCTTTTTTAAAAATTAAACTAATTCATTACAATAAAAAGAAACTAATTTATTGCAATTAAACATCACAGTAAATGTTGAAAATGTTCATCATTTTGTTCAAGGCACATATTCACTCTCTTTTTAATTTCAAAAATCTTCTGTAGCATCCTTTCGTCAAAACTTTGGACCCGTTGTTCAATTGTTCAATTCTACTCAAGTCTTTCACGAGATTTCGCTTTATTGACACTGCTAGTTCGAATAAATCCGTTGATTACATCTCTAATGTGACCCTCTGACGATGTTTCTTGAATTATTAAATCACGGTATTTGGCCAGATATTCTTGCTTACAAGCGGTTACAGAATACAGAAACTCTTCGTTTCTGAAGTCCCATTACGATAACAAGACATAACGATGAAAGAAGTGTCTTGTTCAACAGAATAAACCATTTTTACAGTCTTCGATTTTCTAGCACAAAAACATAATTTTCATACGCAACCACCAAGAGTTTTGAAAACGACTGTTTTGTTGTTTTGAGCTCGAATCAATGAGAATTACTGTAATTCGCACTCGAAAAACGTCAATTTCAGCGAAACGGGATTTTTGAAATCCATGGTCAACTACGCCCTTAGAATCATTTATAAAAGCCCTGTATAACACAAAAAAAAATTATCAACACTATTCTAACTCCGACATCATTAACAAAAAACAAAAGGAATTTATTGCAGGATTTAGTTGTGCACAACAATTTGTCATAGATCGCATCATCTACGAACAAGCCAAAAAAGAAAACAGAATTATAAACGCAGGTACAAAATTAACGCACCACTACAATAAAAAATCATTGTGTTAACAAACTTGATGTAAATACCCATACCTTTGGGTAAGCTGTATATTTAATAATAAATAATTTAACAAGTAATTACGCGTAGTAGGTGCTCAATGAAATTTAAATCGGGAGTGTTAGCTGACCAGTCCACAACAGGAATATCTAGAGCATTCAGATACTCCATAACTATTCTCACTATGTGAGGACGAGCAATATCTTGCATGAACAGAAAATGGGGGTTCACAAAGGGAGCAAACATAACATGTTTAATTATGATGTTTTCTAGACACAAATTTGTATTCATGGTACTCCCACGAATGAGAACTAACTCTGTGCAATCATTCAACGATATGCCCCCTCCCTCCAAACATTACAGAACCACCACTAAATGGGATTTTTGGAGATGTAAAACTACTTTCAAGTCTTTTTCGTGGTCTTGCCAGGCACGTCCGTGTCCACCTAGAGATCTTAGACTTCCTTTCGTCTCGTCTAAGAACAAAACTTTCTTCCTTTTCTCAATAGTCCAGTCTCCATGGTCTCTAGTAAAACGTATTCTTGCAACTTTTTGCTCCCTGGTGATTGTTTTAAACTGTTCGGAACAATATTACGATATCGCCAACAGTTGAGAGCTCATTTTCGATTTGAAGGTGATTGTATAATAAAACGCCCGTCTCTAGAATTAATACATCGTTTTCGCCCTTTCCTTGGTCTTCGAGAATAAAAACCTGTATGATTTCTTCGCCTTACATTTGCAAAATAGAGCATCAAGTATCCCTCACCCAGTAAAGTTGATGACCTTATTGCCTACAAAGCCTATGGTATTTTTTTAGTTCTTGGACGTAAGCAAAGGAAGTATTGTAATCGAGTCCGTCGGGCGAGCTTTCGAGTTAAAAAAAAAACATAGGTCCCCGTTTCCGTCTTGGAATCAGTGTTATTAAAGACGGGCAAAATTAGTTGTTGCGCTCAAAAAGTTCTCCCACTACTCATTCTCATTGCCAGGCCAGGGTCGCGCGACCGAACATGCAACGATGAGCGAAGCGAAACAAGAACATCCCGCGCTACTGAAGGAAAGTGGTAGGAGTCGCATGTACTAACTTTGCCTGTCTCTAGTTATGATACACTAATGAATCTAAACAAGCAAGGTCTACAAGAATCTTTAAAAAAATATGTAGTGTCTTTAAAAAAAGGGGGGTGTCGTAGACAAACAAAAAAAATTATATTGTATCAAAACATATTTATAGGATGTTATTTAGTTCTAAAAATCATGGTTTTTATTTTTCAAAAAAGCGAGATTTGCTGGACTATAATTTCGGGGTGGGGGAAGTCCTGTCGAAATAACGTTCGACCAATTTTTTTTTTTTTTGGTTTCTAAACGGCTTTTGATTGCATTTTTGATAATATGAAATTTGCTAGAGATGTCAAAAGGGATGGAAAGTTTGCTTGTACTTACAACAGTTACGAAATTATAAACATTTATAATATTGTGAATTTTCAAATTTGTGTGCGTTAATTTTGTCCAAATGTGTACACATACATATACTACTTTTATCGATCATAAAAAACGCTTCTGCTTTAGTCCAGGATTTTTGGAAAAAATTCAAAACTGAATAACAATAATTTGCAATACATATATTCGTATACTGACTGACATGAGAAGTGCAAAACCAAAAAATAATAATTTTTTCAACTCATTTTTATACCACGTGTTGGCCTTCAAGAGGTAAAGAAATGACCAAAATGTTGGCCTGTATCTCTTAGGTTTTGTGAGATTATCAACACATTATTGACCGTATTTTTGTTAATTGTTAGAATATATTTCTGAATTTTGGACTATTTCTTTACATGTTGTACACCTGGTATAAAGATCAATGAGTCTATACTCGTGATTTATCGTTGCATTAAAAGTTTTTAAATTTCTTTTACAGGGTGACTTAAAAATTAATGAATAAGTCAATTTATTTCATTGATTAAATCGGGAACTTCTCACTTCGTTTTCCCGAAAATTTGGGAATACAATACTGCTATTATTAGTATTACACTGCACCTATCCAAATTGAGATACGTGTCTTTGCAAAAATGTTGATGACGTCATCACAAAATTTTGTTAAGGGAAAACGCATTTGGAATGTACGCCCAGCACGCTTCTTTACATTTACTTTAACGTTACATATATATCTTTATTTTAACTTACGAGGGTTCTCATAAGAAAATAAAATTCGCATAATCAAATTTTATAATTTTTCGAAAAAACTAGATTTGTTTTACTGTATTTCAGGGGTAATTCTGTCAAAATAACTTTTTGTAAACATAAATGAGCTTTTCATTTAAGTCCATCGATCGCATGCCTCAATATCTCTGTATTATTTGTTTATGTCGTTAATTTTTTCTATCATTCTCAATCTTAATTCCTCAAAATTGTTGACAGGTATTCGATAAATAATATTCCCTAAATAGGAGGTTCTTGGGACCCAGATATTCTCTGTATTTCGACTAAATATTATATGTTAAAAAATTCCCGTAACATTGCTACTGTAGTTCTAGCTGAATGCGCTGTAGGCCCGTCTTGTTGAAAATAACCTGGTTTTCTCCAACAGCCGGTCATCAAGTATGACCAAAAACTACTGAGAATTGTCAACCCTAACTGAAAAATCGTCTTCATATAATTCTTAAACACAAATTACTCGATACGGAAACAGAACTAAATCTTTTCGCAAGATTGCTTGGCAAGTTCCAGTGAATGTTGTAGGGGTGTGCTCCATTATCTGTCTAATATTTCCAATATTTTATAGAGTTCCCTTATGTTGCGACCTGCCACTTCCTTCCGTTCTTTTTAGAGACAAGGTTTCTCGGAACTTTGTCGCACCTCGTAATGTATTGTAAAAATGAGCATAATTGCCGATGTTGTTTGGAAATTCTTCCCGGAATTCATCCCAATCCGCTTGAATCGAGTACTCCCACACACCGTTTGTCTACTACCCATTTCAAAATACGACTCAATCATAAACGCTTTCTACTCCAATAGATATACTATTTTTGAATGAAAACGCAAATACGCACAAATATAGTTTTGAAAAGAACTATAAAGAATATTTCTCCAGGAAACAATAACAAAAGTAACGTTAGAAGGAATGTTTCATGTGACAGTTGTTAAAGTCACAGCGAGATTGATTAATAAATTAACGTAAAATTTAAATCAAAGTTAAAAATCAGTTTATAAGGATTTTAGTTTTTGCCTTTTTTTTGCAAGGATGGCTCGATTACAAGTTATGTTCCTCGCCCGATGATAATGACAATAATTGCATTATTAGAATCAGTACTGTTCATATTAGACGAACGTTAAAAAACTAAGACAAAACTTCAAATAGATTATTATGGAATAAATGTGACAACCAGCATTTATTATGATTTACTATGAAATTTTTATAAATAAAGGAATGATGCAAAACGACAAAGACTTAATGTCATATTATTTAAGATTCATCTATCGACTTCTTTAATGCGTTTTTAACAACTGACAACAATGCCGCGAAGTCTCTCATATAAAATGCATGACTAATGGGTTTTAGACGCTGTCAGCTCAAGCTAGAATATAATCTATAGTTTGGCTATGGAAATAGAATTAATGACACAAGATGGCCAAAGAATATTTTAAAACAGATATCGTCAGCGAAATTAGAAAAGAATTACCTAGGCAAAAGTGATCAAACGACGTTAACGACGCCACAAAATTACGAAGTTTAAAAAAAAGTCCAGACAAAAGTAGTTGAAAACTGAACGATAAAACGTCAGTTTAAAGAAATTCGAATTATAAAAAAAAAGAATAACAAAAATTCAGTGGAGATGGATATCATCTGAGGTATTTCCATAATTTTCACTCTTTATAGGGCAAAGGATTTCTTGGTCTTTTCGTAGAGTTCCCCACTTAGGCATCGACTGTAATGGCCTTTCACCACTCGTTCTTTTGCATTTAGAATCGACAACCCATATATGAACGGTTTTAAATGAAAATCAGCACTCACCGAGAAATGAATGTTAATTTGTCAAAACTTATAACTCCAACATTCACAATTATGAAAATAATGTACTTATATTATGGTTTGTTAAATGTTGGAAGTATTTTCGGAAGTATTCTTGAATTAGAAAGAAATTAGAAGTTAGAAAGAACGAACACGTTATTAAGTAGAGTATAAAGACAAAGGGAGTTAGTTACGTAAAGAACTTGATAAAAAAATATGTATAATTAAAGTATTATAAATAATAAAATTTGTTAAATTTAGGATTTCGACAATGTTTGAAAAAGTAGGTGCAAATCCCGCCGATCGTACCAGTACCTAAATAAACAAAATTTTATCTATGTTGTAGGCAAAAAGTAGACATAGAAAAAACCGCCACTGGTCCAGGGGGCATTCCTGCAGATGCCATATACACAACAAATTCTCGAGGTCACGGAAGTCCAGAGGCCATGAAGGTACGTCTCGCCGCCATGGTGCTGCAACCCCCCACTAGAGTGTAGCACTGCACCCTCGGGCTGGGGCGGAACAACGGCTTTAAGCACGGCCGACCCGCCACAGTCATCGAGTACAAGTGTTAACTGTTTTGAAAATACAAATCTGCCTAAAACCACCGGTGCTAAAACTGAAAAGTTGTTATCCGGTTCACCCTTCATTCGTACCCATTTTTACATTCCTCACGGACACATTGATTACGACTGAACGTTATGATAGATTGGTAAAGTAGCGGACTAAAAAAATTGTGTAGCTTTTATTTTGTGGCAAATTTTCCTGGTGGAATTCGACAGAAAATTGTCCTCAGTGCACTTAATTTTAAATATATAACCTCCGAGCACCAAATTTATTCAAATGGAGTTTAGCCATTATCAAAATTCGAAACGATGCAATCGAATTATTTTCATCGGCCATAATGTCGATGGTTTTATCTTAGCTCAGGCTGTCTAAATTGGATTACTTCCTATCTATCGGAGTAATGTATTACGAATAAATTTTGCATCGGCTAAATGCGGAGCACAACATAACAAATCATCTACTTCCCAGACTAATCAAATTCTCCTTATTGGATTTAAGACCAAAATGTTTTGAGCGGTTCATAAATTGTAATTCTGTCAGGACCTTAAAAAGGAAGCGCAGCGTTCTCTAAACTAACCAATTGAATTTCACTCGGTGCTATTCGATGGCAGCTGAGAGCCGTGATATTTTTATCAAACAATGTGGCGACAGGTTCCATTCAATTTTCAAAACAGTTTACACTGCTATTTGGAACTGTTTTGATCACAGTCGCACCCAGTAAACTTTACCTACGACTCAAAGTTTTTTATTCAATAGGAATAGACCTGCAAGTTTGTCTGCTGATTTGTAATTTGTATGCCTTGTTCATGCTTGTAGCTAATAACGTCATTAGACATGACATGATTTATTTTAGCGTTTCCAGATAATGTTGTTATTAGTTTACAAGTTTCATTTATCTCAACGATAGTTATAAGTTAACAACGTTTTATTTTATTAGTGTTCATTTAATTAAAACTGCGAAAAATAGAGAATCCTTAAGTTTTATGTCTACAGTTTAAACACACTCCTAATAATAATCGACAATAATGATTCTTGTGAAATAAAACAGGGTGGGAAGTCTCTATTTTTTTGCTTTTATTATTTCTACGGCAAACTTAAACCTAATCCACTAAACTACCAGATTGGAAGTAGAATTTGTACATAGAGAATGTCTTGTAATTATCATACACTAACGCACTTTGCACTTTGTAAATATTTGCACATGCACCAACTAACACCGTAGTGTTGCGAGTTTCGACTGGTTTTTGCCTATTCACAGTAACAGTAATTTGCCTCAGAATATTAGGATATGGAAAAATTGACACTTCTGCATTATCCTATATATTGCTGTCTGGCACGCACACACTTAACTTTTCTATATGTTGTACAACAGCATCCAAAATATTTTTCCACGAAACACTGCACACAGGATCCCAGAACTGCAACATTTTCTTTAAAAATATTTGTTGTTATGCACTCAAAATAACGAGATACTTGAAACAAACGAAATATAGTCGCGTGAGCCAGTTTGCGATAGATTTATACCAAACAAAAATGGAGATACTTTGAACAGTATTGTCACAGTGAGAATTTGATTTGTTAAGAATGACGAAATTATGAAAACGATAATTTTTCAGATTTATAAAATCTGGATCAAGCTTCTGGTGTAAAACTTCTTAATGCTCGTTATACTAAATGCAGCATAGATCGTTTATTTTTTGTAACCTGATGTAAACAATAGAATTCACTTTTAGCAGTTTACGTTTTTATAAAATTTAACGCACGTAGTTTTTGAACACCAAAGCAATTATAACCCACACAATTTTAATTTTGACATTAGATTTTTTCGCTCCGTTACAAAACAACTTTGATAAATATAAGAGCAACACGTCTTATAGTTTTTTCATTGAGTACTCTTTTAATACTCGAAATTATAATTTATGTAATTATTAAATACGTAGACATCTCACAATTATTCAAATTAAATAAGGCAAAAACGCTCCTAACATTTTTATTTTTTTTTTTTAATCTGACAAAAAATTAAATACATGGCTAAGTTTATTTCAACCCAGACATTTTTACTAATTAATTCTGTTATTTATTGTGAAAAAATATGGAAATTTAATACAACGTTAGAACAAACTTTCCGTGCAAAAACATGATGATAAATTAAATCCACATATAGTTTTAAGTGCCTTGGATGAACAACTTGTTAAAATTTTAATTTACCTTATTAATTTTTTAGTAAGGTAAATGAATAAACATGCTAGTATCGTAAAAACAAACTTTATAAAAAATGCTGCAAGAAAAATTGATAAAGCACTCCAGTGTCTGGTAGGGATAAATTTACAGCTTTCAGCTAGATGCTATTTAAATAGACATTTAAATGTCTGAAATGATCTATAATTATTATTATTAAATAACATACTGCTGTTCGTTTATTCATTGTTTTAAAGAGGACATAGTAATTCCCAATTTTAAGGAATTCAAACCCTGTGCATTAAAAAAAAAGAACTGAAAAAAAAAGCATGTGGCAATATCAAAGTTGTGACGTCATCGGATTTTTTTAACAGCATCCATAATTTCTGTATTTACTTGTTGTTAAAAAGATTTCAGCTTTTACTTGTTTAATATAGTTTTCGCGTTTTTTTTAATGGTTTGTTTCTAAAATATAACACTTCTAAAAAAGTTTAAGCTTCTTGTTACTGGATTTGTTATACAATTTACTCCATAGATGTTTTTTTGTATTTTTTATAAGTATGGAGCGGTAGTCTCTGGTAGAAATTCCATTTTTATTAAGTAACAATACCCTATTGTTCATCACTTTTACTAAATCACACTATTCAAATAAAATGTATGTAAAAACATTAAACATTTGGTGTCGGAATGTTAAATAGGTCAAGCAATACATTTTAAGTTATACCTAAAGTAACATTATACCACCTACTTATTAAAGAAAATGTCATGCATTATTACTAGGGGAGCGCAGGGTAATTGCAGCTATGGACGGAAAAGTTAAAAAATTTATTGTTGTAATCATAAAGGTAGCATTAATTTAACCATTAATTAAAAATTGACAGAAATTCTTCAAAAATAATCTTAGTCTGGGCAAAATTTTCCTATATGTGTAACAGGAGCTATTATTCTAAACTTAACAAACTCAAATAACATTTTGCCGCAGCTAGCTAATACTAATTATAAACTTCTTAACGAGTACACATTTGGTAAAATAATTACCACATAATCAACACAAATTGGTAAAGGGGTAATGAGAGCACCCTGGGTCCCATTATCCAACAAATAAACAATTCGGATTAATAAAAATAACAAAAATAAATTTTATTTTTAATATAATTTAATTTAATTTAATAAAATTAACTATAGAACAAACACACAACGCAATTCAATGAGAAATGTTTAGCTGTTTACTTTGAATTCGAGAATTTTATGTTTTTAAGAGGAAAACCCAAAAACAACTTGAGTTCAAAGCCGCCACATTTGTTGGACTGAAGTGACTGGCGGCGATCACATGATTGAACCCAGATCGCCGAAGTCGTTCAAATTATTTCCAAGCCGGGAGCCTTCCTAAGTATAGTCTCCGAAATACTACAAGGTTATATGGCTGTTGTAAAATTAGGATATTGTGAAGACGACAATGGAGCAGTTAATAATAAACCCACAGTTGTAAAAGACAAATTGTATTTGTAAATGTACCAAAAAGATATTGAAACAAATCCTTGATTTACGACGCTAGGCTTGAGTCGGTAACCAGCCGCACAAAAGGAATTATAACACCCCATTATTAAGTTTTGTGGGACCATATAACCTTGTAGTATTTCAGAGACTATACGTCTATTATAATAGTTCCCATAACCCGCTAGCTTCCATTACCCCAAGCGCCCCTACTACAAATGTTAATTACTGCAATTTTTGATTTATGAAAACTAACAGCATCAAAAGCGTTTCCACTTGGCAAGTTAAATGACATTAACATAACCCGTTTTGCAAATATTATTACTATTAATTGTAAAATAATAATGCACAAATGCAACATATTCACGTTTTGTAGAGTCACCAACATGCATTTGGTCGTATCCGAATTGCGGTGTAAATTTTCCTCAAATCTCAGGTAGTTAGCTACATGTATACTTCTGACCGAATTGCGGTCCATTCTCGAATCGTAGTAGTTCACTTTACTATTACTGAATTTTTAAAGTTCTTGATTCAGAATTTTGAGGATTAAATAACAGTGTCGATCACACTGATCAAAACGAGACAACTTAACCCCAAATTAAGAATTTTACCACAGTGCGGTTACGCATTAAAAATGCACCGCAGTTCGGATAAGCTGCTGCATTTAACGTTGAAAACACGCCACAACGCTGTAATATTCAATTTACTTTAAGTGTTGCTGTCAAACACCTGTCAAAATTGGATTTTCAATCTGCACTCTCACTTTCAAATAATCAAAATTCTCACTGTTTTTCAAATGCGAGTTGAGTTCGTTTTTTCATTAATGTGTTAAGTTCGATACTATTTTTAATGGACTGACAATACTGTGAGAAAATATTGAGTCATCACAAACTATAACTTATTCTTTGACTTGTGGTATCATTAGCTTAAGCGCGGTCCTCGATGTCTCAGTAATTATTAGAGAAAAGTCAGAATTTAAAGTTCGTACGGTTCTTTGAGTACCATACATCAAAATTATTTTCGATTATGTGTGGTCGGTTTTCGATTTTTTTTAAATAGAACACTCTCTACATTTTTAAACATTTTCACTGCCCTCTTCATGGGCTTCATAATTGTAGTTTATTTTTGAAATGTTGTTGTTTATTTTTCTTGAATTTTTTAGTAATGCAAATGTTCATAAAATTTTAATACCTATTAGAGATGTACCGACTGTAGGTCTGGCCGACTAACCGACTAGCCGATTGTTCGGCCAATAAAAACCGACTGGTCGGCCGACTGTTCGGCTTTGCTAAAACCGGTTCATAAATGCGACAGACAGTGTGTTTTTTTTTCTGTTTCTCTGATTACCTTAAAAAATTGTTTATTTTAATAAAAGGAATAACTAAAGTTCCTTTGTTTTCCAAAAAATGTGTTAAATTTGTTTAGATAATTTTAACATTTAATTTTTTTTAGTAACTCAGTACAAAAATAAAGAATAACACAATTTAGGGCCAGTTTATCCAATATTTTAACTGAGCTTAAGTTGATCGCGCATTTAACAAGGCCATTAGCGACGTCTGATTGGCGTAGAGTCGGTCACATGGTACTTTAACGCGGAGTTAAAAATTAAATCGCAATTAAATATTTAATTGAGGTTCTGTAAATCAGGTTTAATTGTTTTATATACTATTTTAATTTTAATAAAAAAAACCGACCGATCGGCTGTTTAGCCGACCAGTCGCCGACTGCAGCCGACGATGAAAAACGGCCGAATAGTCGGCTTATCCGACCGGTCGGCCACTAGTCGGTACATCCCTAATACCTATACAACGTGTTCATAAAAAATTCTAAAACGCTACAATTTTCAAACGTCGCTATTTCAATATTTTATTATTGCATCTTACTCTATTTTTTATTATCTTTTTTTCAACAGAAATGTTGTAACACAGATTTTAAAAATAAGCCCATTGTCCATTTTTTTATTAATCCTTCCATCGCCAAAAAAATTCAAGAAAACTGAAATAGCGTAGCAACGTCGTATCGCACTTTCAAAAATAAAATGTGATTATAAATCCTAAGAACAAGTCAATCAGAATATGTAAACAAATACAGGATATTTTATTCGAAAAAAGCAAGTTGTGTTACGCCTTAAAAACACACACAAATGACAATCTCTGCACCTAAATTCACAAATGAAACCGCGACACTCTCAAAGTATTTCCACTGTAGCATGTACCAAACGATAACATTGAAACTATCAGTCAAAATGGATAATTATTTCGGCACAGAATATAATGTGAAAAATCGCATTTAATAAATTTAAACGAATCAGATCAAAATATTTCTAACATACCGTCCACCTATACCTACACTATTTTTTTTTAGAAATCGACACCACATTAAAAATATGTCGATAGAACCGTGGACGTAACCAATAACAAATGTATAAATCTCTACACAACACGTAAAATTACAAAACAGATTTTCAACTATTAAAAAAACAAAAATTAATTGTTATCCCAAATTTTGTTGCCTTATTAACTAGGTAAGTGTTACTGTTGCATGTGATTTGAGAAAAGTTAAAGACACCAGTTTTCAGTGGAACAAACAAGTAAAATACCGAATGAAGGTTGTTATATGTTTTGTTTATGCTAAAACTTTATAAGCAACATCTTAGAAAATTTTTGTTATGTATTTTTCCTTTTTTCTATTGACATTTAAAGAATTCATTTTATTCAAGTCCAGGAAATGGACTTCATATTTGAAGTTATGTACATTACTGACTGTGAACATTTTTCTAATTTAGAATCATATACAAATTTGTTTAACTATAAATTAGGTTTCTAACGAATAAAACAACACTTATTGTGGTGGGTTCTAGCATTTCTCTAGATGTTTAGAATTTGTAGGAAATCTTAACAGTGTCATGTAACAAGGCTGTTGTACAACATGATTTACACTGTACATAATTACACTTACACTGATTTTCCACACAGACTCCTGTCCTGAGCACATTCTCAAACCACCTCACATGATTCTAATCCTGCCCGTTGTCGCTGGTCGATGTGGTACCTCAGTCGGCTAGAAGATCATCGCACTACACTTAATTATTATTACTTCATTCATTGTAAATTGTAGAACCTCGAAAAACGAACTATTTAAATCAGTTACAGGTGAAATTCACTAATAATTTCAATACTCATATTGTTTACATAAGTATTTATAATTATACATTTGTTATTCTCTGCTCAATTTACACAGTGGGTGAATTTTAATCGTTCGTTTTTCTAACAGTACAGACTAACACAATCTAACATACTGCTGTAAATATAGCATACCACACTCACATTCAATGGTAGAAATAGTGTAGAAGAAAAACCAAAAGAAAACGTCTACTCTGGCCTAGAACCCAATACTCTACACTTGCGAAATCGCGAATTATCACTCAATTTCTTCGAATCAGATGATAACGATACTGAAAAAAGTTTCCAGGATAGAAGCAAGTATTATAGTTTTAACAGATATTCGAACCAAAAACCTTTCGATAATTGGTCGTATAACACATTAGCAATGGGTTCACATCGAGCGTCTTTGCCTGTCGATAATAAGTACGTTCGCCGATCTCTTAAAAAATATAATAAAAATAAAGATAACAGGCCTAGACCTAAACCATTGCAAATTGAAAACGAAAAGTATTATGACCACGTATTTCCGAAACGGGAACTGCGGTCTAACAGTACTGACTTATTTTATCAACCAAATAGTTTAGATCATGCGGAATTGTAAATATATTGTAAGTCGTCGTCAAATACATTGTTGTACATTTTAATATTAAATTTGTAAATATTTCGCTGGTAGGCGTTCATATCGTTTTCATTTTTTCCATTTATTGTCACGTTCATTTTCTAAAGACTAGTCCAATTTTTAAATGATCGTGAACTTATAATTTGACGTCTTTTGATTTATGGAAAAAAATGAAAACAGATAAGTACTAACATACTCCTTATAACGTGTCCAGCTGATTTCTTTAACGGTTCGTGAGTACTTAAAATAATATCTTTATCAATACCAAAATTATATATTATCTTTATGTTACACGGGTGCATTAGGTAGGTTGTCATATTTTACCAACACATTTAATTTTTACTATAATCAAGTGGTACAAAAAATACTTGCAAATAAACCTACCTTATGCGTACCAACTGCCGAAAGTAATTTTAAATTATTACTGTATAATTATTTATTCCATTCGTTTTGTTGATCCGTCACTTTATTATGTAATAGTGTAGAAAATGGGACAAAAATCGCAATAATTAAAATAATTTATGCACAGAACTAGCTAACAACCTTTAAAAAAATGACTTTTCAAGATATATACCCCACTATAATCCACAAAAAGCTAAAATTATCTCAAAGATCATGGTAATTTCCATCACTTTGTAATTTCTACACGCACTGTCAAAGTTTAAAAAAGCGGTGTATAGGGCATCCACGAATTTAATGGTTTGACGACTTTGACTCCACATCCCTTGTCAACGAATAATGCAGGTTTATTGAATGCAAATTTATGGCACCATCCCAAATTTCAGTAGCCGCTCTTTGTTACATTGGGCTGGCACGCTTCCCTTCATTCATGTATTCGTCTTGCTTGCCTGTTTTTACGATGGTCAAGCTTATCTGGTTGAGGGTATTATTTAAAGAGATTAAAAGCCAAAAGTCGCAGAACTACTAAATTTCTGGATGGCTTATATACTATATTTCAGACAAAAATATATTGCTCTCCTATGCAAATTTTTTAAAGACGCTGTGCAAGTGAATCTATATCAATAAAAATGTAACAATTGTGAACACAATGTCATAACAAAAATTAACAATCATTTTCAAAAACTTCGCAAGAGATGACTTAAAGGAAGTATATTATAAAAACTTATTCACTGTTATGAACTCCTTGAATTTAGTAATATTACTTTAAAGAATGTTTGTGCTCAAATGCTGTTATAAAAAGTTAAGTTTGAAACTGTTGAAGAATATTTTTCTAAAAACAATAATTATGCTTGAGAGATTTTTTTTAATGTTCATTCTAATGTATTATTTTAATTATTGCACGGTTTCACCCAATATGTACGTTTAATATTTTTCTTGTTTTTACCAAAGATAAAACAAAACCAAATCTCATAATATTAATAGATAGATAAATCTTCTGAATATATGTGATGTTACAATAACGATAATAAAATGACTTAAATCAAACGTGTTATTATTCTTAGGCTTTAAGTGTAAAATATAATTATTAATCATATAATCTGTTAAAAGTAACGAGAACTATGAATTTGTGTCATATTGTTTATTTTTGTCTTATTTTATTAAAATTTTATCATCAAATTCGTGTAACTAATTATTTATTTAGTAGTAACAAATCTATTTCTAATGATGATGTATTAGGGAATATTATTTTTTAATGTAAAAATAAATTATAGCATTATTACATGTTATAAAATAAATTAATTAATAAAACATGTCCAGTCACTTTATTCTGTGCCCATTCATCGACAAAAAAAAAATCGATTTTTTTGCTATTTCAAAAAGGTAAGTAAACAACGGTCATCACCAAATTTGATTAACTTGCTCTACTATTTATTCCAAAATACATGTATCCCCAAACACAGCTAATTTACATTCACAAAGTGAAACGCTGTAGCCTTTCCAATTGACATCGTACCCCGACAAAGAACACTGATTCCTCTTTCGATATGATCGTTTACACTTCTGCCAGTACGGAATGCACTTTGTGTTTCTTCTAAGCCCGATTCTACATAGTACACTTATATAAATAGTTTGTTTTTTAATATTCTTTCATATCTTTGAGTGTTGTGTTATTATTACTATTTCTTGTGTCCCCTGATTTAAATATGGGGGTTAAGATTGCAATCTTTTGGTCTTCTTTCCGTGCCTTAATACATATCGTCCGGAATAACTCTTCTCCCTCTACTGCCATATATTTCAACACTTCTGTAGTTATCCTATCATTTCCGGAGCTTTCCCATTTTTTAAAAATTCAATTATTTCTTTCAATTCTTCGTATGTTACTAATGGCTCTCTATGTCTTCCTGACTTATCTTCATTATCCGTTTGTTCATTTATGTCTGTGTCTTCGTCTTCATTTTCATCTGTTGTTTCGTCCACCGTTTCATTATTACAGTGTCACTGGTTAATATTTTCCTTTTTTGTTCTTTACATGAGTATATTGCTGCTTTATATTTCTTATTCTTATACATTTTTTTCTTTACTGTTACGAGTAATTCCCATCTTCTTTCCAAACTTTTTGCAGCTGTTGTGTTTCTTCTTTCACCATGTTTCTAACTTTTATTCTTTGTTTTGTATTCTTCATAATTTGTCGTTATTCGGCCCTTCAAATATTTTTTCCATTTTTCTTACAATACGCTGTTTGTTTTTATTTGTTGTTTGTCTTTAGTATACCAAAACAATAAAATAATCACAGAACCAGCCGAGAAAGGATATAATATACTTATGTTTGCGTTCCACGGGACACAGGTCTCAATTTCCAGCATCTATTTGACCAGTAACTAAAGCGCAACCTTTAACTAGGAAACCTTGTCCGCTTTCATCAAGCGAAAAATTCTATCTCTCTCGAATTTAAAATGATACCTGAAAAAGTTTAAAATTACTTACTTAAAGGAATTACCTACGCCACACTCGATCAAGAATTTCAACCAACTCGAAATTTACAGGGTGTTAAATTAAGTGACACTTTATCAACAATTTTAAACAAGAAAGAATTTATACCAGGTTAAAGTCATTAATTAACAAAAAAAGTACATATTACATACGAACAGTTCACAGTTAGCTGGTCTCGGAAACGCACGACGTACTTCGAGAATAAATGATCAAATTCAAGCCGCAAGAAAATTATTAAACCTGCGAGAGAATAATTAGACTTGAAGCAAGCTTGACTGTTGGAGATTTCTAGGTCTTTTGTCTCCAAATGGATCAACGTTTAGATCAGATTAAATGCCTTAAAAGAACTGTTATTATCAGTCTCGAGTAAGAAGCTAAGAAATGTATTTTATAACGCATTACAATATTGTAAAATACTTAAGTAAAAACATCCAAAAACTTTCATAAAACGTATAAACAAAAGAGTGAAGCCTGAATAAGTAACTTTTCCAATTTGTGCTTTATATGAACAATTTCATGACTGTTAAATTGTGTTAAAACCAGGAACAGTCAATTGAATCGATTTCTATTGTAAGTATCCTTCCTGTATGTCCTTCCCATTTTCTAATAATTTTCCGTGTTTGCTGCTGCTCGTTCTTCCTGTTTAACTCCACTATATTATACAAGTGGATGACCATCTTCCCGTATTTTTTCTCCGTGTCTTTTTTTTTAGTTTCATAGCATGATTCTTGTTCTTTGTTATTGATTCCTCTTACATTCCAAGTCACTAATTTCCAAGTTTCCGTTCTACTGTTGTTCTTCCTTAGTTTTTATGGAGTTTTTTGTACCGCTTTTGGACTTTTTTCTTCTTCCAGTTCTTGCCTTTCTTTGTTCCTAATCCATTTATCAATTTACTGTAAATGTCTAGTATCCAATTTTCACGACGTTATTTTTTTGTCTTTCCTTCATAACGTTTTTTTTAATATCTCCTGTATGTTTTGTTATTTTTTATTAGATCATTGTTGATGTATAGTAGTCCAAGAGCTAAACGTTATCCCATTGTATCGAAGTTAACTTGTTCACAATAGAAAAGTTTTTAGGGTCGTAAATAGCGTCTCCATTGCAGCTCGACCGGCTGTTGTCGTTTCGTTTAGGAGCGACTTTCACTAAATATCTAAATCTCAGCAAGAAATGTTTAGAAGATGATTTATTGCCAACCGGTAAGCTTAGTGCGAACCACACAAAGGGGGTATTTATTTGCGGTCAACTACTTTTACAATGGTCACATAACCTTATAGCTCTTGGACTACTTTATATCTTATTGTATCACTCATTTCACCATTTCTTAATTTAAGTTTATTACTTCCTAAAGAAGTATAGTAATCGAGCCTATCGGACAAATGGCCACTTTGATGTTTTCTCGACGCTTCATTTTTTTTTTTTTATTTAAAGCTCTTTACCAGTGAATAGCGTAGTCATTTTCAGATTGCTGCAACCCACATTTCTTACCTCGAAACTTATCAGTTTCGAGAATTATAAGGGATTATTATCCCTTATACATATAATCCTCACAGCATGGTACCACGTTGAGATACGTATTGTGAAACAAAATTTAAAGAAATTGGGTCATTCAATGAGTAGGTCGAGAATTTTGCTCGGTGCTCAATGTTGAACAAGTAAAAATAAGTGCAGAAAAGTTATTAAAAATTAATTATGCACAATTTAAAATAATAACAATACATTACAGTAGGTACCATAAAACAAGGCATTTGTTGTTTCGCTTTTCTTGTCGAAAATTGGATTGTGTATCGTCTAGTTTAGTGTTTTGTTTATTTTTTAATTAATTTTGGTTTCAAAAGGGCTTCAAAACCTATGTCAGGAACCCAAAAAAGAAAAAGAAAAACCTTTCAAGAGGAAGAAAACAAGACGCAGAGAAATTCACTTGCAAGTTTTCTGAAAAAGGAAACTATGAAGCAAGAAAGTAAACAACAAGTAGTCGGTAGGTGTACCTACATACGAATTAATTATTATTAATTTAATTATCGCTTATTGTGTCATTTAGTGCTAAGTCCGTCATCATTTAGGTAACATATTTTTAATTCTGCAGTTCAAACATCGGATAGCATCTCAGAAAGCATTACGTTAGATGTTCATCTTTCAGAGAACAATCTGGAACCTAGCACTGCTAGCTTATCATCATCTAACACTGAAGACCTAGTAGAAAAAAACGAGGCGGGACCAAACTCATCATCATATGCAGAATATTCTCGAGATCCTGCATTATGGCCCGATGTGATTTCGGATAATTTTCGTAGTTATATTCTCTTAAACAGACCAAATCAGATGAACGGAGATATTTTTGCATCCGAAATCCATGGCACTGGGCCCACAGGAACATGGAAAAGATCATTTAAAAAGTCATATTTTTATCGTGTGATGGCGAATGGTGAAACAGTAAAGCGGGAATGGTTAATTTATGGTGGAACTACAGGGTCAGTTTATTACTATATTTGCAAATTATTCAAAACAAAAACAGCCATTTCTCTCCATGGAATTAAAGACTGGAAAAACATAAACGCAAGATTATTAGAACATGAGAATTCTTCTGGCCACAAAAATGCTTTGTGTTGCGCTTTGTTTCGTTCTAAAACAGAGGGTCGTATTGACGAAAAACTTGCCAGTCAAACGAATTGTGGCAACGGTAACATTTTTTTCAACTAACGGCTTGGCCTTTCGAAGTCATTCTTCAAATCGTGGAAATTTTTACAATTGTTTGGAGTATCTCAGCGAATTGCCATTTTTGGCAAACCATTTGAAACAATATGGACATGCTAGAAAAGGTACTGCACATTACTTATCCTCATCGATTGCCGCAGAATTTATACAACTGATGGGAAAGCAAGTTAAATCATATATTTTACAGGAGATTCTACTCCTGACTTTTCGCATGAGGATCAGCTTGCTCTCATTTTGCGCATTGTAAAAGTTGATGGTCAGACCATTGAAAGATTTATAGGTTTCATTTCATTAGATGATCACTCTAGTAAAAACCTTGAAGAAATTGTATTGGAAGCATTAAAAGAGATGGATATCGATATTAAATATTGCCGGGGTCAAAGCTACGACAATGCATCAAACATGCCTGGTTGTTACAATGGTCTGCAAGCTAGGATTAAACAGCATGCTGAAGAAGCCTTGTATACTCCATGCGCAGGCCATTCTTTAAACTTAGTTTTGAATGAAACTGTTGACTGTTGTAGGGATTCGGCAAGTTATTTTGAACTGTTGCAAAAATTGTACAACTTTCTGTCTTCATCAACCAAAAGACGGAAAACGCTCCAAGATACTTTCGCTAAAAATATAAAGCGATTAACTGTTAAGCGTCTATCTGACACTCGATGGTCTGCTAGCGCAGATGCTGTTGCAGCTGTAAAAAATGGTTACAAAGAAATTATTGCTGTTCTTAGAAACATTGGTTCTGACACTGAAACGAAAGCTTTAACACGTGTTGAAGCTAATGCAATAGCATCTCAACTTGATAATTGGGTAACTGCCCTTCGTACTGTTACATAGAACATTTTGTTAGGAAGATTTAATGCAACTTCAAAATCTTTACAACCATCATCGATTTCTTTGAACACTACTCTAGACTTATGCCAGTCCTTATGCAAGTTTCTTCAAGAATTCAGGAAATCTTGTTTTGAAGAAATTGAGAAGGAAGCACAAAAATTGACTGATTTCAGACATTTTGACAGCGAACTTAAAAGAATATGAAAACAAAAAAAATTGTTTGATGAAATTGGTGTTGACTATCATCAATTCAGTCAAGGGAAAAGTAAATTTCCTATAAAAACATTTTACCCAATTCGTGACTGCCTAATTGCTGCACTCAAAAGACGGTCAAAAAGGTACCATGAACTCAATGGTTACTTTGGTATTCTTTTCAACTACTCCAAGATGAATACAAATGAAATACATAATGCTGCAGATGAGTTACGGCAGAGATATAAAAATGATCTAGACGAATCATTTGGGAGTGAACTAGTAGATTTTATTCAGTTCATTTCTGAACAGGAAAACGCAAAAGATCCAAGTAGTATGTACGAGATTATAAAAGAATGTTCTCTCGAATCACCTTTTCCAAATGTTTGTATTCCATTGCAGATATGTTTGACACTTCCTTCGACCAATGCAAGCGGAGAAAGATCATTCTCGACTATAAAACGAATAAAAAATTATTTGCGCAGTAGGTACTACGGGTCAAAACCGCTTAAATGCCTTAACAATATTATCCATTGAAAAAGAGGTAAGAGAAAGCCTTAGTTTTGAGGACATAATAACAGAATTTACCCATAAGAAAGCTGGACGACACCAGCTATAACCTAATTTATAGTTGTAAGTTATTATTGTACTGCACAATATAATACATGTAAAATATACATATATTTCATACAGTAATGTCCTAAAACAATTTTTTTTTCATATACCTTATAAGGAGGGGGGCCCGGATTTGCTACTTTGCCTAGGATCCGTCTTAGGCAAAAAATGCCGCTGGTTGAACATCAGTTTCATGTTTAGAATACGTATCAGAAGATATATATACTTGGTACATTCAAAGACGCTGACATTTGTAAAAACTGACTACGTCCAATCCCTGCAGCATACGCCATAGATATAGTCTTTGCCATTTCTATTGAAACACCACTTGTTAATCGCAAATTTGGCAACGTTCATATTCAGACAATTTTCTAACTACCTAAAAGCCGTTGTCAATCAACCGAAAGCTGTTACCAATTGCTAAATTTTAAGCAAAATCAACAGGTGGTGTTTCAATAGAAATGGCAAAGACTATTATATACTTATGGACAAAGACAATACGTGCCGATAACGGCCGCTTTGTTTACATCAGGTCCGTCACTACTATTCGTGGTAAAATTTCCTTCCAAATTACACACACTGTATTTCGTAAAAAATTTGCTGTTCACTCCAAATCGCTTTTCCTTAATAATTTTTATGTCATAAAAATCGGAACCAAAACCATCATGCTTTAGTACTGTAATGAAGCCCATAAATGTTGAATGTCTACTAGTCGCCTCCCTTCACAAATTATATTGTCATCATTTTTTGATGGACTCTCTTTTTCTATTTCTAAATATGGTTCTTCATCGGGCGAAACAAATCCAGCTTCCTCGATAACTTGAGGGTCAGTGGTACTCCTGCAACTTTTAATTAAACATAACTTTTTAAAATCTATCCAAGCTTCAAAAAAGTATATAATTATTGTCCTTGCCTCGTAGGTAATTCAAAAAAGATTGGGCAACAATTCTATAACGCACGCTACGCTAACAACAGTAATGTAGCATTGCTTACGCCTGTGGCTTATACGCATTCGTAGCAGAGATATGGAGAAGGAGAATGAGCTTCCCCATGCGCAGACGAAATCCTTGGTCTAAAATTGAAAGCAGCCATTTTATCAGTTGACTGTTGCCAACATAATCACAAATCACTAACAGAACTTGATATCCCTAGACAATTGCTTCATTATTGGGCGGGAAGTTTAAAATCATTAATTACAATGACCTAATAATAAATCACAACTAAAATATATTTCACCTTAAACGAATAAATAAACATAATTATACTTCAATATATTTATTGATGCGAAAACAGTACTAATTATGTGTACACATGTCTAACAGAAGTGCCTTGAGCAAGACATGAAAGTCTTTTGCTCAAATGAAACATTCTTATTCGCATGTAGGCATTAATTATTTGTTTAATAAGAATATATAAATGGCCTTCATCGATGGCCACCGTCTCGAGTGCGTGGGTCTTCTAAATTAGGAAAAAGAATGCTGGCATGCCGAAAGTTTTAAAAAATTGTTCATCGCTTGGAAGTTTATCGGTGAGTTGCAAAATTTTTCGTATTAACAGTAACAACAAGTCTTCACAACCCCAGCAAAAGGTTTAATAAGCCCACCTAAAATCAAAATTTTGTTAAGACTTAAAAAATAACTATTGTAAGTATTTGATTTTACCCATGTTTTTTTTGTCCAATAATCTGTAAAAGTGTAAGTCACTTCTTCTTGTTTCAATACAAGAAGAAATGCAGTCTGCGCACTTAAACGTCTTCACCACCATTTTGACAACATAGCTACCAATATATGCCACGTTTTCTGCCACTTCACTCAGCCCAATAAACTTAGACGGTCATAGTCATGATCTGCAAGTGCTTCAGTCAAAATATCGAGATCATATTTTTTCAAGACAAACACGTCAACTGATTGTTGAACATTTGTGCTCTTTTGCTTTGGGCCAATGTTAACAGAGAGCAGACAGGTGGTGCAAAGCACTTTACAATTTCCTCCTTCCCTCGTTATGTTTGTAAATAGAAGCAATCTTCTAAGTTTTACAAAATCGTAGAGGAGTAGGGTTATTGTTTCACCCATTTCTCGATCTGAAAACAGAAAAATAAATACAGATTTGTGTAATTCCAGTGCATAAAAAAGTAATACAATTGTTTTTTTAAAAGCTTACCGCACTGAGCAGAAGAAAATTTCTAGATGATCTTGACTACATTTATGTTAGCAAGTCATTCAACCTCTTACTACTAACAAATTCATCAAAAATTCCCATGAACGACGTAGCGGAAATAACAAAGCCCAGAATTGACGTTTTTCGGGGCGTGCACCACAAAGGGCCGCCAGTGACATCCTTCAAATTCAGAAGATACTCACTGGTGTCGATGAGAAATGGACGCCACATTTCTTCATTGTTTTCTCTCAAAGGTGCCTTAAAATTCTTAGCACGTACACTTTGGGAATTGAGAATATCAAATAAAGAATCTATCCTTCTGATGAATTCTATTGTTGTTTCACAACCTTGAAAGTCACTAATACCAAGATCTTTTAAAAATTCAAGTGCATCCGCAACTCTTGCTAAGAGTTTGTGCTGCTAAACTCACCTATAATAGAACTTAATTATTGTCAATAAGGAATATTGTCAGGAAAACAACTTACTTTCATTTTATGTTTCCATCACTCCAAATGTGCCTTTTTCAACTTGTTTGCAACATTTAGGAATTCATCATTTTGTAATTCATGTAGTTTCTTTATGTAACGCCAGCTTATCACCTTCCCTCCTGTCAGAACTACTTTTTGAGTTCTTGCTTTTACTTCCACTTGTACTGCTACTGCTTTTTCCATGGTATCTCTGCGCAGCACTAAATAATAATTATTAACAGTAGTAAAAAATTCAATATAATAAAATATTCAAACCTTAATGTCCTCTTTACACCTTGAGGTATAATCGATGGAGACTCTTCTCAAATATCAGCTGAAGTAGCACTCACAGTACTCATTGAAGTTGAAGAAGCTTCTAGACTTTCATCTAAATTCACACTGGGAATTGCGTTCGATTTCAATCGTTTTCACTCATTTACAACAATGAAATCAGTTGTTGTGAAATGATCTGAGCACACCAGCTTATACTTGGTCAGTTTGAAGCTGTCATCTTTTTTCACAACAATCAGCCACTTTTTTAAAAGTTTTCGATCTTTCGGAAACCTAAAATCAGATATAATAAATATTGATCACATAGTATTGCAATAACCAATTGTTATTAATTATAAATATCTACGTATTCGATTTTAATAAGATAATGAAGAAAACTTACTGATGAAAAGATACACCTTCTGAACGAAATCGTTGACAATTTTTACAGTGAGAAACTGTACAAGACATGTTTGTTGTCAATAATAATGTCCTTTAACACTAACAAGCACGTTCACACGTACACTAACGGTAAAACAAATTAAGTAATAATTTTAACTCCAAATTACAACTGGTTCAACAACGTCGTAACCTCGTAGGTAAACAAAACTTTAAGGTTAACTGATAAAATGGCGGCCCCCATAGTGTACCGATGCGCAGAAGTCGAAGCTCATTCTCCTTCTCCATATCTCTGATTCGTAGAACACTTTTCCCTTACGGGTGCAGTTATGTATTATGTTTAACGATAAGTGTCATCTATGGATATTGGATAAGTGTGAACGTGCGCGTTAACCTATAGCAAGATAAAATTGATCACGTTGTTGTAATTCAAATAATTTTGAAAAAGAGTATGTATTAAGATTCATTAAAGCATGCCATTGGGTAAACATGCAAAAATAGCAATTGGATGGTAAGATATCTTCAATAAGTACAGCGTTATTAAGGCTGAAAAAAACCGACACTAACATTATAACCTCACTTTTCCATCACTACACTTGGTAACGATTTTAAGTTTTTAGGACTGCATGTACAACATTGGGAATATACTTGTTTTACCTGTCGAAGACAAGTGTTGATAAAAGGCGTTATGAGAATATGAAAATACGAGAACGCATGCGACTGGCCAACGTTGGTGATTACGACTTGGGCCCCCGTCACACACGACAAAATTAATTACAAAGGAGTTTGATATTACGTAGTACTTTACATATTGTTGCGATGGCAGAAGGCGACGCTCAAAAATTACAACTGATGCAAGAATTGGAAATAGAAATGATGGCCGATATGTACAATCGTTTGACAACTGCGTGTCACAAAAAGTGCATTCCGCCCGTTTATAATGACGCAGAAATTGCCAAAGGTGAAGCAGTTTGCATCGACAGATGTGTAGCCAAATTTCTTGACATTCATGAACGCATAGGGAAGAAACTTGGGCAATTGTCGATGCAAGATGAGCAACTGCTCAAAAAGTAGTAGCAGTAAAGTTGTGTTAGTACGATTTAGGATATTTGTTTTCGTTTGTTTCACATGTTAATAAATGGTGGAATTTCTTAAAAAAAAAACTTTATTTGTTGTGTGAAATCATTCAATGGTTAAGACGCCCTTTTTTGACTTTTGTGTAGGTTCAGAAGTTATAAGATGTGCAGCAGTTCTTTTTCTGATCTCTTCAACACCTTCTTCTGTGCTGGCCCATTCTAGTACCAATCTTCGGCCATACAAATGAGTACTTTGTGATAAAGCTTCAAAAGCATTCTGTAAAAAAAAACAGTGTCAAATTATGGATTTCTAAACAAATTCAACATTTTACCTTTGCATCTGAAGCTGTAACATAATCAACAAAAGCAAAACCTCTGTGTGAGCCACTATCTAATGTCATTTTCTTTGGGAGTCTAATAGCTTTAATTTCTCCAAAAACGCTAAAAATATTGTTTTAAAAATGTAACATGGAAATGTACAATACATTACCTAAATAACTCTCTGACTTCCTTTATGTTGGCTTGGAATGGAATATTCCTGACTAAAATCTTTGTACCAGTTTGTTTTGTTAACTTTGTGTTCTTTTTTACAGTATAAACTTCATTGCTAAAATTAACACAAAATTACAACAAGTAAATAAATAAAGTATAATATACTTCAGTGTTCTTTCTGATCTTTTTAACTCTAAAGATTTTCCATCTAAAACACTCTGTTGCAACGTTTTTAACGCCTTGTCGGCGGCACTTTTGTGCATAAACCTCACAAAACCATATCCCATTGATAAACGTTTAGCTGGATCTGATTTATCTTTTTTAGTAGCTACTGTTGCATAAGCAATTTTGCCACAGCTTTCGAAATGCTAAAATTTAAAAAATTATTGTATATGAAAAAAATGGATGTTATTTAAACCTTTCGCAAAATTTCATCAGTAGTTTGAAAGTTTAAATTTTTAACAAAAAGTGTTGTGTCTGGTTCTGCTTCTTCAACAGTTTCATTAGACTCGTTTTGTTCTTCACTAACATCTACATTTTTCAATTCAGTTTCTGAAGTTCCCTCAATTTTGTTATCCCTATTTTCAGAAACTGGTGCGTTTGGCGCACCCAAAGAATTTTCTGGCGCCCACTCCAAATATAATGGAACATTCTTAAATTTTGTGTATGCTAAATTAGTAAATGCTTTCCTAGCTTCAGATGGCTCCATAAATTCTATTAATCCTTTAAAAACATTTTTTTTAGAAATGTATTTACCAACGCATGTATTACTCTATTTCTACAAATTTACCTGTTATACCACTAGGTGGTAAAATTATTCTTCCAATGAGACCATACTTCTCAAACAACTGTCTCAATTCTTTTCCTTCTGTTTTATTGGGTAAATTTTTAACAATTATAACTGTTTTAGATCTTTTTGTTACAGTCTAAAAATTTAGTACCAACGCTATTTATGCAAGCAAACACTTTTTTTAACAACTTACCCCATTAAAAGTATCAAGTTTAACACCCTCCTGTTCGAGATATTTTCTTGTTTGTGCTACTATTTGAGTTTCACCTAAAGCAAGTCTTACAGCTGCACTCCCTTTTGCATTTGAATCCAACACTTTTTCTTTTGAGGTACTATAAGTATCTGCCATAACTTCAGCAACTGCATCATGGCCCAAAAACAGTGAATTCCAATTGTGGGAAGACCCTGCTTGTGCTTTTTGTTTGGCTTGCTTCTTTTTCTTATAATTTGTTGTTTCTGTAAATAGCACATTTAAAATAAGCAAATCTTAGAGAAAAATATACCTTCATCTAGTTCATTTGATGCATCTTTGCTTTTTCCTGGCAATAAATGCAACATGCGACCATGAAAAATAGTACCATCCAGTTCTCCATATGCTTTCACAGCATGTTCAGGCATTACAAAGGTTATTGTACCAAATCCTTTTATCTTTTTAGATGTAGGATCTACTGGTAGACTTACTTCCGCCAGTGGACCTTTAATTTAATATTATTAAGCACAGAAGTTTTTTTTTTTTTTCTTATAAGTACCAAATTTTTTAAACAATATTTCAATGTCATCCTCTGTTGTAGTGTACGCTAAATTCCTAAGAAAAATTCTCCCAGATTCAGCAATGTCCTCTTCATTTTTAAGCTGTTCCTCTTGAGTTACCCATTTACTTTTCTTTGTGTCTGAACTAATTGAGTCATCTGCTTTGTTTTTACCTGAATACTGCATAACTGTTATTCTTTTACCATCTACAATAAAAAATATTTTACTGAAGAATAATTAGGTAAACTATTTACCAATGAAACTCCGGTCTTTCAACAAGGCTTTTTTAAAAGCTTTCTCAGTTTTAAAACCTACATATGCAATTCCATGTATTTTGGCTGGCTTTCTAATTGAAAATGGAGTTACAGGCTTGAAAAAATGCTTGATGTCTTTCTTTTTACAATTATATGGAAGACCTTTAAGCTAAAATGTCAGATTAATGATTATCCGACAATTTTAATATTAACATACCTTCAGTGTAAACAATTCAAGATTCTTAGGTTCCTTTTTAGGTTTTTCAGGTTTCTTCACCAATCTTTTCATATATTCAAGATCACTAATAGTTTCATCTGCTGCTTTATTCTGTGATTCTTCTTCACTTTCAGCAGAAGTGTCAGATTCTTCTGATTTATCTTCCTCTGGTCTATCATCACTTTTTTCTTCTTCACCTATAAGTTTGCTAAACTTCTTGTGTTGTTCAGGAGCATGTAATTCTAAAAATTCTTCAAACACAGGATCATCTTTATACTGAAATATTCGTGTTATCCAGTTAGAAATATTTATTATTTGTGCTGAACTTACCTTCTTCAATAGTTCTTCTGCTTCATTGATCTTTTTTTCTGTCTTTTCTTTCTTTTTTGTTTTTGATTTACTTACTTCTTCCTCTTTTACGTCCAAATGGCTTTTCTTATAAGAAGTACTGTCTGAAGCATATTTGCTCCAGGCTTTCGGTTTTGTTGCATCTCCTAAAACAATTTACAAATAGTTTTTTTTTTTTTTTTTTGTTAAGATCGCTAAATTGCACATACCTAATGATGCACAAAGCTCAACTGTTATTTTCCTAGTATTAAGGAACATATTATTAAAATATTTAACTGCATCTTCAGCTTCATTCTCAAGCTGGTAGCCAATGAATGCAAATTGTCGAAATTTGCCTTCAGGAGTATATTTTAACTGCACATCGGTAACAGTCCCTTTCTGCTGGAATAAATCTCTTAATTTCTCTTCGGTTGTCTACAAAGGTAATTAAATGAGGAAAGTTTGCTACTAAAATAATGACACCAACATTTTTTGGTAAATTCTTAACAATTAAGCGTGACATGATTATCACATGTAGGCTTTAATATACATGTAAACACATCTACCATAACCTAAACAAGTCAACACGTGAAGTTGACATCATAGGTTGACAATTGACATTTGACTAGTTTTTAAACAACTTAACATGTTTGTTTCCCCCAAATTTTCCCCTAGGTTAAACGTCAAATGTCAAACAAATTTCAAATTCAAAATGAACCCCAGCTTCGAAGCTTTGGTCACACGTCCACACTTTGGCCGTTGTACTAGTAATTTGGTGGTCAAAAACGTTATGCATACTTTGAATACCTAAATACGACGCAAATTACGGAAAAGCTGCACTGCTTTTTAAATCCGCGTTCTATATTTTTTGTGAAACACGTTTTACTTTAACTACATTGATGGTGATGTCCTGATGTCACTTTAACTAGGAGAAATAAACGAAATATTTTTTTGCTGCAATTGTAGGGGGTGTCAAAACACTAGTACATATATTAAACAAACTTTGATTTTTCTTTTTTGTATTGAAAGAATTAATAAAATAGATAATAGCGTATCAAAACTTCTGAAAATTAATCAAAATTATATTCTAACTGCCACTAGTATATGAAGCAAATAGAAGTATACAGTTTCTCTTCTGTGAGTATAAAAATATTAAGTAGTTTATAATGTAGGAACAATTAACTTTATTAAAGAATATTATTAGTTACAAAATTATAAATTAATGAAAAATTGACAAACAATAACAATTTCATGGATAAACCAACCTGGGTTCCAACAAAGTGGACCACAAACACTGGAAGTGGGAATTTTCATTTAATTCATGTTCTTCCTCATCTAGAGAAAATTTTCCTTTAGGTGGCAAACATTGTTCATGACCATCTAAAATCAACATTTAAGTAATGAAAGTGAATGTTTACTTTACCCCCAATCAACTAAGTTAAAGTGCTTAAAACACTTACACACAATGTTGAAGGTAATTTCCTTATTTTCATTATAGCTAAGCACCTTCCCTACTATAGGCTTAGAAACTTCAGGAGTATAGTTTTCGGACATTCTGAGAATCTATGAAAAAATTACACAAAGTTTAAAATCATGTAATTTACCTTACTTTAAAAGCTAGAACATCTCCCATTCTTGGTTCTGAATGTTGAGTAATTGGTTGTTTTAAAATACATTCTTCTAATTCTTTGTCACTATATATGGTTTTTGTTTTGTCTTTTTTCTCGGATAATTCATTTAAAACCACAACTTCATCTAACGAATCCTTTATGGTGACTTTTTCTTTAGTATTCTCACCAATTGCATCACTGGCCGGCACTGACTGCTTTGCTTGTGGTTCATTTAAGACAATAACTTCACCTAATGAATCATTTGTTGAGGTTATTACTTTATCAACTCTTGATTCAGCTGGGAAAAGCACATCTTTTTTCATAGATGGTTGTACATCAGTAAATCTTAGATGTGTAGGAATGCGAGTTTGTACAATCACGGGCTTATGATTGAAATTATAAACAGGTTGCTCATATGTTGTGGAAATTTCACTTGTATTTTCGACCCGTGATTTCCTTTTTCGAGTCCTTCTTCGTTTTCTCTTATTAACATTTGCATCAAAATCAGTCACATTATCAATACAGACACTTGACGTTTCTGCATTACTTGAACTTTCACCTGCCTGAAGCTCATCATTTTTATTTAAATTTTCCACGTGTAGCGACACATTATTACATGTGTCGTTTTTTTCTTCTTCACAAGCTTCGGTTTGTTTAACATCAGGAAGTGAACATAGAGTTGGTTTATTTGAAATTATAATTGTTTTAACAATATTGATTTTCCTTTCTAGTTCAGTTGGAGTTTCAGTCAAACTATTTTTACTTTTTTCAAATTGATTCACCAAACGCTTTACACTATTATTCACACTTTCAGGAGATTTAGCACTTTTTGAACTATCTAAAGAATCACGACCTGAATCTTTCTGAATTAGACCTATAAGGACAAAATTTTACAAGGCTCCATTAAACTTTTGCTATCTATTTTTACCTGGATTACCATCAATTTCATGTAAGTCTTCGTTTTCTTGAACTGAATCGTTAGAAACTTCTATATTTTTATATACTCCGTGTTTCTTCTTTTTTTTCTTCTTCTTTTTCTTGTTGTTCTCCTCAGTTACAGAAACATCTACTTCCATTACATTCTCAGAACTTTCCTGTGATTTCATCTTTTTGGGTATATTTTCGTAACTACAATTTTCTTCTTTTGTATCAACACAAAGCCTATTTTTCTTTTTTTTCTTCTTTGGGATGACGATGTTGAATTCCTCCAGAATTTCGTGATTTTGAGGTATGATATCCACATTCGATGAACCATGTTCTGATGGTATTACCCTAAAATAACAGCCATAGATTCTAAACATAAGATATCACAAAAAATATGTAGGTACCATACAACATCATCATAATTAAGTATCTGAACATCCTCTGTTGGCGGAAGATACACATTTTCACATTTTAAATAGAAATTTTCTATATTAAAAACGGCACTAATGCGTTCTTCAACGTTTCTGATGCATTTCATCTTTTTATTAACGAAAATTTTAGCCAAACACCGATGATCGTGAAAAAATAAGCTCAAATTTACAGTGATTCTCATTTTTGCTTTGTTTTTTTTTTATATATATTCAAAATGAGAATTTCAACACAAGAAGGACACACACTTGGACACAACTGTTGAAGCTTTAAGAATACTACTAGAAAAAATCGCTACAAAAAACAAGCAAAAACCACAGAACAGGCATAAACTTTGAACAATTGCTGACTTTACTCGATTGGCGTCCTATTATTGAGTTCTGATGATTCAGGAATCTGAAATTACCGGTATTAAATCCTAACCTAAAAAACGTCAATGACAGCCAGGGACGACAGAGATTTTGTTATTTGGGGTTTTTGGGGTTTATATTGGTGATACTGAAAAACAAGGACTTGCTCGTATAGTAACCGTATTCGAGATACACCCACATAAATTTTTATGGGATCAATCACTGAAAAAGCGGTGCTCCTGAAACCGCAACCATAAATTATGAAAAGGGCTTATACAGAGCCGTATTCGGGTTGAGTTGAAAGTTTTACCTGTTTTCGGTAATGAAATTGTTTACTGAAATTCCCAAAAGGTACTTCGGGTAGATCTAAATTGGTCTTCATTTCAATAACTGATTTCACGTCTTACTTGTCGGTCGTTATTTTTGAGTGTTTGTTCCAGTGTTTCTTTGCTTTAAAAAAACAGTAGTTTTCAATACTTTATATTTTACTGGATTTGATTTTGGCGGTGAGTTATTGACAACTTTTTTGTGACTTAAAAAGAAATATTAGAAAATATAATAATCATCCAGAAAGTTCTCCCGCTGTAGTAAATCTCATTAGACAACAATCAGAACTCATATCTTCTGAAAAATGGCAGAATTGTATTCGGCATGTTATAAAAGTTGAATCAACATTTGTAAATACACGGCCTAAAGAAATTATAATTTCAATAAATAACGACTCATCTGAGTCTGAAAGTGACTTATAATCCTATTATTTAACTAATACAATTTGTCTATTATTTCACCTTATTTTTTTTAACAGAGTACGGCCCTGAAAAATTCTGGTCGCATAGGGTGTTAAAAGCAATAAATTACTGTTGCCATTGTGCAGGGGTTTCACTCATTATCTCTCATAAAGTTTATGTGGATGTATCTCGAATGAAATTTGTATAAACTCAAATCCATAAGGTTGTAACCACTCCCTAGTGTAAATTTTTAAAAATTATTCAGTGTAAATCTGTCTTTTAATAACCTGGTGACATATTTGGTGACCTGTCAATATAATGTCAGTTCATTCATGTATTCGCGACACATGATTACGTTCGACTTCACTGCAATTCTTGCACTCCTGCACAGGTTATTTCATAATTATCATTGTAACTTGTCGCAATATTGTAAAAACTGATAAACAATTTTCAATAAAAACAGGATAACCTGAGTCTTCATGGTAATTATAATACAAGAGCAACGATAAATAGAAACGTGTTTTATCTTTCATCTGTAGAAAGAATGCCACCTGCTGTAATTTAGACTTGCAGTCGATACGTTTACGAATTACGATAAAATGAACCCAAAAATATTGTGGTCACGAATGAAATCAAATATTGGGCTGGTAAAAAAACAAGGTGAATTGATTTATTTATTGTTGCTGCTTCATAAAAATTACTTTACAGATGGGGAATAACTGAGATATTCAGAATTTGTTTAAATTATTGTACATGAGTATACGTGATAATTATATGTGTGGCTAACTATGACTCGAAGGATCAGCTCTCTCGACTGAAATGATCAATCTCGCGAGCAACACCAAAATTGTCTATAATGGGTAGATCACCTTAATTAGTTGCAATGGATGACCAATTTTTCATCAAAAAAATGGGACACCAACAAGTCTTTAATGTTATGTTTAATAACTCTAATATTTGGTACTACTTATTATTTACAAAATGTACAAGGGATTTGGTTGAAGGCGATAGGTCTGGCTATGCTCCTCCGTCCTGACGATTTTAGTGGTAATAATGAACAAAATGTAACTTCACAAAATTCAGAGGCTAAAATAATAGGTATGTTGAAAATAATTTGACGGCTTATTTAAACTTACTGTTACAGGAGTGGTTAGAAACATTGGGAACACATAGACCAAATAACCAAAAAGCAATTATTTTTCTGTTGTTAACTTTCTTAAATCTGAATCCCATGGATTTTAATACTCAACGTAAAGTATTTAAACTTGCTGTATATTCTGGATGTTCTTTCGCAAAAATAAACAAATCCTGAAGAGTAAAAAACTCATTTTTTTTGTTTTTGTCAAATATACGGTAGGTTAGATCTTCTTTAAATTCCAAATTTGAATACCACTGCGATTTTTGTTTTGGTTTCCACTTTGCTTCTTGTAACGGTTCTCCAGATTGGTGTTGGGTTATAATTTTGTGGGCTTGACATCGAGAACACTATGGAAAGGATAGGAATTAATGATAAGTTTACAGGGAAAGTATGCAGTGCTTGAATTTAATGAGGGACATTTAGTTGTATTGTGTAGGATATAAAGAGTGGGTATAAAACTTGAAAAGACAATGTTGTACTAAAAAGCGAGATATACACTTTCAACTTGAGATAGTTAAAACTAAAAGTCCTTCGACATACCACCATGTTGTAATAACATGAAAAAAGTTCCGAATGTCGATACGTTACTCTCATAGTATAGTACTCTCTTTCCATGGTATAAGAATAACTACATACTGAAAAGATTTTTACAAGCTTGAATTCAAGTTCTCGGGAGGATGCTTGGGGATAAGCAAGTTTCAATTCATTGTGGCAGTTGGCAAGTGCCATTTTCATCTGCTTATTTACCACAATATGCCGTGTCGGTACCATTTTTCAATGGTATGGTTTAATAACAAACTGTGAGATATTTAAATAAAACTCTCTCGTGGGTAATTGTATTGTCAAATTTTGACATATGCGCCGCTACCAATCTGTTCATGTGAAAAACACCATTGGCTGTAATGCCAACCTTACAATTTAACGAGTGGTTACAACCTTATGGATTTAACTGTACTATTCTCTTATCTGAATAAATTACCTCTCTGGTTGTTGCAGATCGAGTATGTTTATTTTCTACTAGCTTTTTGCCCGCGGCTTCGCTCGCGTAGACGATTCCAGGGCCGGCTCAACACGGTAAGCGAAAGATGCACCGCATCGGGGCGCCCGTGACAAGGGGAGCCGGGCGGCGGGCGCCGCCTATGCTTTTATATTAATAACTCTATAAAAATAAATTAATGTTAGATTTCCATTGAATCACCACCAACAAAATATTATAGCAGTAACAGACCAAGGTGCCCATCGAAAACTTTTCAGAAAAACCTACATTTTAACATTCCACTATGACCACCAAAACAGATCCCAAGAAGTCAATTCCTGGCACTATCAAACTGTAATAATTGAAAAAGAGTGCGCCTTTGGGTTGGGTGATGGGACCTTTAGATCAATACAGACAAAAAATAACCAGATTTATGATGCATTATCTTGGTAACAATTTGACGAGACAGCGGTATGATCACAACCAGATGTTTTTCTTAACATTTGTCACGTTTGTTTTTACCATAAAAGTCCATGTCGGCATACTTAAAAAATTTATTTTCCAAGTCTAGTCGGTTGGTTTTGGTTGTGGTGATTGTTCAACAGTTTTGTTATATTTTTCACTGTTCCTGTTTGTAGCCGAATTTGGTTCTGTGTATCATTTCGTGGCTTCTTGTCATCATTAATTTTAAATTTAAATTTCGATTAACATTGAGGTAGTCTAAATTAAAAATAACTTGGAAATCGTATCAATTTTACAATAATAAAAATTGAAAAACGTTTGCAATATAAATATTTTTATACTTATACTACGTATAGTTTAGGAAATATCGTTGTGCCCTATAAAATTTTATTGACAATAACGAAGCGGACAGTAGTACAATGGTAAGAAATATTTATAGCTCCCATCAGTCCCCCCGAATTTGTCGGAGAACATTTAGCAGGTAATTGTACGCAAATTTAAGGTCTGCGGATTACCGCCACGCGATAACTTTAAGTTGTAAATATCTCTTGCTATTGTACCACTGTCCGTCTCGTTATTGTCAATAAAATTTTATAGGGTACAACGATATTTCCTAAACTATAGAAAAGTTTTTGCTCGCAGCTCCTTTTGCGTGGAATTCGCAATTAGGACTCATCATTTTTCATACATGATCGTTTTCCGGGTTGTAACCGTGTAAATTGAGTTTTTGGGCTCAATGTTTCGCACACTTTCGTAAGTGGCATCTTCAGGAGCAGGATTAAGAATAAGGCAAAAGAGCACGGTAACTCAGTATGTCAACCATACCAGAGGCGAAATTTTTTTGAGAAATAACACAGTTCCAACCCGGAAAACGATCATGTATTGATTCCGACCGTGGAAATCTCCGAAATTATCATTTTTCATCTCGTTCACTCCTCCAGGGCCCCAGCGAACCCGTCTGACTTAAAAACCCACGGGATTTCTGCACAAAGTTTCATCCCCTATTTTGTCCCCGTAGGGACATCTTTTCTTAATGGGTGCTTATGACAGAAAAGGAACCTACTGTCCAAATTTCATGTTTGTAGCTTCAGTAGTTTAGGCTTTGCGTTGATGAATCAGTCAGTCTGTCAGTTAAGAGGTTAAGACAAACACTTTTATATATTAAGATTGATTCATCATAATTTTATGAATGTTTGTTAATAAAAAGTATCTCTCTACAAAAATATGTGATTACAAAACTTTATTTGTTTTTTTTTACAAAAATTTTTTTAAGGGCGTTGAACAGTAAGTTGCATCGGGGCGCTTGGTCCCTTAGAGCCGGCCCTGGACGATTCGTTGTGTTGAAGAGCATTATTATCAACCTTCAAGTAAAAAATGTGTTGAAGACATTAATATAATTTCCAGTAAAAATCGACATAAAAAATGTTTGCTCATAAAAACTTTGTCACCCCCTTTCATCTTCTTAAGGGTGGAATCTCGAAACAATCTGAAATACGTGTTTCATTATTTGTGTTGAAGAATATTAATATCAAGTTCCCCGTAAAAATTTAAATTTACAGTAGAAATATGTTTCCCATACAAACTTCGCCACCACTTTTCACCTCCTTAGAGTTTGAATCTCGGAAAATAATTAAATACGTGCTTCATTATTTGTATTGAAAACCATTCATACCAAGTTTCACGTAAAAATTTAAATTTACAAATATTTTTCCCATACAATTTTAGCCACCACTTTTCACCCCCTTAGGGGTTGAATTTCTGAAAATGCTTAAATACGGGTTTCATTATTTGTGTTGGAGACAATTAATGCCAAGTTTCACGTAGAAATTTAAATTTACAATAGAAATATTCCCACATAAATCTACCCACCATATTTCACCCCCTTAGGGATGGAATCTGGAAAAATGCTTAAATACGTGTTTTATTATTTGTGCTGAAGAGCATTCATACCAAGTTTTAAGTAAACATCACCATAAAAATATTTTTCTCTTACAAACTTAGCCACACCCTTTTTTACCCCCTTAGGGGTTGAATCTCAGAAAATATTTAAATACGTGTTTCATTATTTGTGTTGAAGAGCATTAATTTAAAATCAAGTTTCACGCAAAAATCTAAATTTACAATAGAAATACTTTTCCTATACAAACTTAACCAGTACTTTTCACCCCCTTAGGGGTTGAATCTCGGAAAATGCTTAATTACGTGTTCCACTATGCATTAATACTAAATTCCATGTCAAAAATTTACAATAGAAATAATTTTCCTATATAAAGTTAGCCACCACTTTTCACTCCCTTAGGGGTTGAATCTCGGAAAATGTTCAAATACGTGTTTCATTACTTGTGTTGAAGAGCATTATTACCAAGTTTCATGTGAAAATGTAAATATACGTACAATAGAAATATTTTCCCATACAAACTTAGCCTCCACATTTCACCCCCTTTGGGGTTGAATTTTAGAAAATGCTTAAACACCGGTTTCATTATTTGTGTTGAAGAATATTAATACCAAGCTTCACGTAAAAAATTCAATTTATAGTAGAAATATTGTTCCTATACAAACTTAGCCGCCCAAACTTAGACACCACTTTTCACCCCCTTTGGGGTCGAATCTCCGAAAATGCTTAACTACGTATTTCCTTATTTGTATTGAAGAGAATTAAAATGTACCAGGTTTCACGTAACGATCTAAATTTACAGTAGATATGTTGGTCCTATACAAAATTTATCACCTCTTTTTAAGCCCCTTAGAGGATGAATTTCGAGAAATCCCTTCTTAAACGATGCCTCCAGTATAAAATGAACATTGTCTCCAAATTTCAACTTTCTATCATTAGCGGTTTGATCTGGGCGTTGATAGGCCAGTCGGGACATTACCTTTTATATATAAAGATTATTGAGATTTTTCGGCTTTTCGGTTTTTCGATTTTTCAACTTTTGATGTTTCAATTTTTCAATATTTCAATTTTTGACATTTCCAATTTTTCCATTCTTCAAATTTTCGATTTCTCCATTTTTTTATTTTTCGATTTCTCAATTGTCCGATGTTTCAATGATACGATATCGCAATTTTTCAACTTTTCTATATTTTAATATTTCAATTTTTAAAATTCTAGATTTTTCGATTTCTCGAGTTTTCAGTTCTTCTATGCATATTTCAGTTTTTCAATTTTCGGAATTTATTAAATTTCTGATTTTCCATTTTTTTTAATTTTTCGATTTTCCAGTTTTTCGATGTTTCGATTTTTCAATTATACGATTGTTCAATTTTTCGATTTCTAAATTTTAGATTTTCCAATTTATTTTTTTTTATTTTTTCATGTTTGGACTATTTATTATTGCTAAAAATAAAAGTAAAAAATAACTACCAAAATTGTGACTAAAAATATGTAAAAATTAATAGAAAATAGAACACATTGCTGCTAAAACATAAAAATAACTGTACTTTCCCAAAAAAATCTATTGCATGATTACTGTTCCACTAGTATTGCTAATTTAGGACGTTAGTATCAAACGCAATGCAATAATTAATTCTTAGTTAAATAAAAAAATAGTTGCATGTCAAAATCGAGTGAAACATGTGAGATGTGTGTAAACAAAAGCATCTAAATAATAACTATTTCCCGCAGAATTTCTGGAGGCTTATAGAGTCGACATTGGCCTGAGCGCGCTCCGGTCTGTGGATCATACAAGTTCTCGGGCGACAATGTATCTATCTAACGAGGTAGTTGAAATACCTGATACCTGTCACAGCGCAAAAAGTATTTCTCAAAAAACTTTCAAACGTCGATATCTTTTTAATCAAACAAAACACAATTGGCGAACGCAATAATACAGAATGGTGCGCAGAAAAATCCTTTAGACTAACCGAACGTTATTTTGGTAAAATTTGCAAAATGAGAGAATAAGTAACACGGCTAGTCCTACTGTACTGTGAAAAACATTTTACATCCCTGCAAATCTAGTTCATCATGTACTCTCCCAAAATCTTTGCATAGAAAATGAAGCAAGGGCAAGTGAAGCATTTTGCAGTAACACCAAACTGACAATAAGACAATGCGGTTCGTACATTTTTAGCGGCATCGCCAGACGGGTTAATAAACAAAAACGCTATCGTAGAAATATATAAAATGTCCAATTTAAATAATGCTTAATTCAACGAAATGATAAATTTTGGGAAAATAATATGATAGAGCCCTAAAAATTTTTTATTTATATGCCTTACTTCCGGAGAGAGTAGATTCTCGTTATTAAACAAGTCAACCCATTAGACAAATTGTAAAGAAAAAATTATACAATTAAATTTTTTTATTTGCATTCGCGTCATCTGTAGTTCATATAAATCTTTCGACCTTCTTGTATAAACACACACAGGAATAAATAGTAATAGTGGAATAGGTTTACTGGAGATACCACGTAAAAAACGTACCTATAATACTCTACCTCATAGGTGGTGAGGAAAAGAGTATCAAAAAATTAAATTTAAATAAATATGATTGTTCAGGTAAATAAGTGGTTAGTGAAGTGATGAGAATCTAAATCTTGTCAGTTTTGTGTATTGATTAATATATTATAAAATGACAGATTAATAAAAAATATTTGAATCATTTTTTGAAAGAAAATATTTTAGTAGAATGTATAAAATTATAAAAATTTTGCACACTTTTAAATCAAATTATGTCACAATGAAAGAAATCGACTTGTAAAAGAGTTTCAACAATGTTGGTCAGCTAAGAGTATTTATGAGTTTTATGACTTAAAGTACCTGAACTGATTACCTGAAAGGGTCGGTCGGCTGTGTAAAACTCAACCATTTATTGCAACGGATCTTTGTAAATAGGGTTGCCTAGTTTTACTTTATTTCCATTATTCAGTATTTTTTTAAAAAGCAAATATTTTGATAAATATAAATTTTAAACAAAAATGACCGGGTCTTCCCCATAGAGCTCAATGTTGTCTTTGCACTGATATAAAAGTTGAAGCGAAAAATGCTCTCTCCTTGTCTAAAAATGCAATTTCCTTCGAAGAATGAACGATTAATTAAACACTAAACAATCACTTATTTTAAAAAATATTGTGTCTTCCCCAGAGATTTAGACGTAATCTATCAATTGAAGTGTCGATCTTTTTTTCAAAGTTAAAATTACGCCCGTAAAATGAAATTATATTTATCTCATTTTTCGGTCTGCTACTGGGCACGACTTAATAAAAGTCTTAGCTAAAACGAAATATATGGCTCATAAGAAATTCAGCAATAAAATAAATAATATGAAACTGTTGACAAATTAAACACTGGTATCAGTTAATTAATCCTGTATTATACACTGTGTCTTTCATTTTAATTTTTTTATTAAATTAAAGAAAACATTATTAATTAATATTATTACTATTAATGATATTATTATTAAAATCGGTGCTAAAGTTAGTGAAAACTTCTGTTAAAGTGTCGGTTTGACAAACGTTTTCACTAAGTTGTGAGATGTTTGTTAATTTATTCTATGATAATTGCTACAATTATGTAAGGTAAAAAAAATGTTTTTAATAAATGTGGTAAACATTTCATGCATCTTGCGTTTTACTTTACGAACTCTTCGCATGTAGTATTAATATGCAGAGATGATGATGATGATGATGATGATGATGATGATGATGATGATGATGATGGTTATTATTATTATTATTAATATTATTTATTTCTGCAAAATAAAATTTTAGCAATGTTTAAATGCACCGCCAAAATTCATAGTTCTCACTCAAGTCCCTTGAGGGCGATGTGATCGTCATTTACACGTGATTCAAGGTATACAAGCGGCAAGCCTATGCGGCAAGCACAGATTACAGAATACAGACCTGTGTTACAGACAGTCAGTCTGTTTTGGTCTGTTTGCGGTCAGTTTTCAGGTTATATTCAGTCGGTTCAGTCCAGAGAACATAGTTCAGTCCGTTCAGTCGCTTCCTGTGGTCGCTTCAGTATCGTGGGTGATTGTGGGTGATTATAAGTGTTCTGTGATTGTAGCTAATATTTCTCTAGTATAAGACATTAACCTAAAATCAAAAAACCTTGTTGTGGATACGGCATTTGCATACATACGATATATCGTGTATAAAGGTGTATAAGTACTATGAGCAAAAGCTTTTATGGAAAATACACCAAAATCAAATCAAGAATGTGTATTAAATAAATAACCATTCTTGATAAACAAGGTTAATGTGAATGAACAAGAGCGCAATTTGCCCCCCAAAGTAGAGAACCCAACTGAAAATGTTTTCAATTTGCAAACAAACACACCCCGCTACAGGGGTAGAGCATGCACTCGCTTGTCATTTCTTCAGTAAATCTGAAAAAAGTTTAGTCACAGCAGGAGCAAATATTATAAAAGTGTTTCGGTTAATACCTGATGTGGATGGCAAAGCTCGCATCGATAAATATACAGGTGAGTACTTCAGCTTCACTTGAAACGTGTTTAGTTTCTTTTTGTAGAAATGAATCCACCCAAGTCCAAACTAGAATGCGTCGCACAATATGTTCTTTTTGGAAATATTATGTCTATGCAAACTGTAAATTTGGCAAATTCACCGCGTGATGCGTTATTGTTAGCTTTTAAAGACGCGAAATTGTCCGTGGTTGAGTATGATCCAGAAACGCATGACTTAAGAACACTAAGTTTGCATTATTTTGAAGAAGAAGATATGAAGGTTTGTAGTTTTCCTCTTTATATTGAGTGATATTTATTTAATTTTGGCAGGATGGGTGGACGCACCATTATCATGTACCTATTGTGAGAGCTGATCCAGAAAATAGGTGTGCTGTTATGACTGTTTTTGGGCGAAAATTGGTAGTGCTACCATTTAGGCGTGAAAATTCTATAGATGATACAGATGCTGATATTAAACCAATGAGCAGCAGCTCATATGGATCCAAGGCGCCAATTTTAGCATCTTATATGATTGTTTTGAAAGACTTCATTGATAAAATTGATAACATTATAGATATCCAGTTTTTACATGGTTATTATGAGCCAACTTTGTTGATTTTGTTTGAACCACTGAAAACATTTGCTGGGTATATTTATTTCCTTTTTTAAATAAGAAAAAATCTATTGATTGATATTTACAGACGTGTGGCAGTAAGGACTGATACCTGTGCAATGGCAGCAATTTCCTTAAATTTACAACAAAAAGTCCACCCTATAATTTGGAGTGTTTCAAATTTACCCTTTGATTGTGTAAAAGCAGTTCCAATAAAGAAACCATTAGGAGGTACATTAATATTTGCAGTAAACGCTTTGATTTATTTAAATCAAAGCATTCCACCATATGGAGTTTCCCTAAACAGTATAGCAGATAATTCAACAAATTTTCCACTAAGTAAGACATTTTATTTGTGTTTGTAAAAAGTACTTACATATTTTTGCAGAACAACAGGAAGATTTGAACGTTAGTTTAGACTGTGCTCAAGCAGCTTTTCTGGAAGATGACACCTTAGTTCTGTCTTTAAAAGGAGGAGAGTTATATGTATTAACATTATTAGCAGATAGCATGCGCTATGTTCGAAGTTTTCATTTTGAAAAAGCAGCTGCCAGTGTTCTCACTACTTGTGTATGTTATAATAAGCATTGTTTAAATGAGTTTGTAAATGTGTTTGTTTCAGATATCAGTTTGTGAAAATAATTTTTTGTTTTTGGGTTCAAGATTAGGAAATTCTTTACTTTTACGTTTTACAGAGAAAAGTAATGAAGTTATAACATTAGATGAGACTGACGAACCAAATGCCAAACGTTTAAAGACTTCTTCTGAAAATGAAGAAGATCGAGTGATGGACAGTTTAAATGACTGTATGGCCAGCGATGTTTTGGATATTCGAGATCCGGAAGAACTAGAGGTATATGGAAACCAAAAACAAGCTAGTCTTCAAATTACAAGCTACATCTTTGAGGTATATTTTGTCTACATAAATGGGGAAAAACACGCTTTATTATATTATTTCATTAGGTCTGTGACAGTTTGTTGAACATTGGACCATGTGGTAACATCTCTCTTGGAGAACCCGCTTTCTTAAGTGAAGAGTTCTCAGATGGAGTAGATTTAGATTTGGAACTTGTGACCACAGCAGGCTACGGCAAAAATGGGGCACTATGTGTTCTACAAAGATCTATACGACCTCAAATTGTGACCACTTTTACACTACCAGGTTGTTCTAACATGTGGACAGTACACGCTGGTGAGGACAAACATGCATTTTTAATACTTAGTCAGGAAGATGGTTCTATGGTGAGTGTACTCAGTAAAAGTGTATTTAACATTTTTTATTTTCGATTTTTTTTTTCTAAGATTTTGCAAACTGGGGACGAAATTAATGAAATCGACAATACGGGCTTTGCTACCCACATTCCCACAGTGTACGCTGGGAACCTGGGTAATCTGAAGTACATCGTTCAAGTCACTAGCAACGCGGTACGCCTTCTTCAAGGTAAGAATTGCATGAAACATTGATTTCGGAATGTCCCGTCTATTCTCAAAACGAACTCAATTAAGCAGATTGCCAAACATCGCTAGATGTAGAAGTTCTTTCCTTTTTACTTCCCGAGAGTAAGCTAAGGAAGTATAGTAATCGACTCCATCGGGCGACTAGCCAGTTTCATGTTTTGTCGACGTTTCATGACCCCTAGAGTACGAAAAACATGGTCTCCGCTTTCAGTTTATCTGTCCGTCCGTACGTCCGTTCGTCAAAAAACTCGTGTCTTGCTTTTCCAATATCACCTTCTACCTTTGATAGATGTCAACGAACAATTAACCTAAATTTTATTTATTCTGCCCCTCCAAACAAGGAATGAACCCATTTTAATGGTTAAATAAAATAAAGATCCCATATAACCGAAAAAAACTCCTTTGCAGCTATTGGACCCTTTATTTGACCATAACTGTCAAACTGAACAAGGAATGCGTTATTTTAAAGTAAATTGGTCGGCTCACTACAAAAGTTTTTTTTATCATATGGTGTTCCTAGAAATGTGGTTTTGTGCTTCAATGATATACTATACCGTGTGTGTGTCATTTTTTCGAGCATATTTTTTGATACGGCCAATTAGATCGTTCTAAATATACTGTTACGAAATAAATCCATACGTCGCCTATGGGTATTCTAGTATGTAAGTAAGAAATAAATTGTTGAGTTTACTCACGCCGATTTTAATCACCGGTTCAACGTAACAATACTACAATCTGATTCGAAAACTTAATATTTCACTTTTGTTTTTGTCCACGAAATTCAACTTTTTTAATGACATCCTATATATTTTTTTAGAGATACTTGTAGATTTTTTTCAGAATTCATGATGTCATATTTGTTAAAAAGTTGTGGTTGTGGTAAAAAATAATTTTATTTTTATCTCAAGACTGTTCTGGTGAATTTATTAGCATAATTATTTACATATACAAATCTAGTTACTTCATATCAATATTTATATTAGCAATATGGACAGCTTTTGTAACTTTTGACTAATTTGGTTTGAAAATTGAATTTCTTCTACACCAAAATAATTCAATAAAAAATGGTTGGAAATATATATTATATATTAAATTATTCATGTTTGAAAGTATTACAGTATGATACATCAATGAATTAAGGAAAAAATATCTATAAGAATTATAAAAAATAAATTAATGTTGTACACAAAAAAATAAATTATGCATATATTACTTCCCGAGAGAAGCCAAGGAAGTATAGTAATCGAGCCCATTAGACGACTTGCCAGTTTAATGTTTTCTCGATGTTTCATGACCCCAACAGTACGAAAAAGTGATCTCCTGTTTCCGTCGGTTTGTCTGGGGTCTGTGTCGATTTTTATTGGTCTCATAATCTCTGAAACTACTGGACCGATTGTTGTCAAATTTTGTGTGTATACTAGGAATATCATGTAGATGGTAAAATGATAACCAAATTTGGCTAATTATCTCACCCAAACAATTTGGAGACGTCATCTCAATGAATTATATTTTAAATCGGTCTATTTGTCCCCACAAAAAAAAAGTGTGGCCCTGTCATTTTTTTTTTTTAATTATTATTATTGTTATTATTAAACATACGACATAACCTGGTCCTTTCTTTAATAACTCACCTCTATTTAATTTTAAGATATGGGTGTTACCCCTAATAAGTAAAATGAATAAAAAATTAAAATTTGTGATTTACAAGTCTTAGTTTGAAAAGATTTTGGAGGCTCCTGATAATTTTGGGTTCTCCTAGTGGTTTATTAATGTCAAACATCTTGTACTAGCCCCGCCCATCTACCCTCTATTTAATCAGTCTTATCTTAACAAGTACCAGCCTCGCCTATCCGCCTTTTTATTTTCTTAGAGGATATGTCATTTGCCAAAATCAGCCGTACTTCAGGAAGTACTAGCCCCACCCACTCGCCCTCTACTTTCTTAAAGAATATATCATTTGCCAAAATCAGTCTTATCTTAACAAATACTATGTATATTTTGTCTAGTAGACAAAGAACTTATTTACAATTTTTAGTAAAACATATAGTAACTACAGGGATCAAGAAAACTCGATTTATTATTTTCTTAAAGAAACCGATTGCGTTATTTAAAAAAATTGGTCGAAGGTTGTTCCCTCTCCCCTGAAGAACAATGAAACATATCCAGCATTTTCAAAATATTACAAAATTTGATTTTGCGAATTTTGTTTTTTTATGAGAATCCTTCTAAGTTGAAATAAACATATGTATGTAATGTTAAAGTAAAAATGTAAAGAAGCCTGCTAGCCGTATGTCTCAAATGAATTTTTATTTTACGAATTTTTTTTATGGCGTCTTCAACATTTTTGCAAGGACAGGTAACTATATCAACATTATCAACTTGCATTGGTGCAGTATGATACTAATTAATAGTAATTATAACAGTAATCTATTCCCAAATTTTTGGAAAAATAAATTGACTCATTCATTCATAAAGACCTTGGTAACTCATTGGTCATATAATGCAATAATGTAATTAATGTTAAAGAAAACTCTTAAATGTGAATGTAACTGTTTAATAGATTAAAATAAATAATTAAAAGGAAACCGTCGATATCGGAACAAAAAACAATGTTTGTGATAGTAGTTTTAAAACATACACTAATAATAAAGGTGCTGATTAAACAAATTTTCTCTGTCCAAATTTTTCATTTGAAATTTCAGCACAATGTACTTTACTGAGCTTATCACATTTTTATACTAAATTCAGATGTAATAGAACTGAAAATGATTGTATTGTTATGATTCTTTTCAGGAACCAATCAGTTGCAGCATATTCCTTTGGAGTTAGGATCACCAATTGTCCACGTGAGCAGTGTCGATCCTTATCTTTCGATTTTAACAGTAGACGGCCAAGTGCTCACACTTATGCTTAGAGAAACCAGAGGCGTTGCTAAACTAGTGATTAGTAAATCAACTCTTTCAAATGTAAATACTTACTTTCCTGTTACCAAAGTTACTCATACTTACACTGTTACAGTCTCCACCAGTCACCACAATATGCATGTACCGAGACGTTTCTGGACTATTTACGTACAAAATCCCCGAAGATTTCACTCACGTTCCAGAACATTTCGTAAGCGAACATGACACCAAGACGGAAGTAGAAAATGAAGATGACCTTTTGTATGGTGACGATAGCGATTTTAAAATGCCGACTCTTAATCCACCACCACCAAAACCAAAAATATATTATAACTGGTGGAAAAAGTATCTCTTAGATGTACGTCCATCGTACTGGCTTTTTGTTGTACGGGATAATTCCAACTTGGAAATATATTCAGTACCAGATTTCAAACTGTGTTACTATATAACAAACTTGTGTTTTGGACACAAAGTTCTGGTTGATAGTTTGGAATCCGTAACCTTGATGAACTCAAGCGGGGCATCAGCAGCCCACGAAGCAAACATTCAAAGACAGTATGAAGTTAAGGAAATTCTAATGGTGGCACTCGGCAATCACGGGACCAGACCCTTGCTTATGGTCAGGCTTGATCACGATCTTTACATTTATGAAGTGTTTCGGTTTCCGAGAGGAAATCTGAAAATGCGTTTTAGAAAACTCAAGCATTCCTTGATTTATTCACCAAACGTAGCTGGTAAGATTGATACTGAAGATTCAGATTTCTTCGCCATTCAAGAAAGGATTATTAAGATGAGGTACTTCACCAACATTGCCGGTAAGTCATTTGAAATTTCGGTTTTTGTTGTTGCTACAGTATGTGTTGCAGGATATAATGGAGTATTTGTGTGCGGATCCAATCCTCACTGGATCTTTATGACAGCAAGAGGCGAGTTGCGAACTCACCCAATGACAATAGATGGAGAGGTTCTAAGTTTTGCACCCTTCAATAATGTTAACTGCCCCCAGGGATTTTTATATTTCAACAAAAAAGTAAGATTTGACTATATTTTCAAAATACATATTAACATAATGTTTAAATTTTAGTCAGAACTGCGAATTGGAGTTTTGCCGACTCACTTAAGTTATGATGCGTCTTGGCCTGTAAGAAAAGTTCCTCTTAGGTGTACACCCCACTTTGTGACGTATCACCTAGAATCAAAAACTTATTGTTTAGTTACGAGTATCGCTGAACCTTCAAATAAGTATTATAAGTTTAATGGTGAAGATAAGGAACTCTCTGTTGAAGATAAAGGTGACAGGTATTTGAAAAGTTGGTGTTGTTGAAAAGTATCATAAGATTTAGTTTTTTTTATAAGATTCCCATACCCTCTTCAAGAAAAATTCAGCTTGATGCTATTTTCACCAGTCTCATGGGATGTAATTCCAAACACAAGAATAGATTTAGATGAATGGGAGCACGTAAACTGTTTAAAAAATGTAGCGTTGGCTTATGAAGGCACGAGGTCGGGGTTAAAAGGATATATCGCTGTGGGGACGAATTACAATTATGGTGAAGATGTTACATCTAGGGGTCGAGTAAGTTTAATTTATTTGTAATGTACATTTAATGCAAACTTTTTTCTAGATTTTGATCTATGACATTATAGAAGTGGTTCCTGAACCAGGACAGCCCCTTACTAAAAACAGGTTCAAAGAAATATATGCCAAAGACCAAAAAGGTCCAGTTACGGCACTGAGTCAAGTGAAAGGGTTCTTAGTGTCAGCTGTAGGACAAAAAGTAAGAATTGAATTGTACATGACGTTTTGCTTAAATTTTGTTTTCAGATTTACATTTGGCAACTGAAAGACAACGATTTAGTCGGCGTTGCTTTCATAGATACTCAAATATACACCCACCAAATTTTAACTATTAAAAGTATGATACTGGTAGCAGATGTTTACAAGTCAATTTCACTCTTGCGTTTTCAAGAAGAATACAGAACTTTATCTCTTGTATCCAGAGTAAGTCCTTTAGTAGTTTATTAGTAGTCCAATTATATCTCAATAATCATTAAACAGGATTTTCGACCTTGTGAAGTATTCGCGGTGGAATATATGATAGACAACACTACAATGGGTTTTCTTGTTTCCGATAGCGAAAAAAATTTGGTGCTGTATATGTATCAGCCAGAGTCGAGAGAATCACTGGGAGGTTTGTAATTGATGTTTATTTGGAAAAAAATACGTTTTGTGTAATTTTAGGCCAAAGATTGTTGCGTAAAGCAGATTTTCACTTAGGGCAAACCATCAACACGTTCTTCAGAATTCGTTGCAAACTAGGCGAGTTGGGTGAGGACAAGAAGCACTTAACAGGAGCTGATAAACGTCATATCACAATGTTTGGTAATAGATTAATATTGACAATATATTTGATTCCTAGAAAAATATTTCAGCTACTTTGGATGGTGGTCTTGGATATATAATGCCCGTTCCCGAAAAAACGTACCGTAGATTACTTATGCTACAAAACGTTTTAGTTTCTCAAGGGGCACACATAGCAGGACTAAACCCTAAGGCTTTTAGGACATACAAAAGCTGGAGAAAAGTTCAAACCAATCCTGCTAGATCTGTTATAGATGGCGAATTAGTTTATAATTACTTGCATCTATCAATTCCTGAAAAGATGGAGGTATGTACTGTGTAATATATTTTTCAGAACATAAAACCTTTGTTTTAGGTTTCAAAGAAGATTGGAACTAAAATTGAAGAATTACTTGATGATTTGTCTGATATTCAGAAAATTACAAACCACTTTTAATTTCGAATGAAATGTATAAATTATGTTATTAAAAAAATAATGTTTATTATTTAGTTTTATTTACATGTAAAAAAATCACAGAACATTTGCTGTTTAAAACATCAACTGAACAATATTTTGGATATGGAGGGTTAAACTATTAAATATTGCCACAATTATATTCCATTAATAATCAAAAACTTTAGCACCTTACTTACCCACCAAGTTTTTGTCATATGCCGAACGAAAACATCCCTGCAGAACATAGGCATGTGAGGTACTAAAATTTTTAATGCTCAGTGTGAACTAACTTAAAATAGTCGACATTTATTATTCCAACCACATACACAAATTTATCATTTTTCGTACAAAAATAAAGCGACCAACCGAATTATAGTCACAATAACGCAGTCTTAATTAAAAGTAATACATTATTAACAAAAGTTCTATCTAAAGCCTATCTATCCTCTTAAACTATAGGACCTCCTCAATACCGCACTCTTTACTTTGCGTCCGTGAATAACTTGCTTTTTCAAAACTTAAAATACATGATTGTTGCAAACATACAGGAATCGGTTTCTAGTACTTACCAACGGCAGACTTTGAAGGTTTTGCATGAGAAATTTGTTTTAGGGGAGACTTGTATTGTTTTTTGCGACTATTAATGCATTTTCTTAAGATTTTACCACTTCTGGTGTCACTGAGATTCACAGCCATTTCCTCATATTCAAGTTCTTTTCTTTGTTTCATTTTTTGGAAAACTGACATCATGGCTGAGGTGTAACCATCTATATTTTCCAAAGAACTGAAAATAAAGCACTTCTTGCATACAGTGATGCGGGTATATGTATATCTCGCGGAGGGATTTAGTAAATAAAAGTCGTAAAAATAAATTTCTGCATATGATGAAATATCAAAAAGTATAAAATCAAGTATTATTATTGTTACGAAATAAACCCATACGCCGTCGAGAACTTTCTGGTCTGTACGCCGATGATGACTCATCGTCAATGACAGCGACCGAGCGCTAAAGAAACGCTTGGAAGCGGAAGTCGCGAACGGCATTCCAGAAAGATTCCGATCGCCGCACATCTAGAAGAACATGGGTTTTAAACAGAAGCCACCTTCGGGGAGGATTATTATTATGTCCAACGTGTGTCGAGAAAACACAGTCAAGTTGCGCCGGATTTATTGTGTACATAATCGCTGTGTACTCAGCCGTGTAAATTTGAGTTATTGAGAAATAAATTTTTGAGTTTAACTCACGCCGATTTTAATCACCCGTTCAACGTAACATTATAATTTCTACTAGAATTTTAAAACCCATAGCTACTTCTTTTCTTTTCAGCTAAAAACAATGACGATTACATAACAAATTTCATGTTGAACAATAACAGCAAAACTTATTTATAAAATGATTCATTGGTGCTTTTTTAAACGTGGTAAGACAAATTAATGTATCAGAAATCTATTTTTTTTGTACTAACAATCATAATGGTCATGTGTAAATAAACATTCACCAAGTAACTAACCTGTCACCCTTATACGACGGCGAAGCATCTATTCGTTCCTTACATTTATTGTAAACTTCCAGCATTGCATATGTTGGATTCAATCTTTCAATATTCAATTCTGCAATGTTAACAACGAAATTTGAATCTTGATTATCTACATTTCTTTTCTCTCTGGCTTGTTTCATGATGTTTTCTGGGTCAGCTATATCTTCAAACCAATTAGTTTTCTTCTTTTTATTTTTGACTTTTTTTCTCAATAATGGTTTCACAGGAATGTTAGATTGGAGTGGAAGCCGAGAGATCGTATGTATAAATTTTCTTACTTTAACATTCTCACTAACTCTTTTTTTTATTGGTTTTACTTTCCCTTTTTGGGAATTGTCAAAATCAAAACTTGAATCATTCTTGTATCCATTATCTTTTATACTCTGTCTGAACAAACTCTTCAAGTAATTGTAGTCGGGGTTCTCCTAAAGCATAAAAATATTGTATTAGTTTAAATCATTGAATACAAGTTAATTAAGGGTTATTTTAATTATGTGTGGATGTCAACTTAAGAAATGAAATAACCATATTGTGGAACAGTACTCATATATACAAAAAATTAAAATTACCTGAAACTGTAGATTCTGGAGATATTTAAAATAGTCCTTCAGAAACCTAGGATATTCAGTAAAACAACTATTCAGGAAGTATTCTATGTTAGACATTGCTCGTAACTTCTTCTTTGCTACAATTTCTGGATTATCTACATCACGAGACCAAGGAAGATTTCCAGTAATCCAATGTATTATATTATAGCCCAAAGATTCTAAATCCGAACGTCTTGATGGAACACCTTTATGTGCATCTCTTGAACAAAATAAAATTGTTCCAGCATGTGCTTTACGTTCATCAGTACAGAAAGGTTTGTGCACTCCTTCGGACGATACATATTTAGACGCTAAACCATAATCCAGAAGGTACACTTGATCTTTTTTAGACTGAGGACTTCTTAGTCCTACAACACATTCAGTTATAAATGTGATGAGTACATACAGAATTATGACTTACTGTTATTATGATGATTAACTGCCATAATCTCATCAAAATGAGGAATATCGTCTACATAATTAATTTGTGCCTGTGGCCTTAAATTTCTAACAGTTCTTGTCATTTTCTGCAAGCGACAGGCCCGTGTCGGATTACTAATACTAAATTTAATAGGTGGTGTTCTAATAGATACAGATTTCTTCAAAATTTTTGCATTACTTAAAAGAATGTTAGAAGCTTTTATATCTGAATGGACATATCCTTTACTGTGAATATACTCCAGAACATCTAGTATTTGTAAAGATATTGTCAGAACTGTTTTTAAATTTAACAACTTTTTTTCTTGCAAAATTCTTTCCAAATCTTTGTCAAATTTGGGTAAGATTAAAAATCTGTATTTTTCGCCTTGATGAAGGTGGGATCCTGAAGCTACATAATGTGGCATTCCCAAAGAATTTAGTTTTTGATCTCTCTTCCACCTTTCAACTGTAAAGAAAATATTAATTTTAAACAGCACAGGAATTGGTTACACTTACTCATGTCCTGTTTAGCTATTCGCAAATAGCAGTTCATTTCCACGAACAATGGTCCATTTGTATGATTTTCTATTTTAGCCACATAGTTACAATCAGTCTTAACGTCGCTCAAGAAGTTGTCAGAGACTTGGTAAATTTCACCAAAGCCCCCAACTCCAACCACTTTTCCTAGTTTCCACTGTTTACCAGTTATATCTGTTAAAATTTCTCCATATTTTAGGTTAATGGAAGACATTACTGGATTGTTACAATTTCTTTTCTTCGGTGGATCCTCTTCTGATGAGCTGCCATAACATCGTCTCGGCATTTTAACAGTTTCAATATATAAATATTTTCAGATTCAACAACTGCAAGAAAATTATTAGTACAATGTGAACTAAACGTAAATGATTCTTAGCTGCATTGATAGTATAAATAATAAAGTTTCGATTACTGTTAAAACATTCAAAGTACCTGTAGTAATACATGCGCTAGTGGAATTATTAAATATTAGGACAGGTCTTTTTCAAAAAGTAAACGAACTTTAGAAAGGAAAGCCCGCATTCAAACTACTGATAACAAGAACAACGTATTTCACCACACACTAATAAAAATTTAACAAGTACTTACTTTTTTACCAAACAATTTTAAAACTTTCAACGGTTTTTTAATTATCAAATAGCGTTAGAAATGTCACAAGCAATTTTCACGGCCATCTTACATATTTTACCTAATCGAAATCCTTGATTAAGCGCATGCGCTTTATGTACTTGTTAGAAATCTTGCGCACACGAAAATTAAAAAGATAGGGATTGTAGGACAACTATTTTCTTTGTTGCTTTTACTATTTTTTTGCATTTTTTTAAATTTAGTAAAGCTTTTAATCCATTATTAAACATAGAAAGACTATATTACAGACTAAAATAACACTCTCAGATGCAGGTGCATCCGCCTTCTAGTGTTTTGTCATTCTTTTATTTAAACCAAATACCCCCGCCCCTAGATTATTTTGACAACCGTTACCTAGCAACCAATAAAGCTACCATAAACAAAAAAGTTGTTTGGTTTATGTTCTGTAGAGTTGTACAATATCTCAAAATATTTTTTGGTGTTATTCGTAAGTTGTAATTAAACTCTGCTGGTATTAATGTAATTGTTTAGCCCTATGGCAGAAGTTCATATTGTTGGCCAAATAATTGAAGCAAAAGATTTTCCAAAGCAAAATTTGTTCTGCAAGTGGTTTCTTCAAATTGGTGAGTATAATTACACTTTGTTGAATTACATCAGTCGGAAGCCCGCTTACAAAAATATAAACAACCAAAAAATATTTGGTATAATTACAAGTTTTTATAACTATTTTGTAGTCCTCCAGTTGTATTTACAACACAAAAAATATGCGTCACACCCGTATATGCATAATATCCGTAAAATTTTGAATAAATTCAATAAAATAAGAAGAAACGAACATAAATTCAAAGAATTTAAGAACATAATTAGTTTTTGCAATTGTTTTAATGAGACGTCAGAGCCACGTCAACGATATTTTTTTACAGAATTTTTTTATTACATATGCAAAAGGGGGAAAATTATATCAAAGTTGTAACAATTTCGGTACTTTGACAACTCATTATTTCGTAAGAAAAACATGAACATAGAAAAAATCGTTGAAAAAGAAAAATGATTTTTGGACTTACGTAATGATTGTTAACACGATGTACAGACAAAACTCCACGGCCTTATACAGCGTGATCAACAAATACTGTAGAAGTTGGCATTGGCAACACCAAGCAATTCTAAGCAATTTTTCATGCGCTGCCGTTGCCGACCCTGATCCAAATACTTGGCGCCATATCACTTTTAAATACTTGGGAAAATTCGGTTAAAAATCAATAACAAATGTTGATTTAAATTAAATGTAACTGTCAACTATGTCAATTTTAACAACAGAAAGTCAAATGGAGGTGACAGTTCCACCCATTTGAACGAAAATTTGTGATACCATGAATAATGTACAATTCTACCTCCATTACTGATACCAACTGAAATAGTAATTGTTGATCTTAACAACGCATAGAAATTTTGAAATGCTGTACACGCCATTGTTTTTAGTTTGAAGGGGGAAGTTTAACGTATGGAGTCGGCGCCAGCGTCGGGACGTAAACCTGTATTTATAAAATTGTATAAACGTATAATCTTTAACGGATTTTAATAGATCATTAAATTACGATTTTAAATTATAAAACACTTCTGTGTGTTGCATTAGTTTTAACTGTAAATAATATAAATTATCTGAATGAAGAAATACATCTAGTTGCCAAATATTGTCATAAGAATAATTATACAAACTCAATTACACTACTATGCTGTTAAATGTTAACGTCAGAAATCTTGGACAAATACATACGCACAACACTTGTTTTCGCTGCATATACACATTAGAAACTGGTTTAATTTTTTAATTCTGCAAAACATTTATTATTATGTATTATGAAAATTGGGTCGGCATGAGGTAGTCGATGATCGCTCAGAGCCCAAATTTAATGCCCTTAGGTTTATTTTTGTGTTGACCCATAAAAGATGTGTCATATTTGCAACCTTTGTCTGATTTAGAAGAATAAAAAAAATGAATTAGGAATGTTTCGGTTTTTTTAACACGTGATACTAATATGAAGTTTTGTATTCAATACGTGTAAAATTGCTGTTTTTGAAATATGTAGATCCAAAATAAAGTGGTACTTTATTTCATTCAACTTCAAATTTTATATTCAAATATTTTTTTTATCGACTGAAAATGAAATAAACACCTAAATATTTCATATCATTGTAATCGTAATTTAACGGTCACTTAAAAAACACATATAGGTACGTTGCCATTTAAAAAAATATAAGTTTGCGTCGCGACGCCGACACCATATACAGAGTGATCAAAAAATACCAGACAAGCTCGATGGTACGTTGTGAAGAAGGCACTGAATAAAAAAAGAAAAACATCTTTAAACAAATCCCTGCACCATTATTTTAAAAATACATATTAAACTTCAAAGTTGAAGAATTAACTTCGTAATCCTGATTTATTTTATTGAACTTAATGTCTAATACAGGGTGTTATTGAAAGGTACGTACAACAAAATTGACAGTTATTCGCGAAGTCTAAGAAGTCTGAAAAACTTATTTTGTGTTATCGAAATTATAAGGAGAAAATGAACCCTTATCCAACCTTTTTAGACGCCACTGAAGGATAAATAGGTAAAATTATTTTATTTTAGTAAATCCTAGCAACTCTAACAATAAAACTTATCAAATCTAAATGTTTCTATAGAAACGAAAGATGATCTTTTTATCAAAGGCGTACAACGAATTTCAACATACATTTTAATAATTTTTATCTCTAAAATGAGAGCACTTTTACCCTTAGATCATATAATAAATATGATTATATATTATTATATGATCTAAGCTTTTACCTGAACTTTTTTTTTACTTTTAGCACCCATATTATTTTGTATGTACCTACCTTTCAATAACATACTGCAGGCATTTAAATAATTAGTTATTAGTAATTTTCTACAATACAATCCACAACGTCATTTTTTACTGTTGACAGATGTGATTTTTGACAATTGGAGTTTTAGACTGTCAATTAAATTCACATTTAAACGTATCAGAATTACGAAATTGAAGAATTCATTTTTGAAGTTTAATAATTTCAAAAATTTTGTTCAGGGATTTTTTTAAACCATTTTAGTTCCTCGGAGCTTTCTTAACAATTTATCCGTTATTTTTTCATCACAATTTCAATCTCTCTAATCGTTTTGAAGGTATAAGGTCGCGAAATTTTATCTGGCATACCTACCCGTATAGATGTTAGAATAAGAATCGAAAATATATGAGGCATTTTATTTAGTTTCTAATTTAATTCATTCATTCATGAAAGACATCACTGTATTTTTAAGTTTATTCCCTCTAGAGTTGATGACATTTCAAAAAATGATTTAATAAGGTTTTTTTTTTGTGAAATATGTACTTAGGTATACGTTTTCAGATGCCTAATGCTGTGTTTAAGGATCTTTTACAATCACCGTTTAAACTTTGGTTGCCATACTTTAACTATGCCTCTATGTGTACGTCTATTTTTCATATCAGTATCGAAACAAGTATCAATTTTATTGGTGAAATCGCCACCATTCTAGAGAAAAATATCATAAGTCATTAGTGATAGTTTTAAAGAAAAGTTGGAATATTCATTTCTCACTTATATGAATTGACGCACATTTATTTGCCATATATGTATAATATATACATAGAGTGTTTTTAAAGATATTTGGAAACAGAGTTAAATACTTTTATTGCACTCTAAACGGGATATAAATGCCGCTACCATAAATGTTCAAAGCCCCGCGCCGCAGGTCAGAATTTTGCACTTCGTTGCATGCGGACCGGATTGAACTCGGGTACTTTTATGGGGATTAAGCTCAATACCAGGCAGTTGAAGGTTAACCAGGGATTAATGACACTCATAAAGTGATTAAATCTCTTTCCAAATATCTTTAGAACTACTGTACTTCATGTTTGTTGTACAGTGTAGGTACACTATCACATTATGGACAAATGTTCACGATTAAAGTAAATGCAACGTCACAGTCGTGAGACAAGTAAGTACGTACTTGCCCTTGTATTGTGACATGAACTGAAAGGCATATTGTCGTATTAAGTTTATGTAAATATTAATATTTTCTATTATTTTAAGGGAATAACTGGAAAATAATTTCTGGAAAGAAAGAAGGTCAGACTCAAGTTACTTCCTCTCAACTAGGAAATGGTTGTAAATGGTCCTTTCCTATAGATATTCACTTGGCCACCGCAGGACTTCAAGGTTGTTTTTTATGCTATTATTAAAAAAAGCAGAGCTTTTAATAATAATAATGACTTCTTTTTTTGTCACATTTTAAAAATGATAATTATATGAGATCTTTCACGCTCCGTGAAATATGTCATTTTTATGACATAGTGACAAAATGTAACTTCTGGGGTTTCACAAGTGCCTATCATTTTTCAAACGTAATGAAAAAAATGTGTGTTTGGCTTCCTTTAGAAAACTTACTTTTAGTGTTGTCGGACTTGCCTACAACTCATCTACTAATTTCTGTACAGGCTGGTCTGTAAAAGTTATCTTTTTGGATATTGGTCACCTGCGCGCGGCGGTCAATTTATCCCTGTTTTTCAAACATCGTTGAACCACCTGGGCCTGGTAAAACTCTAGTATAACTGAGGCAGCTTGAAGGCTCCTGGATCTTTTACAATTACAAAGATCGGACCGAAGGGTCCTCTATCAATAGCGAACAACGAACACCAGTAACACTATGGTGTCGATATTTTTCGATATGTCGACCCATAGGGGGTGGCCTATGTATGGATACGGCTTAAAGGGGGTAGCGGTGGTGAAAGTAGGCATTAGGAGCAGGAAGGTATTGCTGATGCCAATGAAGATATAGTACGCAACATACCGCCCACCCTTAAAGTACCGAATGCAAGAGCTATGAGGAATGGTTTAATTAAAACACAACATAAGAACTTCTGTTGGCCACAAATACCTTCCAATGACAATCTGAGGAACGAATCCACGGCATCACTATAAACTAGTCCGACCAAGCAAATATACGTTGATATAAGTTGATGGTACTTTTCAGTGTGTTTCAGTGACAATATTAATCAATAATCGGAAACGGATTAGTTGATAACGTTGATGTTCAGGAGCAATCAAAGTCTGTCTAGAAATCTAACCGATGTAATACCAATGCGACACAAAATATTAGGAATTCGCGTCGATGCAAAGAAAAAATTCAAAATATCGAACGTTTACCACGTGTTTTGAAAGTTTCTGTGGCGGCACAATAACACGTCGGTGAGCGGAGAAAGATAAGTGGCCTCGTGGTCTAGTGGTCAGAATACCTGCCCGGAAAGCGGGATGCGTGGGGTCCGATTCCCACCAAGGCAACAATATTTTTCTTCGCTTACCTACAGTTTCCGTTGGGCCCTTGTTCAAATCTAAGCAATAATACCAATGGGATTAAAAAAAGAAATGGCTGCAAACAGGCGCACGTAGGTAGGCTCGTATACTATACGATAAATAAGCAACTATAAACCATGGACTAATTAAACAATCCGGCTCGAAAGACCATATGTTTACGACACATAAGTTGTATAAGCAAGCAACAATTGTAGGAAGATGAATAAAGGACTTACCCTGTTATGCCGATCTTCCTCCACAATTACAAAGACCAGATCGAAGGGCCCAGGTCTGTTACCAATGGCGAACGATGAACAACAAGTCTCTATGGTGCCGATATTTTTTGAGCGGTGGTGAAGATAAGCATTAGGAATAAGAAAGATTTGCTGCTTACCTAACTCCCGGCACCAATAAACATATAGTACGCAACAAAGTTGATGATAACATTTTGAAAATTAGTCAATAAGTCTTTATTGGAAAAGATCTCTAATAAATGGGGCATGCATTTATTTATTCGGCTTTAGAGCTAAAGAAACTCGAATTTTTTCAATTTTCAAAATAATATTTGTGAGAAAAAATTGAAGTATCACCCTGTACATTCTTTTTTCTAGGATGGCCTAAAATTTATCTACAAGTATATCACCTTGACTGGTTAGGACGAAGTCACATTTTTGGTTACGGATTTATTACAGTTCCCGCTTCTCCTGGCACACATATTGTAGACTGTTACACGTGGAGACCTTTTGGTACCATAAAAGATCGTTTTGTACAATATTTTTTGGGAGGCGGATTTCAAATTAAAAACCCAGATTTGGTTTTTTCTTCCGGAGAACGATATAAACTGTCTACAGAGGCTATGGGAGTTGTTTCGTTTGAACTTTGCGTAATACTTAGGTAAATTTAATTGATTAAAAAAATTTACACTGACATTTTTGCATTTTGTAGAAATTTTACAAATTACGGAGTTGAATATGAGTAGAATGGGCTTCGAGATGCTTTTTAAATTGGTGCTGTTTAGCTTGTATATAAAATATTCATATTTAGAACAAAACTTAACTAAGACAAAAACAAATATCAGTTTATTGAATGTATCGGTAGCCGAAAACACAACTATGCCGACTATATTATCAACACAGAGCCTGCTCACTACTACCTGTGATGTAAATAATTCTTGTGTTATTAATTCAACATTGACTGCAAATGTAACCACCACGGATTTACCTAAAACAACTGAACAAACCATTTCCAATTCTACAACTGGAATTACGGAAAGCCCCATGAAGACCTTTAAATTTATGACACATGTGCCTACTCGCTCTAAAAAGAATATATGTATTTGTGATTTAAAAGTACGTAAGTATTTGAAAAGCCGTATAACAGAAATATTGAAATACACCATATATTTTTATTATTCTACTTATAACTACAACAATCTTCGAAACGCAACAATTTTTTTTAGATTCAGTATTGCGACATAAACTGCTGTTGTGACAAAGACTGTTCTTCGGAAGATCGAATGGTATTTAGTCATTGCGAAGAAGACTTTCACGAATACGATACACGATTCTGCCATTACACAAAACATATTTACGTTAATCACACACCCCATGAACTCCAAGTCAGCCAAAATGGATTATTTTGTGTTGTGGCTAATAATGCACCACCAAGTTATTTGGTGCAACGAACAAATGTAAGTAATTTTAGCATATGCAAAATAATTGAACAGATTTGTATGAGTGGTTCCTTCTATTTTCAAAAATGTTGGTAATTTATACTCAAGAATTTGCATCTTTTGTTTTATATTGAATATCCGCTTATTTTTCTCTTTGAACTTTTCTTATTCTTATTCTCCGTTGGCATTTCGAAGTTTAGCTAAAAACAAATAAATCGGCAGAGGAACTGCATTTTTAAATGTTTAAATTTTTTATTCAATACATATTTAACAAACTTGTCTATATGTTTGTCGTGTCTGGTAGTTCCAATAGTTTTATACATTTTTTTAGCCTTTAGAGTCATTTCAAGAAGCTGAATTTGAGAAAGCAGGTAAATACTCTTGGCCTGATTATGTGTCAAAAAACATTCCAGAAATAGCAGAAATAAATTATGTTAATTATACTTATGGGAAACCATTGTGGATTATTCGAAACCATCATCTGGAACATTTACGTAAGTGTAGCGTTTCTAATATGATAATATTATACAGAGTGTCCCAGTTAAAATTCCGCAGCCTTATATCTTGAAAACACTTTGAAATTCTGTAAACTCCATTGGTTGTAGCTTGAAAGAGAAAGTTTAATTTAGTACATATTTTAAATTGCAATGTACCTATATATATATATATATATATATTTTAACGCCTTTTGATAGATAGATATTTATTTCATTTTCAGTTGAAATAAATACGTATATAAACTTAAAAAGATGAAAGTTGAGTGAAATAAACCATCATTTCAGATTCAACATAAGCTAAAATAATTCGTTTTGAAGCAGATTTTGTTAGTTATAAAATAAAGTGTGAGTGCTTTATTTCAGATTTTTTTCATACTCCAGGGGTCATGAAACATCGAGAAAACATAGAAATTCGTCATATGGACTATTACAATACCTCCTAAATCTACGCTCGGGAAGTAAAAATAATGCATTTGTTTGTTACAGAGTTTTCCAAAAGCTTCGTTGTTGCAAAGTGTGTGGTAACAGAATATGTAAAATATTTAATTGATGTTAGGAGTACCTGTACCCACACCGATGTATCTAAAGATAATTATCTGCTTCGTGCTAATACGTATTTTGAAAATATATCGATAATTTCCAGCCCTGGATCATTGAACTTATCACTATATAAAAAGAATAATTTTTTAGAGGTAATTGACAACAGCAGTTTGCATAAATAATTTTTTCAATTTTACTTAGTAATGTTATAATTTCTTAAACATATTAATTATGCACTCAACTATTTTTTTAACTGTTATTTCTGTTACGTAAATTATGCTAATATCTTTTTTTTTCAGAATTGTCCCAGAAATGTCTGCCTTACTATAGTTCCGGAAATTTGTGGCAAACATTTCGAACACTGTATTGAAATTAAACAAAATTTTACAAATAACCTTAAGACAAATTGTTATCTAAGCATTGCAAACAATGAACTGTCTTGTATTAATTTAGTTCGACATATCAAATATGAGTTTTATCATAATGGCACTGAAGGAATGATAAAGGCAAAACTTTTTTTAAACTTGGTGAATGTTACTTATTCTCTAAATATGAATATTGATTTTTCCCAAACTTTCGAAGTTGGCTTCAGGTGGTGGAATCACTCTTTGAATCATTCTTCATATCTTAGTGGCAACCCTGGATATCTAGTGGGTAAACCAGTTTTAATTGCAAGTATTATTTCTGTAAATATTACTAACAATAATACAGTTATTACAAATTCATCGGTAACTAATAACACAGTCTATACATTTGAAAAGAAATTATTTCGCAATCCAGTTGATTTTACCAGTAATTTTATGGTTTTGCCTTCCGTTAATGAAGATGGTATATGCGTGTTGAACAAACACGAATACACACCTGTTGAATTTGGTTTCAATTATTATTTCAAATGCACAATTAAAGAAATGATACAGCAGAAAAATATGTCCGCGAGAGCTCTATGCATGGAAGTGCAGACGCTAATTTTCAAATACTGGTCGCTAAATAATTTAACAAACAGTACTTTGGATAATAAATTAATTGGTCAGTGGGGTAACGCAAACACCTATAATGTTGAAGAATGGGTGAAAACAATGTATGAAGTTGATCTTAAAGATATTCTAAACAAGACATGGGGAAAATTTGAAAATGACAAGAAAACACTTACTTGTGGCAATATAACAACTTTACTGGTAATCGAAATATATCATGCTCGAGTTGACTTTGAAGATGTTCTTAATCAGGAGAAAATTTTAGCTACAACACTTCGCTTTAAAAGCTACAAAAACATAACTTTCCCTGTTTTTGTAAACAAATTGAATTTTATATTTAGTGTTAAGATGGCTACGCAAATTGCATTTTTTGACATTACTACGAAGAAAATTAGAAAAATTGTTGATCCACCTAGTTTAAATATTCGTTTACCTCACGATTTCTTCTACCCATTTGTTAAATTAAATAATAAAGCGTCTATAAAAATAGCTTGTCAGTATTTAGTTTTGGTTTATATTACAGTTCTGAACATTGTAAAATAAATTATTGAAAATATATCCTGTGGTATTATTTGTAATTTCACACGTATTATTTATATTTGCGACAGGTAAGTACATGCATATACAGGAGTACCAATTATTATTATTTTTTGTGAATGGAGGGAGAATAAGAAAATTTAATTTAGTACAAAATTCTACTTCTAAATTTTCAAAAGGCGACAGACCGAAACAAAAAACCCACAGTTTCGTATACTATGGCTTATGAGAGGGTAAAAAATATAACCAGAACTTTAATCAAAATGAAATTACTATTTAGTGTAATGCTTCTCTCAGCTAGCGCTTGTTTTCTCTTCATCCAAATCTGAAACAAATATTTCCAAACGGTTTACGAAATGAAAATGATTTTTATTTAGTTAATTACTGGAATGCTATACACGTATAAAATCGTACATGCCTGCGTATACGTTACTTAAATTTCTTACATAATTTTTGACGAAGAGAATATTAAGCAGATGTTTTTACTTCACGCGACATACCCACCGATTCAGTTCAAACAGATTAATGCAGTTAGCACTATTACAATTTGTTGTACCATATTTTAACACATCGTTATGTTTAAGCTGTGGTTTTTATTGGCTTGTAGTTTAAGTTTGGTGATTTCCCAAGACAACAGTGTTGAAATGATTTGCAAAAGTTGTGGAGATGCTGTAAATGAGTATTGTTGCAAATACTACAAAAGCTGTTGTGAGTGTAAGTAGGTGCATAATACCCTTTGTTGTTTTTTTGAGTCAGTGAAACTGGAAAAAGAAACTTACTACATATTATTAAATGTTTTACAAAAGGTAGAGTATGTAGAAAAAACAGCTTTGCTTTTATTAGAGTTGGTTGTGTATGTAAGCGTTTTTGGAATTATTTATGCCACCTTATCTTTTCTTCTTTTAAATTTATTGCGTTGTAACACTTTTAAAATATGACTTGTTCCACCTTTCTTTTTCTTTATAGCATGTTTGTTCGCTTTCTTGAAAATAGATTATCATTTTTTTCTGTTTTTGTTTCTTACTAGCTAGACTTATCGAACAGCACGTTATCTAACCTTTATTAATTTTTGCGATCTCATTAATAATCTGCATATTTTTTTTTTTATCAAAGTCAATATAAACGTAATGGCCTACTTGACTGTCGGCGCTTTAATGAAAAATAGTTTTTTGGTAGCTCGTATGCATCCGTATACTTAAAAATATAGATGAGTATATTATTAAATCACAACTAAAGAAACGTATCACACTATAAATTGAAAGCAATTTATTTCTTTAACAAAATTTTGACATGATAAGTATGCCACCAAGTTTTACAAGGGATGAACAGATGAATTATTCTGATTATCGATTTAGTTTTTCAGTTTGTAAATTACACTGTAATAAGGTTTTGTTGTGCAATTTCGAACTTTTTTCGAAAAACTTACATGTATGATTATACATAAACACGGGTATATTAATAGATCACATGTCAACCTAGAAATATACAGTTTTGGTCCATTTAAATAAGATATATTTAGCAAAATTTTTGGTGGAGATGATTAGATGTTTGTTTTACCATCCACGCTTAAAATGGAATTTTACAACGATCAGTGCAGTTCTTTCAGAGGTTATCTGTTTAATCAAATCTTCATAGAGCCATATCTGTGGCGAACTCTCAGCCTTGCCTCGGATAAAAATTACATTCTCCAGAAGAGTTTACTTAAAATACACAAACTTTGTTTCTTTCGAATTTTTATCTAAAAACATTTTTAAAAAAATTTCGATTTGTGGACGAGCCGAGGTCTGAAAATTTTAGGAAACAAAGTTTCCTTTTCATCGAATATCATTTTTTTTTTTTTATTTTTACTTCCCGAGCGTAAGTGGAGAAAGTATTGTAATGGAGTCCGTCGGCCGACTCTCTACTTTTACGTTTTTTCGACCTTTTCCGCACCAATAATGTTAAATTGTATAAAATAACATAGTCCTATACATGTAGTTTATGACTCTGTGTTGAGCTTTTACCCGAAACGTCAAGATTTTTGGAAAAAAATCAAAATTATAAAACAAAATTTTTTATCAAAATATATTTACTTAGCCCTTCCAAAAAATTAATGACGTCATCTCAAAATTTTGCTGAATAAATTCTATTTAAAATGTCCAACATATGATGAGTCTCTACTTGTAATTTAACATTGCATTCATATTTTTTAGATTTTCTTATGCAAAAGGTGACTCAAAAAAAATTTTTATTGATTAAATCAAGAATTACAAAAGTAAATAATTCGAAATCTTGTAGACATTTTAAAGTTATTATAAGCATTGTAAGTTGTTAATCAAAATATATCTGTTTATTCCCCCCCAAAAAATTGATGATGTCATCTCAAAATTTTGCCTAATAAATTCTACCCAAAATGTGCAGAATATGATGAGTTTTTACTTGTGATTTATCATTGCATCCACATTTTTTAAATTTGTTTAAACAGGTGGCTTAAAAAAATTAATGAATGCGTCAAATTTATTTTATTGATTAAATCAAGAACGGCTCACTCTATTTTCCCACAAAATTTTGGGAATATAATACTGTTATTTTTCAATTTCCATTTTACACTAAATAAAATAAGTCAGTGAAATGGAGAAAGGACCTGGGCGGGGCTAAATTTAGCTTTTTGCTAGTTTTATGAGCAAGCAGTAGTATCGCCCACCCACCCTTTCTTGATTCCAGTGACTACTCTAAATATTGTTCAGTCCTATCTCAGCAAGTTTTAGCCCCGCCCACCCACCCTTTTTTTTTCTTAGATTAGAAGATATGTCATTTACCAATCTTATCTTAGCAGATACTAGCCCCGCCCACACACGCTGTTCTCATTCTATCGATTTTATCTCTTTTCAATTGAGATCCACCTTCCATTCGGACTAAATAAAATGTAATTTGCCACAATCAGTCTTATCTTAGCAAGTACTACACTGCACCAATCCAAGTTCATGTTACGTGTCCTCGCAAAAATGTTGATGAGATCATCACAAAATTGTGTAAAGTAAAAATGCTGGATATGCTTCACTGTACTTGCGGTGCGAGAGAAGTTCTGTTGAAACAACTTTCAACCAATTTTTTTTTTTTAAGCAACTCGAAACAGTCGGATATATTTTTACTCATTTCAAGATTTTTCGATTCTTTATGATCAAAAATGTTATTCTGAAACGTTATAAGATAATAATTTGCTAGATTTACAAGCAAATAAACCAGCCCTACTTTTGGTAGGAGGCGGATAATAAAAAATTTTATTCTGAAACGTAATAAGATAATCATTTACCAGCAGACGAATCCTGCTTTTGGTTTTTTAGTGAAGAAAATACAGTAATAGGGATTCGCTTTGAATAAAAAAAATGGTCTAAAGTCATTTAGACAGGACTTCTCTCGCATCTGAAGACAGATATTCAAACAAATTCAATGTGCTAGAAAAAAAAAATAAATGTCGGCAAGGATGGGATCGAACTAACGTGAGCGGAGCTCAAGTTCTCTAAGAAATCCACACGCTCACTAGCAGTCGTTATGCACGTAATCTATAAATATAATGTATGCGCACAATTTTTTTTTACGTAATTGTGATAAAATTAAAGGCAGACTCATAAACCGCAAATATAGGAGTATGTTATGTTATAAAATGTAAATATGAGTTTCTACGAAAAAAAAAGAGTTTATGTCATTTAATTGTTGTTGATGGAGACGATTAGATAAATTTTGTTTAACACGATATTTTTAACTAAATGAAGAATTTATTTTATTGATTAAATCAAGAACGTCTCACTGCATTTTCTCAAAATTTTGCATTGCATCTATCCAAATTGATATATGCCCTTGCAAAAATGTTGATGACCTCATCACAAACTTTTGTAATGGAAAAACTCACTTAAAACATATACGTAGCACATTTTTTACATGTACTTTATCACTGCATACATATCTTTATTTTAACTTATAGAGATTTTTAGAAAAAAAAAACGAAAATTCGCAAAATCAAATTTTATAACTTTTCGAAAAACAATATATGTATTTTATTGTACTACAAGGGCAGGGGATTGTTTTTTATATTTTATTTTTATTTAATTAGGTTAACTAATAAAGTGAACAAAATTAAACACTAATAAATAAAACGATTTATAAACAATTGATAATATAATATATAATTTAATATAATAAATATTCTTGGAAAAAAAAATTAAAAAAACGTCATTTTTTTTCTCCTGCACGAAAAATCGGAAGGAGAAAATTGTCTGAACATACGCACATAAGGAAAAGAGTGCATAAAAATTAAATAAAATAGTTACAAAATATATGTACTAAAAAAACGTGAAAAAATTACCGATCAAAATGGTCTTCATAAAAAATAAAAAAAAAAACAACACCCAATTTAATAAAATCAATGCAAAATTCTAACCTTTAGGCTTCTTCTTCTGCTACAATTTAGCGAATCCCCTCATCTTCATTTACGAACCCACTGCAACAAACAACACATGAAATTTTTGTGTACACAAATAAAAATACCATAGCAGTTAACATCAATTTTATAGATACCCAATTTTTAATAACGGTGCAATTCAACACTACACAGGTTAATAAGTACATAAGATTAAAAAAAGTACTAATCAGAAAAAGTTTTGAATTCACAATATAAACTCTAAGGAAAATTTTACATTTACATCACATGATTCTTAGTGAAGATGAACAAAAAACCATCTATATAACAGACTCAAAATACACCAAAAAAAGAGTTTCGGAGAATATTTGCCTAAAAATTCGCTAACAAATAGATAGACGGAAACGGTAAATCGATATTTTCACTCCATAAACTGGGGAATGTCCAGAAAACAAAAAGTGAAAGTTTAATAAAAATAACCCTAGTACTCTACGTTAAGAACATTCTAAAATTAATTTAACCGAAACTTCAATGAACACTTCCCAAAAAACATTGAAGACCACTATTTTCAATTAAAATGGTTATTTGAAACGTTTTGCTGATTTAGTGAACTCCTTTTAATTGTACTTCGTTAAGTATATGTCCTAAATACAAAAATGTTTTCAAAACAACTCAGAAATTTAAATGTTTCATAGAACAATAAGGATAATTGTAATGAATAATATTATTAATTGCAGTGATGCGTAAAATGTAAAGATTGTCCTTAATGAGATAAAAATCAAAATTTGATTGAATTTTTAAATAATTAACATTGATAAAAACCTATTATTCCAAATTATTTCAGCCGAAAAGGCCAATTTTACAACACTTACCCTTTGAATCCTGATTTCCTTTCCCTCCGCGCTGATCCTTGCAGACTCTTTCCTCATGGGCACATCACAACACTCACCTTTCACTTTAAGCCCGAAATCAAATTAATTTTAACAAAAATAAACGACTTAAACTAATTTACAGACCTCAGACGCCGTCAACAAAGTCAAACCTACTGCGACTGAACCCCTTTGCGTAACACGAAAAATGAACAAAACATTCTCGGCGCATCATATCAGACATTTTTTGTAGAGTTTTTATTTATCACAAGACAGAATTCAAAAATTTTTCAACGCAAACTAATAGACCTATAAATAATTTAAAAGTATTTTCAAATACATATATACAGTGTTCCGTTTAACTTATACAATAAAGCTGCGTATATACTTTTGGAGCATAAGAAAAGTAGATATTGTAATAGAATCCATTTGGCTACTTTCATGTTTTATCGTCGTTTCATAATCGTAATCCCAAGCATATAAAAAAACTGGTGGTTGATTATTTCGGCAGACACAGAACTTACCTCGCCCCTGCAACAAATCCCACCTTTTTGAAAAATTATGAAATTAGATTTTGAGATTTTTGTTTTGTGATAATCTCGATAAAGTAAAAACCAATGCGTAAATAACATCCCCGCAGGCCTTGCGTGGCGGGGACATAAATTGCAAGGTACCGTGGTCCGCACAAGTGCGATCAATAGAAAACAGTAGCGTAACAATTAAACTGCGGGCCTGTGTTCTACAACACTGTGGGGCCCCTAATGAACAGCGAAATAAAAATATTTAAAAATACGAGTATAATGAATAAAGAATGAGTAGATTGCAATTAGGGCTAACGTTTTATTAAAATCATTCTACCTGAAACATTGAATTAAAAAAATAAAATACAATAATTACCTGAAGACATATAATTAAAATATATACAATATTAGAAACTAGCCGACCCGGCAAACGTTGTTTTGGCATTTCTAGTGAATATTTTGGTACATAGTTAAATAAAAAATTAAATTAAAATAAATACATAAAAATTTATCGTACGACAATGAATATTTATATTCAATGACCATCTTGCAACCCTATTGCGCATCTGTGGATGAAAGCAAAGATACTCATATCGTTATTAAAAAATGGGGGTTGGTGGTAGAAGGGTCAAAATTTAGGGTTATATGTATTTGTTGATGCCAAATCTTAAAAAAATAAAAATAAAAAATGTTGTCTAAAAAATAAAAAAAAGCTTGGTGGGTCACCCTTATCACTTAGGGGTTTAAAAAATAGTTTAGTAGACCTACCGAATATACACAAAAAATTTAATAAAAATCGGAGGAGATTGGTTACAAACACTGTGACACCAGAATTTTATATTAAACTATTTTAGAAAAAAATTCATTACCATAAAAAAGGTTATACTGAGTCGACCTTAAAAGATTGACGTATGCTGTCGCGGACTTTTTTTTAGAACTTTTAGAAGGGAACAATTCCATCATACATGATTTTTATGTAACTTTAACCGTTTAATAAGCAGCGTAAGCAACGGAAGCTGTCAAAGGAAGAATAATTTTCCCGTTTTTCCGATACATATTTTTCATTGCTGCTCCGCTCCTATTAATCATAGGGTGATGTTATATAGCCTATAACCTTCCTCGATAAACGGACTTTCCAACACAAAAAGATTTTTTTAATACAAGTTTCTGAGATTGGCGCGTTCAACCAAACAAACTCTTCAACTTTATAATATAAGTAATTATAGAAGTATAGATAAAATGCCCATTTTTTCAAAATTGTTTTCTTCTTGCTTTTCAATGGGCACAAGTTGATACAAAATTTGACACATCAAAGCTTCTAGCAATTTGATTTCCATTTGAGAGATTCAATGAAGGTAATCTGCATTGGCTCATTGTTTCTAAAAAAATTTTTAGTCATTTTTAATTTCGAAAAAGATCTTTCCGCTGAAACCACCGAAAGAGGTATTGTAAGAAAAGTGAAACATGCTGTGATAATTTCAGTGACACTAGTACAGGTAGGTCATTCTGTAATAATTTCCCAGTCCAGTTTTTTTTCTACTTAAAAAATTAGTTGTAACATACGTCAGATATATTTTATTATTCCAAAAAAGCACCACAAGAACAAAATTAAAATAGTTTTGAAAATACGAAAATTTTCATAAAACACAACTGAAACTGATTTTTTTTTCACGTTTTATTACAGCATGAAGTTTCACTGTAGAACTGAGGACAAAATTTAAGTATTTTGTTGTCTTGCATCATAAATTACCTAGTCATACTTTTGTCGGATAAAGATTGGTAATTTACTACATGGGGTGTTAGATTTGCTACAATGGGATTGCGCACTGCGACAGGTTTATTACAAACAGATGCTGCTGCATTTTCGACCGCCGGTGCCGGTCGCTAAAACCCGAGTTTATTGAGTCTATGATATTGAGATGCCGCCCTTTGCAGCAAAAAATTCGTAAATAGCAATCGACCATCGATCCTGGGATTACCGCACATTTTCGAATTTTTTATTTCAGAATGTAATTTGGGCAATAATATAAAAAAAATCTAATAAAAAAAATGTTCGTGTGACCGGACCGGGCCCCTTGAAGCAGCGGGCCCGTGTTCCGCCGAACACGCGGAACACCGGTAGTTACGCCACTGATAGAAAATATATTTAAACCTGATAACTAATTGATAACCAACGAGAAAATGAAGTCACTGTAAGTAATTCCATGGTTAACTTCGAGTATTTATGTTTATATATACTTCGAAAGAATTCGCCTATAATCACGTACAAGCATCAGCGGTCGCATAAAAGAAAATGAAATTTGACTGATTTTGTCTCCTTTAACCAGGGAGTGGACTGATTAATATCCAGCAAAACGGTCTGAAAATTATTTTGGGCGAGGAGCATTACTGTAATTTTTGAAGATGTAACGATTATGAAAATGAGATTCGAACTCACTAGTGCAAACCTTACTCGAACGCGTGGACCGCAGAAAATAGTCACCTCTTGACGCCGCAACCCAAATAGCTACAGCGCAGTTGTTCGGGGGTCATGAAACATCGAGAAAACATAAAAGTAGCGAGTCGCCCAATAAACTCGAATAAAAAATAGTGTACACTTTCGACTTAGGCAGAGCAGAGTTTCGAAGACTTCGTAAAACTTTGCTTTCTTTTACAATAACACTTGAGCTAAACTTAATAAATTAAATATAAATTTTGATATTTTAAGCAATAAATTTGGGACAATCAAATACAAAATTTAATTCTGAAACGTACTAAAATATACCTAATAAAGTACTTTATATAATACAATAATAAATAATAGAAAAAATTATTACATATTTACAATACATGGGTTTATTTTTTGGTGGTGAAAATACACTAACAGGGATTAATTTTTTTAGTACCACATCTCCGGCTTTGCCTCGCATAAAAATTGCATTCCAAAAACTTACATGTAAATACTCGTATACAGCTATAAGACGGGTGAATTCTGAATTAGTCGACATAGAAGTATACAATTTTGGTGGATTTAAAAATTTTCGGATGACATCATTAAATTTTGGAGGGGATGATTAAATATTTTTTTAGCGTTTTATCATCCAGGCTAAAAATGTATCTAAAATTTCTCATTTCTCAACCATCAGTGGAGATTATTTGTTTAATAAAATCACCTGCTTACGCTCCCAGAGTAAAACTTCTTGCTAGTTTTTCATAGTAACTAACATTGTTCCTAATTTGTATGTATGTATTATCGAAATGCTATCTTTGTAAAAATAAATCTGTTTTGTCGTTTTTAGTATTTATTCGACTTTTCGCTTTTATTGTTAAAATATCTTTTTCAGATGTAAATCCTTCTGGATGTCCAACGCCATCTAGTCCAGAGGCCCGAAAGAGTTGCCGTGGGTTTGCAGCGACCTGCCGGTCGAACGCAGATTGCCCACGCTACAAGCAGTGTTGTGATACCTTTATCTGTGGCGCCATTTGTATGAATAAACCAAACGCATTTCCTGGATACAGATACTGATATAACATAAATAAAATGTGAAAATGAACTGATAAACCATGAATCGTTTGTTTGTCTTTTTACGAATCAACAATGGTCGATATAATTATTTTCACAAAACAATGAATGTAAAAAATCGAAAACAATACAAGTTTGTAAGTTTAAAAATCGATCGTTAAAACCAATAGCATAATTTTCAGCTATCAGATCAGGAAAAGCAACGGATTCGGTTGCTATGTCTACATAGATATTATAATATCGCCGGTTTATTTACTCACGTTATACCTTCCCATTCTTATTAATGTTATAATGACAGAGGAATACCTTGGTTTTGATTATGTCATAGTCGCAACAAACTTGACAAATATAACTGTGATAACATGTGTGAATCATTATTTACGTGGTATTTCAATTTTATTTATTTATAACAAACATTTAATGTATCCTCAGTTTAATGTTTTTGTAATCGATTAAAAATAGAAACAATTTCGATTTTCACGATAAATTTATCTTTATTTGTATATTGAATTTTACTTTATTTCGATCCTGTTTTATGTCGAACATCCGCAACGGCCGCTCAATCGCGCCGACCGATGCTGTATTCACGACCAACTGCCTGAGATTTTCCAGCCTGTCATTGTTCGCTTTTCTCGCATTTTCACCAAAGCTTACAAAAAAGTCGCGGAAAATGTAGCGATTACACCTCTTCCTGTGCGCAGAATCCCGAAAGGGAATTACCCAAGATGGCTGACACTTGTTGGTCGACAGAGTTGTGATTGAGTTTTCGATCGAAATAAGTGCCTTAATCGAATTGATTTCGAAAATTTTTGGCGCGAAGGCGAATGTGGCACGTGTTGGTGATATGTTGAGTGTGCAGAATTTGTGTTAGTGATGTTAGCCTTCGAGAACAGTCGATATGTGTTCTGTTGTCTGCGACAGTTCTTGTTATTTACTTGCAATAAAACTCTATTTCCAATTGTGAGGAAAAATGGATAACACAGCACTCACACTAACAGATAGGTATGTAGCGTGCTCCATCGAATATTCTTCTTAGTCGAATTGTTAAATTATGGTTAATTGTTATTGGCAGTTGCAATGGCCTAGTGTTAGTTACTTACGTCACCGATGCTCTTGTATATACATACCTGTTACCTAAAGAAATGCGCGCACCAATAGTAAGTTTTTCGGTAATTTTACTTGTTACATGTTTATTTTCGAGCCCTGTTTTATGTCTTTGGATCGCTTTTCGCGATTTTTCGGTTTGCTGTTCCGTTATAGCTGCGTCAGAGAAAATATGTGGAGATATTTTTTCTTATGCTGCCCTAATTACTTAATATTCCTTCATTGTTTCCTGTGAACTGCTATGTAAAGTAAAACTGTTAACAGTTATCTCCATCTAAAGATTCGGAAATAATGAAAGCTGTTATCGTTATTCATTATATTAATTCTTTTAAGAGGATGGGCTAGTAATTGTTTTTATTTTGCATTCATTACGTACGGTGAATTTGTTTTTGCTACTTTACAACAACAAACTGACAGTTAAGTGTTAAATTCGGAATCTGCACGTGTTCAAATGTAACAACAAGGAGCATTGTTATTAATTGTTTTTATTTTAATTATTATTCGACAGTTTTGTTCGATTAATCACGCAACAATTCAAATACGTAACAACTTCACACTGACTAATATTTAGTCCTTAATTTTTTTAATTAGTTATGTGTTAATGTGTGAACAGTGTATTTTAAAAATTCCGAATCACTAAATGAATACAGTATTTTTAAAAATTAGATAAGCGAATCATTTTTCAAATAAATTACGTAGCAAAAAAATCCTGTATTGTTGTTTTCGCTACAGGTGAATAACAAAGTATATATGTCATGGATGTATTGTTAAGGACTTTGTTTTAAGAATAATATATCCTTTTTTAAACAAGCCGAAAGCCCAGGAAACTAAAGTGATTTCATACTTTTGTTTATAATAATATAAGTTGTTTAACTCCAAGTGGTATACACTGAACCTTTAAATAATTATTATTTGTATATGTACAAACCAATTAAATTTTTGAATGGTATTGTTCCAAACTCGTTTTATTATGTATCGTTATGTGACTGATCATTAATATTATTTGTGTGGCCGTATGCATGATCACATTAAAGCCACTTGTGTGTCAAAATACTTAGGGGAAATAAAAATGAATTCTTTTATCGCATATTAAATTATTATTAATAAATGTTGTAACAACGTATTTAGATTTTTCAGTGGGTAGCTTTGTATGATTGGAACACTTTTAACAGTTATTAACGTGAATCTTGTTTTGATCTTTTTGTCAATGCCCATATCAAGTCTACACAGAGTTTCCGCAAATTCAGTTTCTATGCTAAAGATTTGTAGTCAGATAATATAATAATTCTACAATTTGTACAAGTTATATGTATATAATCCATAACGCAATATTTAATTATTATTGGTATAACATAAATATATAGTTAGCATTTATCGCTAATCTTAATTTTAAATATTGCGTAGGTGCATAAATAGAGAAAAAATAGTATATTCTACGAGTACAGAGGTAATCGTTATTTTTGGCAAGTATGAATGTTTGGAGAATGAACGACTATTACAACTTGTACTAACAAGAAATAAATACTTTATGTGAATTGTGTACTATACTTGTAAAATTTCTTAATTCTGGAGATTGTAAGAACCAAAATAAATAAAATTGTAGAATTGAAGCAAACAGTACTTTTACTTGACTAAAATTAATAACTACAATTAACTAGTAAGCATTCTAGTTTAGAAGTGGTCTCTACACGAACGTTTTGATGACTTACATAGTTTCACGTAGTCGGCACATCGTAGGACTTGCTTTTTTACAACCAGCGAACGTTGGTTTATTATAGTAGTCGTGTTTATAATTGCTAGAAAACAATGTTCAATATTAATCAGTGAAATCTTCAGATCATCTATTGTCCTATTACTGGAATGTATTTTCTGTTGGGCAATTAAACATTTAAATAAAATTAAAATTTAAAATACCCTTTATTTGTAATATCTGTTCTACCAAGCAACACTTTAATGACTAGGATGTGTTGTTTCATTAATCATGTTTCTAACGGAAACGTGAGTAAAATAACAACTGATCTGGATTTTTTTTGATAATAAACATTATTATAAGCCCTTCCGCTGCTTCGTCCAAAATATAGTGCCACAAGGATCAGTTTGATCACCTAATAGCAAATTCAAAATTTGTTTCATGTTGATATTGTATAAAGTTGAATAAAATTTAAACCACATTTAAAAAGATGCAAATCAAGATTAAGTATGGACTCTGCAGCTGAGTACACGAATACTAGCGATAAGTACCCCCATCAAAGAAACAGTTTTTGCATTGTTTGGCATCTTCGTGTCACAAATTTATTTTTCTATGTGGCGATATTGCTGGTGTTGAAGATGTACGTAACGATTTCTGAATAAGTTGAAATATGCAAAAGCTTGTCAAAAATTAGTCAATCTAACAGCGCCCATCTTTTTTTTTTTCTTCGCGAAACAAAATAAGTTTTGATAAATTTTCATAGCTTCAGATATACCGATTTAAATTTAAACTTGAATTCATTGAATGTAACAAAAACCGATTGAAGTTGTGTAACATATATAATTTTGAGTAACCTAGTTTAACGTAGTAAAGTAGGAGTGTTCTTTTAAACATAACGAAACTATTGACGTAACACAAATAAATTTTTTGTATGTATATATGCATTATGCATTTTTATTTCTGTATAAAATTTTACAAATTTTTGCTCATCCATTTATTTTTATAAATGTAACAAGAGTGTGAAAGTATCTATCTACTTTACAGCGTTTATTTATTTTTCTAGCGTAAATATTATTCTCAATTAATCGTTTTGTAACATCTTTTTTGTATTTTGTTTAAAATAAATTTAATGAAAGTGCGAAAAGATATATGTGGATAAATTCAAATTTTAAAAATTAATGCAGGAGTTTGCGAAGAGTTTATATTGAAAAAATTCAAACGGGATGGTTATTTTTGAGTTTTTATGATGCCGTAGGGTCACAGATGGTGGATATTCAAAATTGTTAAGCTACGAGTATTTTCCAAAATATGGCACCACAATAGAAGGTCACAGATTTGAAATAAAATATTTCAGATCTGTTTTTAGATACAAAATTAATGAATCAGTACTGACGTTTGTCCATATCTCTGATAAGGAAAAGCCATATCCGTAAACATACAGATGTACCACAAACTGTAACGATTTCATATTTTTATACAGAAATTACACAAGTTTCATTTCATTGTTAAACTTACATTTCCTTTATTTATGTCGGCAGTTTGAAAACTATGAAGAAATACAAAGTCTAAAGCTGAAAATAATAACAACAAGAATAATAATAAAATTTGTATTTTTGTGGTACAATTTTGAGAAAAATTGTAAATTTTCGATATCTCTGTCTATGATATGAAGTCAAGTTTTGTTCTTTTTATACAGGATGTTTAAAAATTGGAAAGGAAATAGTTTTTTTTTATATCGGTTGTCTCATTTTTAAAATACAAAGGTTCTAATGGAAACATTTTGTATGAGCTCAGAGAATCATCAACAAATAAAATATGTAATGCTGAACATACATTGTTTCCATAGTAATTAATCTTTGTCTTTATTAATTAATTAAATACAATCTACTAAAAAGTAAACAAACAGTGCAGGTATCTGTATTAAAACTAGTGTCAAACTTCGGTTAGGGAAATTAAATACATACTATAAGTGTCAATAGGCAACACAAAACCACGGCTAACTAGAGCAGAAATTAAAAAAATCACCCATCAAAATTTGTTTGTTCCCCTAAAAAATATATTCTGTATTTCAAAATTTTGTAAAGAAAGTTTCACTGGAAATGTACAGCGTAACATAATCCACTTCTATTTTTAACTGTAATGATTCCTATTTTCTTGAAAAAGATTGTACGTTTAAATTTTGTAATTATTGTATAAAATTACATAGTAAACATAACATTGATTTAGTAATGACAAAGTTCCATCAAAATTTTATTTTTGTGTTCGCTCCAGAAAGTTTAACATTTCAGACGAACATACTCTGAGATGTGCTAGCACATTTATTTCATTCATATATTTTGGAGTTGATTCATTTAAGTTTGGTAAAAAAATTCCTACTTAGATTCATGTTATAAGTGTTAATTGTACATCATATCAAAATGATATATGTATTTATTTTCATTCAACAGTTCAACAGGTTTTTGTGTTATAAAAATATGAATGACTTCATTAGTGATAGCAGCAACAAATAATACTTAATAAAGTCACCAAGTATCTGTTATAAGGATGCTAACAGAATTATTTCGGAGATACTTTTTAATTTAGATACGTTTTTTTTCCAGTAAATTACATTGTTGTTTTGCTGATGTATAATGTCCGATTTCATGTTTCGTCGTTTCAAAGTTTGTAGAATACAAAAATATCTGTTTCTTGTAGTCAAGTATGTGTCGTCTGTCTTGTCTGTCTGAAAGTACTGGACTGATTACTATGTATGTACAACCTTTTGGAGTAATGTTAGTTTATTGTGTAGGTGGTAGAACGCTAACTAAATTTTATCTCTTTATCCTCATCAAAAATTGAATAACGTCATCTTAAAATTTTGCTAAGCTCATATCGTTGAAAAGTATATTCTTTTTTATTTATGGCTTAATAATGTGTTAGTGCTTTTTGATTTTACACGTTTTATGATTATAGTAAAAAATCAGATGTTTAAAAAGAAATTTTACAATTTGACTTAAAACTTGCACAATGAAGTTTTTCGAAAATTTTGATAACGCATTAACAATCTATGACGTACAAAATATCGTTTAAAATTTATTTTTTATTATTGTTGTGTAAATTCCACATATTAGCTTCCTTATTATGTAATATATAGACTAGTGGTAGCGCTTTGATAATAATGAAACGCCCCGGGTTTGCTCCCCATCATTTCATTGTTTTTTCTGTTTCAGAAATGGTCCGTTTAATTTTTTCGAAATCCTTAAGGTAGCGTTGATGGTGTTACATTATATATATATATTAAAATTAATACCTATATTTATCCTTACCAAGTAAATAAATCTTTATTCAAAAGTATGCTCTAACATGCATTAGTTGTGCTTCAGAGGCGAGGGAAGTTCTAAATAACTTTTTTTTAAAGGTTTCGAGTTGTCACTGTCAAAATTCCCAATTACTCAATAATTCTCTACGTTCGTTTGGGAATTTAAAAGTTTAATATGGTGCTACTTAAGTCTTATTGTGTCGTTGTTCTATAAATTTCGTATAAAATATTTTACACATTTCGACATCCCATCACCTCGATTATTCTCTTTATTCAATAACACACAAATACTTTCACATTTTATTTAAATTAGTATCTACTATAAACTAATTCGTAATGTTCAACATTATTAGCACACAAGAACCACGTCGATCGTATGTACAAGCTAAGAACGGTCCTGCGCGAGTAGCAACTATGTATAGTTGACATGGTGTGCGAAGAAAATAACGATTTCATAAAGTCTTGGTATTCTTTTAATGAAATTTGTTATAAAAATCTAGTAAAATGAACGTTCGAGTAAACAAATTTTTCTTGCAGACTTTCGGCAAATGGATCTACGCGGAGAACTTCTCCAATACCCACCATGTCTCCCACTGGCAGACCTGCCTCTCTCATGGATACTCACAATCAGTCTGTTTATGTTGTACAGGTAGTGGTTAATCGTGATGAGCGAGGATATGGCATGATGGTTTCGGGTGACAACCCAGTATACGTACAAAGCGTTAAAGAGGGTAATAACTTTTTGACAAAAATAATTTCAACAGTTGTGTTGAGTTGAAAATAGGTTGTTTCAAATGTGATTATTATCGTTGTGCGTTTTCTTGTAATTTATTGTAGCTAGCTAGAAAATGCAAATGCGTTTATTATAGCAATAAATAGGACCTAAATATTTTAATCAATATACGTAGAGAAAATAAATATATAATTTAGGTTTTCTGCGCTTATGTTGAATTATTGTTCAATAAGCCTCTATCAAAGATAGAATAGCTTAGATTTTGACTGAGTAATGTTGAATACCATAAATAATTTGATGCTGAGAATTATTCATTGCATCTTTATTTTTATCTATGTATAATTACAGTATTTGAACAAATTTATGAATAGTTTTCTGACACTAAAAATATATGGATTACGCATACCTATATTATTTTTTTACACCACGTGGAAGCACTCATGAAATCAATTCATTCACGAAGAATTAATTGTGACGTCATGGATACGTTTCCGTTGTTACTGTAAATTTACATTTAGTAGTCTTATATCTTGAGTAATATCCCAGACATGCACATCAAGTTTTTTTATTTGTAATTAATTAATTAACAAAGATATTAGATATATATTTCATATGGTTTTATAACATGAAGTAGGTATATAACGGTTTTCATTTTTTGTACTATTTTAATTCTTATAAACATATAAAAATGCAAATAACGGAAAAAAAAATTAAACAAGTATATTATATTTGAATATTTAAAAGTTCTTTTCAAGATATAACAAAAAAGTATAGCTCAACACAGTCGAAAAATCAGAAGAAAATCACATTAAAGGAATTTTTAAATGAATTTAGTTAATAGTGAAATGCTTTGTTTTTTAATTACGTTTCTTACTTTAATTTTCAGGGGGAGCTGCTGAAAAAGCTGGATTACATGCGGGAGATAAAATAATAAAGGTATTCAGCTTAAAACAGTTAATGAGCCGTTTATAATAATCTTTTTCGTTTGTCAGGTTAACGACGTTAACGTTATATCCTCTACGCATACGGAGGTGGTGGATCTCATAAGATGTAAGTACATTAAAAACAAATTGTATAATTTTTCACCGTAAACTTTCGACAAAACGCCTACAACGCTAAACGTAAACGTAATGTCAATAGAAAGCGTTTCTTCGTACTTGAACATTGAGGGTCGCTGTTCACCGCAGCTAATTCTATACAAATAGACGAAGTGTGTCGAATTTAAACGAATGTATTATATTTTGTGACAGATGTTAAGCTCTGAAGTCCCAATAATCATTTTGGAAGCTGCTCGCTTACCTGCGTGGTAAAATTGTCTAGTCCGCAATAAAAGTTGTAAGAGTGACTTTGTAAGGTAGTCTTTGGGTTGTGTTATTGTGTTACGCCGTTAAGTAATTCTTTTATTGACGGAGAGTATTTTTGGAAACATTAAGTATTTTTATTTAGAATAAGACTACACTTAACACGACCTTTCGCGAATGTTCGGGTGTAGAACGTAAAATAATTTCCGTCTAAATTGGCTAAAATTGATTCAGTGATTGATGGTCAGTAGTAAAATTTACGTGACAAATTTGCAATCCTGATCGAGTCATAATTAACTGAATATATTAAAATTGTGTTAAATGGTACTGATACGGAAAGGCTATGAAATCATCTCTAATTTTGTTGGATTTAACCCACCATTTCTGCGCACGGTAGCCAATTGTGAGCATATGCATGTTTAAGTTTGTTTTAGAAAATCAAGGTGCGGTGTGTTTTGTACGCAAGCAGGTGGGCTTATACATGCATTTACTCCTCAAACGTCACATTCAATATCGTCAGGCCAATTAATTTTCTCGCTAATCTTTTGTTTACATACTTAACGAGGTATAATCGTACATTGCTCATACGGATACACATAAACGTCGAAGCAGAAAGTGTTATTAAACTTACATTATAATTAAGTTTATCATATTTATAAAATCACACTGATTAGCTACTACGATGGTAATAGTCTTTTAATATGCCGTATTTCATAGTAATAGTGGGTTAATTACTCCAAGAACTGATATAAATTCATAAGATGTTAATCAAGTTTTTCGTTTGTTAGCTTCTTCGCAAGTTGTACTAACAGTTCAGCAGAGAAGCGGAAACCAAAAAGTTATGGGTTCTCCCAGTGTACATAATAGACCTCTTACCACTCCGTCCAGGATCACAGGGCCACAACCAGTTGACGTGAGTGTACTCGTGTGGCGATGTGTGAACTTTACATAATTAAAGGTTATTCAACAGCACGAGAAGCAGTATCAGCTCCAATTGGAAAAGGAGCAGCATTATAGACTGATGATAGAAAAAGAACAACGCTACATCGATGTGCTAAGAAGTCAGATAGCTTCCTCTCCAGACGAGAAAAAGTATTCGGAACTTTCAAAGACCGAAAAAAATTTGCAAACACTGCAAGCTATGCTTCTTCGCAGCCAAAACGAGGTATACCTCTTTTTGTACATAATTATAATGTATAAATGTAAATACATAATTCTTTTGGCGTTTTGTGGTTGGCTTAATCTGTTGGTGGGCGTCGTGGGCTCTCCAACGTTTGTTTAATATATTTAATTGTGTTGTAAAGGCTCTTTAGATGTCGCCTTTTCTTTTAGATGCGAGAGACAAGGAGCTGCTAGTCGCACTGGTGATTGTCTAATTTTCATGATGGACAAGTTACTCACGTTTCTTATACTATGATCTTCACTAATTCGACAGGCGATTATTGCCCTAAACCGATTATTCAAGCGGAAATTTCTTTAAATTGACAATTATTTGAAAATAATTTATTTTACACGTAGAACATGAGCATTATCTGAAGGTGTCGCTTAAATTCTTAAAACTAAGTATAACTGTGGGGTTACCAAATGACGTGTCTACTTATGTTTCACAAAAGTGATAGATAACATTTATAACAGTGTGATTTAGTTTTCTTAATTCTGTTTTTTCGTTGTTTATTTTTTGTGTCACCACGTTTTATTGACTTGTAAACAGGGTTTTACACTCAAATTCTGTCATTCTTTATCCGTTTAAATGTACTGTTGAAGGAAGCGCTGGCGAAGAATGTCGCCATCATACACGTAAAGGCGGGTTTATTTCCATCCGTCACCAGTCTTTTGCATTATAATGTAAATAAACCTTCAGCAACTTAACTAAATATCTCCAACACCGACAACAAATTTACAGAGATAAAAATGAAGCAATTTAAAATTGTTAAATTACGTTATGTCTAAGGCTTGAAGTGATTTCTTGCATCTTGATGTCGGTTGGTAGATTTTGAGAGAATGTCATGATACATTCTTTTAAATTTGTTAAATATCTGTGTCCTAAATTTTTCAACTTTAATATAAATTTCCAGGTCTAAGACGAAAATGGGTTTTTATGTTTGAGGAGTAGGTAATACAAACTTGGCGAGGCAAAAGATCCCTGCCGGATTATATTATTAAAATTTAAACAAAATCTCGACGTCTCAAGGCGAACCCAATATTCACAAATTCTTGACCAGACGTATTTGGCTCATAATATACAGTTCATAAAATAGGATAGCAAATATGTAGCAGTCATTTTGATTTTTTTTTTCGCTAGTAGATAATTATCATTAATTAATAAATAATAAATTATAATTTATTATTTATTAATTTTTGGTACTTGAATTTGATTCTCCTTTATAAATAATTGAAAATTCCAGCTGTATTATCTGTTGATGGTTTTTTAGGTATGAAACAACCGAAGGGATTATTTTGAAATTTTTGATGTATTTAAAAATTATAGTAAGTACCAAAATTTATCTTTAAAAAATTCACTCAAAAAAATTGGTGACGTATTTCAGATTTTTTTTAATACATATTTATGTATGCAATTGGTTTATCAAAAAAAAAATCAAATTAACAAAAGTAATATTTAAGATGCGATATTGCTTGATACAGTTTTGTATGGAAATGTCTGAAGACTTAAGAACGAAGTTATTACTGAAATTTAATGAAACATTGTTTTGAAACTAGTACTTATATTAAATGTATTATTCGTTTTTCGTGACTTGACTTACGTTGGAAAAAAAATGCCCACTACATTTATTTCTGTATTCTGTATTATTATTACACTTATCAAATAAAAAAAAGAATTTTGGACAAATGAAATTTTTTTCAGAAAATTCGTCGACCAGTGTAATGAAATTAATGTTCAAGCACTCCCGGGCTAGCTTGTGTGTAGTTCTGAAGATGTTTTAGATTATTTTATGAACTTTGCGTAGTTGGTTGTGTAGAAAAACAAACATTCCAAAGCTTTGACAGCGGGTGGGACATGGGTGGGATTATACTTGACATTTTGCGTGTTGTTGAAACAATTTTATTAAAAAAAGTAAATAAATAAAATCTAAAATTAATTAAAAGCAAGAATGTAGCTGATTCTGGAAATGTGGCTTGTATGTTTGATTGGCACTTAAAAAGTTTTCATTGATTTAAACGTTATTTGAATTTACCTAATTGGAAAACTAATGTTTTCTTTAGACACTTTTATCTTTTCTGGTAGCTACTTCAAAAAAGCTCATTTTAATATAAACAACTTCAAATAATCGCTTTGATAATTTGAAATGTCTTCCATTGTTGAAACAATTAATTTTTATGAAGAAAATAAATAAAAACACTGAAGCCTAGACAGCGTGTACACAATCACGAAATTATTTTAGTCATGCTGGAACTGTTTTCGTGATATTCAACAGCCTGTTAATGCTTTTATTTTAACCTATTTTTTACAGTTCAATAGAATGATTTCAAGCATCTTGCTGGGGGTTCGTTGTCGCCAAACACAAGTTGACACTTTTTGCAACGCCTTCGTTAATAGATTTTTTTTTGTGAATTTATTTCGAACATTATGATTCTTCAAGGAAGCACATAGGATGAGAAACATGAGTACTTGTCATAACCTGCCTTGGACACTGGACTAACAATGCTTTACTGTTTCTCTCTTACAGCAATCTCCACCCTTAAACACTTCCACTAATTCCTTGTCAACTTCCTTACCTCGCAAGATTCGAGCTTCGACTGTCGTTTCACCAAACGGCAACTCGGAGCTACAGTCTCCACCACCGTTGCCGAAGAGAAATCAGCGACCGTCCCACGTGGACACTTTAAACAATCGTCATCTTCCATACGTGAATGGCAAAATTGTCGCTGATACTAACGCTTTATTTCTTAACAATGAAATAAATGCCAATATGCGACAGGTTGAAAGCGAAGATGTTACTGGTCGACGTCCCCCAAGAATGAGCAAGTTCCACTCGAACTCGGAAGAAGCACATCTAGTTGACAATCCTCTTTATTCCGACCAACCTCCTCCCTTGCCTCCCAGAGTTCCTCTTTCTGCACCCATTATTGGTAATGAACCGAACTCCATTAATAAACAAATGGCATATCCTTTAGTGGCCACCTGTGCGACGTTAGTTAATGATTATGTAAGTAACATGCCTTTTTAATCAATCATTTTTAAAAACCTAATTCCAGTTCCACATTCAAACGCTTCATGCTTTTTGCAATGTTTTCTAACCATCAGATGGTCTAAAACCCTTAATTAGTTGTGTGTACATATGTTTTTGTATATTTTACTCCCATTTTGTGTAGCATTTAAAGTAATTATGCTCCTATTTCTCTTTGCACTGGCGTTTTTTTCATTCACATCTCAGTCGATAACATTTTTGCTAATGACATCAGAATTTTATTTTTCACTTTTTCTAATTTATTTTAAATTTTTACACTTTACGTATGTGGGTGAAATTGGAATATGTAGAAATATTTTAATACTAAGAATTTGTAATGACTTCAACATTTGGAAGTCACTCATTTTTTACAGGTACACAACTACTAAATGTATTTTAGTAGACTCAAATGTGAGGTTACGGTATTTACATATTTTAATAACACCCTATATTTTACATTCGAAATATACATTATTCTTCTATATCTAAGCTTGCGTTCTAAGTGCAATTTAAAGTAAACTTGGAGTTAATTCTGAATTATACGATTGATCAGTTGTATTGTGATAATTATTGTCATATTTTTTTTTATACAAAAATTTTGCTATATTCAGAGTACAAGTTAGATTGAGTTAAAACCACAAAATAAATCGTAGAAATAAAAACTTAATTTTTTTTAAACCTTTGAACTTTTTCTTTGTAAAGAACTGCTTACTTTGCAGATAGTTTACCATATAGTTTGGTTTGATATTTCAGTCACCGAATCCAACTCATCATCGTACCAAATCTAGTCCTGAATCTCTGTTAGCGTTGTCGGCGGCAGATGCTTCAAAGAAGTTAACAGCTTCAGAAAGTATGAACGATCTGAGACAAGACGGATGGGATCCTGCTGATACTCCTCCTGGAACCCCGCCACCTCCGTATCCAAGTCCTCCTTCATCGCGAAGAAGGCCGTATGGCACCAACGAAAGCGGGGACCATACTTTCGATGAGGTGAATAGTTTTTTGTATAAACTTTGAAGTTTAAAAAGAGTCTTATGCACTCTATAATGTACAAATTTTCTACTACCGACGTCAATGATCAATGTTGGCATCGTGGCGTAAGTGGACGCTCACTTTTGTTTCTCTTGTCACTTACGCGTTTGAAACAACTGAGGGAAAGTTGGTAGTAGGAAAGTGAAACTATTTCATACACTTTACCCTTTTTTTTATAGACTGTAGCAGACTGTTCTTCCCCGGATATGTCACCGTTCCGAGGGAGCAGCTCGAATCGTATTTTAGCCAATAGTTCACCTATTCATGCTGCCACACCACAGACAACGCAACAACCCATTATAAGCATGGAGGATGATGAAATCTCGGATCAAGAATCTGTAAGTTAGAAATATAACAACGAGACGAAAATAACTGTGTTTTTAAAGGGTCAGCTAGAGGACCATGGGCACTTTAAATCTCTATCTAGGTTATGGGAACGTTTACCACATCTGGCTGTGTTCATGAATTACATTTTGTCGAATTCAGACCCGAATAGTCTGCTTTTTTATTTGCTCACAGATCTATACAAAGAGGGAAATGCCAAGGAGATGAGAAAATGGGCATTCGAAATACATTCATGTTTTCTTGTCCCTGGAGCGGTTCGTAAAAGATACGTTTACATCCCGCCATTTCTAAACTTAAATTTGTAGCCTCTTCGATTAGGAAATGTAGACGAAAATATAGCTCGTGAAATAGACGACGTTTTGACACGGGAATTTGACAAAGAAGAAATTCTTAGGAAAATTTTCTGGAAAGCGCGCTCCAGAGCTAAGGAAGAGTTAACCAAGCAATTAGTTGACTTCCAACAAAAACGTACCGCTGGACTTGGTACAATTTTTGGGCCCACGGATCAAGTGCTTTCTGAAATATACAACGATAAGGCGAAGGAAGCGAAGTTGTACGAAAGTTTATTTTTGGAGAAGTTGGAGCCGTTTTTGTAAGTATAATAAGTTGAAACCGAAACGAATTTGAATCTGAATGTGTTTCAGGGAGGAAATTGAAAAAGAAAATTACGATCCGAAGCGGTATTACACAGCTGCTGCTCTTACGACGGTCCTAACCCGAATTTTTGCCATCCGGCCTACCTCGCATGCGATCGATCGATGTCCAACTTTCGTAAACAAAGAAAAATCTTTTCGCACAAAATTTATAGGAAGGTATTCGCGAAAGGTTAGTGGCATTCTATATTGTGGGCGCAAATATTTTTGTTTTTTTTTTTTTTTTATACAGTTAAATGTACAAGGACATCAGTATGTAGCACAACATTATTACACTATCATAGTATGTAATAATTGCCATCAAATTATTTATGGCATAGGACCTCAAGGCTATCAGTGTTCTGGTAAAACAATATTGATATCTTAATCGAAACAAATGCATTAACAAACTCTTTTCAGTCTGTTTAATTAATCTTCATCGTTTGTGTGTGAAATTGTACGACGATACCTGTCCAGGACCAATTAATAAGAAAGATCGAGGACTGGGAAAATTTATACGTATTCGGCATGAAAACGACAATAGACGCAAACACAGTTCGCATTTTATTTTAAGTAAGTTTTCATCACGAGTGTAACACTGTTTATTAAACGTTGTCATCCTTGTAGTGGAGAGGGAGAGGAGACAAGCAGAGGAGAAGGAGAATAGTTTTGAACTCAACGAAAGTGGTAAGTTTCTTTTTATTATAATTGACTTACTATCGTTTTATTATTTTTTGTGTGCTTTTGAAGCGTTTGGTTTAGATTAATGTCCTGAAACGTTAACTTAGTTACTTTTGTACATAATTGGCTCGCCACCAAAACATTGTTAGTCATCGTTTACACATTACGTGTCCGGTAACCGCCAAAAATGGTGTACACTCATACTGTTTCCGAAATAGAATTCTGTCTAAAATAGTATAGCGAACGATGAACATGGACTGCTATTCATTTTCTACGGCCAAAAATTTACGTTAATTGATTCATGAGATTTCATGCGAGATGTATGGCATGTGAGGGTTTCAGACAATAAAAGCATTTTCTACAGCTGCCGTTACAACGTATGAGAAGTATAGCGGCTAATTAAAAAAAAATGGATTTAGGACGCAATTTGGTTTTATAATTTTTCTTTTATTTCTGTGAAAAACATTAACATCGACAAGATATTACACTAATTGTAACTAATTGAAAAATATAGAAGTGCCTCGGGAGGAATTGAACTCCGATCTCCGGTATGACAGACAGAATTTCAAAGTGGTGAATGTGTAGTAGAAGATAAAATTACTATTTTGTGGTAGAATTAATTTTTTTTTTTCTATCGTAATTATGGTAAATATAAATCAGAATTTAATGTTGAAAATATATTGCATATTCCATGTTTGTATTACAAAAAAAAAGAACAAAAAACGGTTACCTAAACTTGCTAAATAAATTTTTACAACATGCAAGTTCCCTCTAAATAACTCAGGCCAGTTTTGGTTATATTTAGTTTCAGTAGGTACATACTACAAAAAAAATCCTAATTTTTTTCTCAATAGAATTTTCATAATTTTTTGCTTACCTTGTTTAAAGAAACTTAGAATCAACCTCACACAGATACAAAATTTTAAATTTGTAATTCGTGTATTCATGTTGTTTTTCTCATCAATATTTAAAAATATGTCACTATTATTTATTACGAATAATGTGTATATTATTAACACTTCATTTCCTTGAAGTTACCGTAACAATTTATAGGAAATGAATTCATTTCCTACGATAGAATGAAATGTTTGTTTGTCTCTCAAAGAGCGATGACTCGAAAGTTGATCTAATGAATATTAAAATAGCAAAAAGTAATTAAAATTAAGGTTGGAATATATTAAGCAATTGTTAAAAATTTTATTAATATTCAAAAATTTTAACACCAAACGAAATTTGCGAAAATGGTGGGACAAGATGTTAATAGTCTTCTTTTGTATATAAAATATCAGTAAACTGTTTTGCACGTTATGATAGCTATTTACACAGTGGCCCAAATTCCCCGATTTATGATTAAATAATAATCTCTACTAGAAACGTACATAATTAAATAATTCAAATTATAACATCGCCACAATATCACCAATAATCATATAAGTGAATATTTACATAACTATATTAAGCAAGTGACCTTTTCATGACTCCAGAAGTAATTGAATCCATATAAAAGAGTTGATCATAATCGATCCATATGCCCAACAAATATATGTATGTATAGACATATCAAAGATTTAAATTGTTATTTTGTCATGTAATAGGTGGGTCTCTCTGTCCATGGAGACCACGGTGTATTTTACATATGACAAAAAACAAATAGTAGCAAAATACTTATATCCATTATTTTAGATGTAGGCTGAACTGGACGGAATAATGTCAGGGCTACCAAGCTTTATTTGATTAAGTCTTTTTTGTGGGAGACATTAATTGCTTATGACAATCTGGAGTCATTTGAATTATTGTAGTAAAAATCTATTAAGGTTGCATACGAATATTACTGTTAAATATATATTTTTCCCCTGAAAATTTATTTCAGCGTTAAAAATTATGGTAATTTTTGAATATAGCTATAAATTTAAGCAATTCAGGTCATTCAGCATTTGAAGTATAACGTTTTGCTGCAACTGTTACATAAACAATGAAACTGGTACAAATATGAATAGTTATGGTTTGTAAAAAATAGAGTTTTAAACAGTTATTGAATATTTGCATTTTCGTTAATGTTAAATTTTTTCCGATGTACGATAAAATTCTTCATGTGTTCACTTTGGTCATTTACTTATATATATGTGTGTGTAACTTGACCGTTTAGACACAATAATGGAGTGTCGATTTCAAAAAAAGAAAAGAAAGAATGCGTATCCGTTCACAACATGAGAAGCTTAATTTTGCTGATTTTACAATTTAACCTTATTTCTTATTCACATTGTAATGTAAGACAATATGTATGTCGATATTATACATATTAATACAATTATAAATATGTGCAAAATGCTGGAATTAAGTTAAAGCAAAAAAAATATACTGCCATTTTTGTTTCCAAAATTGGAGTGTTTTATTTAAATTGTAGACTTAAAATTTTATGATTTATTATGGAACCATCTGTAATTTTATTTTTGTAATTGATAAATATGCAAACGTATATTGTTTTTTACTTGGTGATGTCTTGGTGCTATTACTCAGTTACAAAGGAGGTTGTCGTTGTCATTAAATCTTTTTTTTTATTATTATTATTAAAAGATTTCACACGGATAGGGTTGAAATGCCTTTTTATTTTAAAAGGAAATTAGCAGTAAAACGTATTAGGTATATTTTCTCGGAATATTGTTCATTCACAAAAAGAAATACATATGTATGTACTAAAAAATACGTGTGAGATTGCTTGTTTGTGCACCAGTAATTTTCTTTTATTTATTAAAATTTCTTACGTAGAATATCTGAAAGAACTCGTGTATTTTGTGGATTATTTCACGGTTTATTTGATTTCTCAGGAATACCGTTAACTTTATGTTCAGTGTTATATTATACCCATTAAAATTTATGAATCCATTTTAAAGAAGTTATTAAATAAATTTTTATGGAAAAATACACACCAAGATGCATGCAATATTCATGTCTCATAGACGCAGTGTAAACGACATTTATGAACTTTTTTAGTAATACATAGTAATAACTTGATTTCAGTGGTTTTTTTTTGTCTGTAGATTGTGCATACATAATTAAAATTTGAATATCAAGAGATCGAGAGTTGCTTCCAGTATAACCCAACAGGGTTTTATAGTTTCTAATCAGTCATTATTTAATGTCACAAAGTTTTAGGTGCAATTTTTCAACATTATAGTATGTAAACAAAAATAGTAATTGTAGTTGCTTATTGTTGTTATTGTTATAGCGTATCGGAAATGAATACTTTGAGTAACGTAATTACAGTATGTATTTTCTTCTAATCAAAGAGCTGTGGGGATTCTCATTAACGTGAATACGTATGATCATTTGTTTCGTAGTTTTGCATCGTGGAAATCAAATAACTTATAAAAATTAAAACTAATGATTTAGTAAGAGAAAAATTCTCGGAAATTGAAATCGTTATCAAATACACATTGCATTGTCAATTTAGCAAATCTTGCAATTGTATCGCGAAACTGATAAAGTTATTAATTAATCTTAGATTTATGATAACTGGTATAACTAACTACTATCTGTACTTAAAATCAACCAAAATATCAAAAAAAAAAAAAACAATATTCAACTGCAGGACGCTCAATATTAATATTAAACAAATGTTTGACTAGTTCGTTGGTACATTTCTGAATGTAATAATAGCCACAAATATGTAAATTTTTTAAAAATAGCATCCCAAATAAAAACTAAATAGTGTAGTATTCCTAATAGATAGACAGGTTTTTAAAAAATGGTCTGTATATTTATTATTTTTGACGTTGAAGTCGAATTTATTGGAAATTTTGCAACGACTTACAAAATATTTCATTGCTCTAAAAAAAAAAAAAAATGAAAAGTCATCGAACTAGTGAAGATAAGTTTGTGATTTATGTGCCACATTTTTACGTTGTTCTTATTCTTACGGATATCAGTTTTTAGTTCTTGAACTATACGCTAAGAAAGTATTGTAAAAGGGTGCATTAACGGATGCCTTTGAGATGTTTTCTGGATGTTTCTAGAATATGAAAACTTTGGTCTCCCGTTTCTGTCTTCTGTTAGCAATTTTATTAAACAGATAATCTCCGAAACGCTAGCCAAATTTGTTTGGTCATCCCCACCAAATATATTGTCATCTCAAAATTTTGCTAAGTAAATCTTAGTTAAAATGTGCAAAAGAATATTTTCCTGAACTGTGATTTATTAACTCGCCCTTATTTTCAACCTCATGAAATGTAGCTTTTTGAAAAAAAATCAAAAACAAATTTTACAATTTGTCGTAGAATCTACGAAAAGTAATTTTTTTTCGTTCATGTTAAAAAATGCGTTTCGTGACGTAACTTTTATAATTTAGCTAAGAAGTTGTATTTGATTATGGTTCAGGGACAAAGGAAGTTCTATCTGATCAACTTCAATTTAATTTAAAATTTACATTTTTGTTCAATTAACGCTACACAAATTTAAAAGTAATACGGGAGTTGTTTGAAAAATTTGTGATCTCAGTTTCTACAAAATAGTAATAGTAATAATAAACACCAAGCTCAGTTTTGTTTTTCAAAGTAAGTCTAGTTCATTGCGGAGAAACAAATGCCGATGCGTAGCATTTAATCCAAATTTACCTTACGCTTTCTTATTTATCTAGCGTTTCCAATGTTTATATTAAGTTTCCTATTAGTAAGTTTTTTCAGTCTAGAAGTAAAGAAGTTCGGGATTGTCGTAGACGATATATGCAAATTTTTTATGCGGAAGTTGCAATAAAAGCGAGCCATACAAAATAAATGTATGCAAAATTTTGCTTTTGAACTTACGTAAAAAGAAGTTAAAATATTGCATTTTATTGCTAAGAGTGAGATTGGTTATTGAGACATTGCCGTATCTCCTAGCTTGTATACATTTTTTTTATAATACAGATTAAAATTTTGCATCTAAGACACAAAGAAAATTATAACCAAGGATTTTGATAATTCAATTGAAATACATATTTTAATAATAAAATGAAAATTGAAAAAAATACA